ATGCATTGTCAGGCATGATGGTCGCTGTTCCTTGCTTGCTTCAACTTCCACATCACACATAAGGCCGGGACATCGAATGGAAAGGCTGATGCCCTGTCATGCCGACCAAATCATCAGGTCGGTGATGAGGACAATAACACTGATCAGGTGGTCCTCAAGCTGGAAAGGTTACACATTGCCTCCACGCGGCGTGGGCATGCTTCGGTGACAGCCAATCAGTCACTCCTGAAATGCATCAGGGAATGCTCGGAGAAGGATTGGGTAGTGGCCAAGGCACTTCAAAAGGTGCAGAACCTTGGGCCACCTCGGCTGCAGAAGGGCTTTGAGGAGTGGAATGCCGAGCAAGGGCTTCTGCTGTTCCACAAATGTGTATATGTCCCAAAGAATGCAGAGCTCCGGTGGGATATTGTCAAAATCCACCACAACTCGCCAATCACCGGTCACGGCAGTCATGCCAAAACCCTGGAGCTCATATCAAGGAACTACTGGGGGCCAGGAATGTCCAAATTTGTCAATGAGTATGTTAGCACCTGTGACGTGTGCAACCGTACCAAGACATTCCCAGCCAAGCCCCAGGGTCCACTGAAGCCGAACAAAATCCCCAAGCACCCATGGTAGATCATCACCACCGATATAATTGTTGGCCTGCCAAAGTCTGATGGATTCAACTCAATCCTGGTCACTGCCGACCGCTTTACCAAGTAGGTCCACTTTTCCGCCTGTCACAAGACCTTGACGGCAGAAGGTGCAGCAGACCTGTATATCTGCGACGTGTTCAAACACCATGGGGCCCCGGCCAAGGTCATATCAGACCGAGGTCCCCAGTTCGCGTCGAAATATCTCCATGCGGTGTACGAAGGACTTGGGATCAAGCCGGCACTATCTATGGCATTCCATCCTCAGATGGACGGTCAGACCGAGCATTGGAATCAGGATATTGAGCAGTACCTGTGCGCTTTCACAAGCCACAGGCAGGATGATTGGGCAAAGCAATTGCCACTTGCAGAGTTTGCACTGAACAACTGAGTTCACTCTGCAACAAGGCACTCCCCCTTCTTCCTGCATCAAGGGTACCATCCTGAGATCCAGGTGTAGATCAATCCGATGTCAGTAATGCCTGCAGCTGCCAATTGGCTCAGAATTCTGAAGAAAGTCAGGGATGATATGTACTCTGTGCTTGAGCTATCAGCCAAGTGAATGAAGGTGTTCTATGACAAGCATATGCAAGAGGCACTGGTCTTTGTGCCAGAGGACAAGGTCTGGCTTGATGCTTGGAACCTTAAGCTGAAACAGCCAAGCAAAAAGCTCAGTCCCAAGTGCCTCGGGCCATATGCCATGCAGCAAAAGCTCGAAGACTTAGATTATGAGTTGGTTCTGCCAAAGTCGGTACCTGTGCACCCAGTGTTCCATGTCTCCTTGCTTAGCAAGTACACACATAGCGAGATCCCGGGCCGGAAACCAGAGGAGCTGCCTGCCATTGAGGTTGAGGGCGACGAGGAGTACAAAGTTGAGCGGATCAAGGATTCGAGGATCTTCCGGCATTAGCTACAGTATCTCGTCAAGTGGAAGGGTTATGATGACTCACATACATCATGGGAGCCGGCGCGCAATGTTGCAAATGTGCCAGCCCTCATAGCCGACTTCCACCGGAAGAATCCGAACACCCCGCGCCGTCTCAATGCTACTACCTTTGGTGGTCTCAACTTCCAGCCAATGCCTTCACCGCTGACCGAAGCACGCTGCTGCTCTGGGTGGGAGATGGGTAAGGGCACCTTGCATGAGGTCATGTGCCATTGAGGGGGGGTAATGTAAGAATTTACATGCATGCACCGGTTTCACATCATAACCTCTGCACCAAAAGGGTGCAATGTCAAGCTTGGCTTGACATCTGACCGGAGGTATATATGCTGATCATATGCCAACTCATGACAGGTAATGTCACAAGTTGACACAGCATCTAGCTGTTTTTACTTTTTTTTTCCTTTTATGAGCTCAAACCTGCGACCTCTGTACTATATGCTCTGTGCTTAAATGGACAAGCCTTGCTGGCACATCACGTTTCCTGTAGATAGATTAGATTAAATGGGACAGTAGTGCATGGCACAGCCTGGGTGCTGCTTACACAGCCATGCTAACTCACCGGCCCCTAGGGCTGTGTCAGCAACACTGCACACAGACCAACCTGCATAGCCTGCCCTAAATCCCCCATGTATATAAGCCAGCCTCTGCTGCCCTGGGGACCTCAGTTTTGACCTCTTGTCCCTAGGTCGATAAGTCTTTCTTTGTATCCTTTCTTTACTTTACTAACTCATATATTATCTTGTCCCTAGCCTTAGGTTTGAGCATCATGTATCTCATGAGACCTGAGCAAAGACACCCGGCAGAGCTCATTCTGGTCAACAGGCCAAGCAGGGCATGCCAAATACAGCTGGGATTGCTACTCTGTGAATCCAAACAAATAAGACCTACATCGGGGTTAGAAGTGAAGAATAAGTATTTAGATGCTGAAATCTCAGTGCTTGGGGATGACTCAGCGACCAGTTGCACCAGCCCCTCTATAGTGTTTGTCCTCCTTTTATTCGGCTATTCTGACTCCTCACGTGCTCTTGCTTTCAGATCAATCACGTGATCATCTTTTGGTATATAACACTAAGTTGGCCTCTTAGATGTAGGAGTGAAGAACACCATTGTGGGGCTGGTTTTAGGAGCCTGGCTTGGGCCGGGCTTTTGGCAGCTCAGCCAGGCTGGACCCGGCTGGCATGGGCCTCAAACCCCGGCTGTGGACAACACTAGTAGAGTCACGGTCATGCAAGTTAGTCTCCCATAGGCATACCATAATTATAATGAACTTTTTTATATGGGGGTGACAATCATTATATATAGGTCTGCTTCAAAACGCGCCCCTTGCACCATAAGACAGCATTTCAGACCTGTTCATGATTGCTGGTTGATGGCCGAGCAATGCCGCTGTTCACTGAGAGATATTTGTCGCGACTTGAGGTCAAGCGACAGGGGACAAACAAACCTAGAGGCTGGGGGCATTCAACTGGGTCTTACCAAAGCGATGGTGAGCTTATGCTCAAACCTAAGGCTAGGGACAAGATAATATATTAGTCAGGTAAGAAAAGAATACAGGTATGGCTTACTGACCTAGGGACAAGAGGTCGAAACTGAGGTCCCTAGGGCAGCAGAGGCAGGCTTATATACAGGAGATGTTTAGGGGAGGCTGTGCACACTGGTCCGTGCGCAGCTGGTCCGTGCGCAGCTGGTCCGTGTGCAGCTGGTCTGTGCATAGCATGCTGACACAGCCCCGGGGGCCGGTGAGTCATCATGGCTGTGTCAGTGGAGCCCAAGCTGTGCCGCGCACTGCCGCCCATCTAATCTAATTGTACAGTAGATAACAAGATGTCCGTTCGAGCATATAGTACAGAGGTCGCGGGTTCGAGCCCGCAGAAAGGAAAAATGAAAAAATGGCTAGACACTGTACCAACTCGTGACAATATTACCACTATATCAGTTCTCTTGGCGCACAGCGCCTACTATTACAGAGCTCATTGTCAACAATTATGTCTCAGCTTCGCTCGGTGCATATCATCCTCTAGGGGGTCTTTCGGGCACACCACAAGCATAGTGAGATTTCATGCAAAGTGATAGCAGTGGATGTAGCATAGGATCGACTGTTACTGCGCAGGCCATGAGCATGAAAATGATCATATTTCCTGTTTTCCCTGAGCTTGTTGGGATGATAGCCAGAAGATCTACGCCATCCAATGCTTTACAAACACTTTCAAGCTGGAAAACATCTGGATCATATGGGAAATTGTTGGCCATGACATTGCGACATACTGCATAGCTGGCAGGTGAGCTGAAATGAAAGGAATCTCTAGGAGGAGGGTCTAGCACAACACATGAATATCAATATAATACAAAGGACAAGTCGGCTGGGTATTGCATTCTCTAGTAGACAGGCATTTTGGATGTGTCCTTAGGCGCTGCGACGCGTTGCGACATTCAAGATCTACACAACACGTTTCGGAGATCAAAATGCTTATGTAAGGCGAAATCGCGTCTTACGGTTCGGACCCCTCAAATTGAAACAGACTACATGCAAGTCATTTCCCATCAATGTCAATGACTATGGCAAGTCATTGACTAGTCATTGACTCGCACATCACTGGGCAGGTGTACTGCAATTGTTGCGTTACTACCTTGGTGCATGTATCTATTCTATCAGATAAACTCAAAGAGTGCAGAGGTCATTTGTGAAAACGTACTAATATAGTCAATGTCCTCGTTGATGATGGCCACAACATCCGAGTTGAGAAATAATGGCATCTGTGGTTTGTCATGTGGTGTTTTCTTTTCTCACAAGGCAACATCAACTCAGCAGATCCCTCTGCCACTTCGAGTCGCGCTCTGCCAGGTGGTTTTGCTTCGGAAGTGATATAGCTAGCCATGGACAATAGGCATGCAACGGCACCAAATGCCAACATATTAGCCGGCGACGACTCGATTATGGGCTCTCGTCACTCAACCGCAAGTCATTACCGATGAGACTGCTTTGCTCAGAACCAGACCCGGGTACAGTCCAACGCCCATGAGAGTCCAGTGACTCTGAAAATGATACAAAGCGTGCGAAACAGAGGAGAGGATCGTCAGAAGAGGATCCACGTTAAAGTCCAGAGAGGAAACTAACGCCTCCTGCCGAGACCATTCCTTTCATAGAGTGGACCGCAAGGTTGTCATTCCGGAGGACACGCGTCAGCAAGCAGTTGGGGAGGAACATCAACGTACCAACTGCCGGCGCCGGCCCACAGATGTCAAACAGGAGCGGGTGTGAAACATGTATCCCGACTGCACAGACGGACGGCCTTCGAGCAGCGGATGTGCCATATCCACCAGCAATATGGATTAAACACTTCCGTAACCACATATCGACTATCGTTCACGTACTGGCAGTTCCATCCCCAGCCTCGACATGTACGGTCTCGTTGCGCTGCCTATGTAGAGAACAGCGACTGGTTACCCATGATCTGACTGAACATCTGCAGCGCCGCCTCCCCCCGCGCAAGGTTCCCATACTCGTAGGCTGCGACCTCGTGGCCCCTGATCACGATTCAGGTTAGGATAAGTTAGGATGAACTCATTCATATGATGGACCACTTACGCTCCGAAGATGCGGACATACGAAAAGGTGCCCGCATTCTTGTAGATCCCGGCGGGCTCCCCGTGCACTGTCCAGTTCGTGAATTGTTGCTGGTTGAATTCATTGCTGAACTTCGTCTGCAAGTTCTTCACCATCGCCTCGACGCCGTCAAAGTTGAGGATGTAGTCCTGCAGTCACGCGTATGCATCAGTGTTCTTTGCGAGCCGCTGGTCATCCCATGCGCGAAGCAACCCACTGCGTCGCCGTCAAACACGATCGTCCGCACGCCCGAATCAATCACCGTCTCCAGGTCCGGCCGCGAGTTACGCATCCAGTCGCCCGTGTCTGCGAAGTTCTGGTATACGTCGTAGTTAGTCTCCGACCAGTCCGATTCGGCGCCAATCAATGCCATCAGCGTTGAATTGTTCAGGTATGGCGTCGGGTCCGGCGGGTACGCGTCCGGGTCCTCAGACAGCACGTAGTATACGTCATAGTTACCCGCAAGCGGGCTGAGTATGTAGCTATTGCAGTAGCTCTGCGCAGCGGAGCATGTGTCGTCGGAGCCGCCGTCATAGCATGCAGTTATCTATGGCGCTGGTCAGGATGCCTGCCTGAAGTGACCTTATGGTCGGTGGACTCACTTGATCCTTGCAGCCCCCAGATTCCTGCCAACGTGTGGTGGAATCCTGGATATCTGATGTGGACACCAACGGATGATACCTATCGCAGTAATGCATAAGCGAATTGAATCAACAACTGGTGAAGAGACCTACGGGTTCGATGCGGCGTACTCCAAATATCCCGGGTATTGTGAGAGCGGGTCCTAGATTAGGTGTCTAGTACGTCTGGCTGGCGTCAACCTGAGATCAATCGGCGTACAGTGAGGCCATCTCCCACACCGAGAAATTTCAGGTTGATCGGCAAGCCCGAGATTGATCCATTGGCAATCGCAGCATTTTGTACTAGGAAATAGCTATTGGGCGATGAGCTAACCTGCATGTACAACCATGATTTACACTCACGCAGCAAATGTCGGGCCATAGTGACCGCCGTAGCTGAAAGCATGTCAGGCAAAGTGATGACCCCAAAGACGGTCAGAGCACATACGATTCCGTCCATATGGCAAAATCATGCTCCTGATACTTGCTGAACCTTGAGTCTGCGAAGAAGATTTGCAAGAACTACGAACGGTCACTGAAACAATACACTAGATCGTATCAAACGTAAGCTTACGCTCCACACGTCCGCGGCAGCCTCCTGGGAAGTACCGATGTCCAGAGTTCCATACGAGAAGCCAACGCCCACTGGCTGATCAATGTACAGGCTGGATTTCACAGGTTTGGCCTTGGACACATATGCAAGAGAACATGGCCTCACATGTTCGACACATTGTTCCATGAATAGTCGTTGTATGTGACGCCACTGCTGTCATTCGTGAGGCGACACGGCCCGTGTTCCTGGAATAGGCCGATCATGCTGGAGCTTCCGGGCTGCAATCGAGATTGAGCCGTCAGAGGCGCGCTTAGTATTCGTCGTACTCACTCCACCATTCAGCCATATCGTGAGTGGTGCGTTGTCGGGACCGTTTCTTGACTCAAAGAACCAGAACCTAAATCACATAGCACTTAATAAGCAGTTAGCCGCATAATGCTGTTGAACACGCACCAGATACTCTCGTTCGAGGCAATGTCACCATAACCCGACGCCTGGTATACACCGGGGGTAGTCTCGCAGACTCCACTGTTTTCTGCGACACGCAGCTTCCCTGGCGTAACCACAGCCGGAACGGTCGATGTAGCAACGATCGCTCTTTGGGAGCTATTGCTGGAGACTGCACCCCAGACGCCGTCAAGAGCAGGTACCTGGCCGCCAAGTGCTGCGGGTATACCCACAAGGAGGGCTGTTGCTGCTGCTGTGACGAACATGGTGGAATGCGGCTGCCACAGGTTTATGGACCGTTATGTCCTGCCAGCCGTTATAAGGTGAACGCATGGTCGGCATTAGAACCCGCTTGATCATCAGTGCCGGATGCTTCTTCTGCCAAGAGCCTCACACCATGCATGGCCGAAGCTGTAATCATGTGGGAGAGAAACGGCGATGAGAGCACACAATAATGAGGTCGTGTGGGCATCGGGGAATGCAACGTGCAACGCGCGAAATGAGTCTCAGCGAGATATGAACGAGCCACGTGATCGTAGCACACGGCGTGCGCGTTTATCGCTGGTGATGTTTGGGTAACACCAGAACACTGCCGTCACTAGTCAAACAGAGATCGTCCTCAAACCCCATACGTGCAATACCGCTGATAATATTCGCGAAGGAATAGAGCGCTTCCACTCGGAGAAAGATATATTTATGGCTGCCAACCATAGCGCATAACCTATCCCGGATCTTCGAGGCGTGTTTTCCAACTTCTTTAGCTTGTATGTATCAAATGGATGATGGTAGTGTATCCCAATGTGGAATGTTCCAACATATGGTTCCATTCTCGTGGTCGGCGAGCGGCGACCGCCTCGGCCTATCGCCTCGAAATCCCCCTAAGACCTGCCACGGATCAAGTAAAGTGGACTTGAGGTAGGTAATGCCTAGAAGCTAGGAACATGTGGCTCTCGTGGATGATTAATGATCGCAGAACAATGTTTGAACCTCATCGGTGTCGAAGCGATGGCCAAAAACCTTGCTGGTGAAATTCAACGTTGAACTCAGTAAACAGCAGTTCAAGAATTGTACTACGCACAGGCAACCAGCTGGGACATAAAAGAATGCGGGCACCTTCTCACATGCCCATATGTTCAAAGTGTATGTGTACTTATCGTATGAGGAAATAGGGACTCGTGCTGACGCAGACTATGATCAGTGTCCACGAGGTCCTCGCCTACTTATACAGCTGAAATGTGGTTTCCGCATCCACTTTTGCGTGACACTTGTGCACCCATATCGGCAGTCAATAGCGGACAGTGCTCCCGACCTCTCATCTTCATGTCTCATGCGCTAGCTCACGATAGTTCTAACCTAGCCAGTCAGTGCGCAGAAGCAATACCGCGGTTCCTCGAAACTGTTCAATTTGTGGCTCAATCCACGAAGGGCTTTCATGAGTACGAAAGTTCTATCTCTGCGTCCATATCAGCCCTTAATATTGTCTCATTTGGCGAACGTCAAACAGTAGTATCTCATATTGAAGCGATCGCATCAGCGCGCTCCTTCGATTGCGAGCCTCAGCCGCAGCATCTGGCGTGACCGAGATAATTACTTCTCTGCATGCTCGTTCCATTTGCAGGACGGTATGTCCACCTACACGTAGAGCGCTGTCTACAGCAAGCGCTACAAGGCAATATATTTGTCTATCAAGGTATCGGTGCGAGTGATGGTTTGGCTCGGATTCATCGAATCTGTGATGCGCCGGCAGCTCGCTACATGCTGTATATCTTGACCTAGTTGCACAAAGCTATCTCGCGTCCCTACGGCGCGAGAAGGAAGCGTGTATCTATTCGGTCACTGCGCTGCACTGCAGTATCCTGACGTGAACGGCTAGATGTCCCGCTCTGTGTGGCGGACCCAACACAAACATAGACGACAGTCGACCTAGCTTTCGTCGACTCTTTGGTGAAATTTCATCTCATCTGTTTAGCCTTCTTGATGCGCCTGCGCGTCTTTCGCCTGGTTAATGGTGGAAGGTTGAAGATACTACCCTGGATCTATGCAAAGATCCTTGTTTTATCAGGTGCGAGTATGAACTGGACGCGAATGCTGAGAATGCCTTGGTGAAACTCGTAGCAATTTCGCAGAGAGGCACATTTGCTCACCTTAGTCGCCGGATCAAATCCCTGAATAACACGAGAAGTAATTAGGTACTCCTCAGGGAATTTTAACGCCGTGCTGGCATTGCATGGCGTGTATGGGTGAGTGGTTCGATCGTCGGATTTTGCTCGTAACGCTGAATGGAGGTCTCACAACGGTTGCGAATCCAGATGTCTTCAATCACACCGACTATGACACGAAGGGTGGCCCTACGAAGGCTACGCATGATAACACGCGCGCACTAGTAAAATGTTAACTCAACGCGCCCGAAGGCAAACCTGATGCTCTCATCAAGCGTCTAACAACTGCCCGTGGCCTCAATTTGCGCAATTCGCGTAAGGAGATGTGACATTTCTGGTGTACGTATGGCCTCTGCCAGCTATACAACTGCAAGGGAGTGGGTAGCGAAGCTGCTAATTCTACACAATCTTCACAAAACTGAGTAGACATTTGCGCCCAATGGGTCGCGAGGTGACAAATTGGTCATCTACGTCCATTGATGCTGTCATTTCTGGTGACACCGACGTTCGGTAGCAAGAGTACGTCTCTTTCAGCAGCATCTTCATCTCAAGAAGAGCTAGGCTGTGGTAGACCGACAGCGCATTAGACATCGCCAGGGATCACATCTGTTCAAAGCTCACTGTTTCCCTATGCAGCCGCGGCCGCCAGTCGAGAATGCAGACAGCAGCTGATTCCGCTCTATGCTGCCCTCGGGTTCCAACCAACGCTCGGGGATGAACTCCTCAGGGTGAGGGAAGACTTTCTCATCCATCTGGTGCAATGTGTACGCCTGACAGCTCACGATCGTCTCCTCTGGAAGAAAAACACCAGCAATTGTACGCCCGCCACGCGGCACCCTTCGCGGCAGACTCGTTAGAACGGGCGAGAAGCACCGCAGGCCCTCCTTCACTATCGCGTCGAGATACGACAAGTCGTCAATCGGTGTGCTTGGGTTTTCTGCCAGCTCGTAATGCAACTTCTCCTGGAATGTCACAGAAGCTGGTAATGAGAGGTGGTACATGAGGAAGCAAAGTGCGTCTCCAGTAGTATCAAGGCCGGCGAGGGTATGGTCCATGATTTCCGACGCAATTGATCGCGTGTCGAGCATGTCTACATGCGTCTGTAGCCTGTACAAGACAGTATGCTCTGCGATATCGTTGCGCAGGACGATGTTCATGATCTGGGCGGCGATGCCCTGAGAGCGGTCCGCCCGGCGAGCGAATTGAGAAGTGAAATGGAAGAGTTCAGTGAAATAATATTGCATGTACGAGCCTGCATCGGATTTTTGAGCCATCTGCGACCGAAAAAGGCAGAAATTTACTGACCTTTGAGATCATCATGGTGCGACAACTCCATGACCTTGGCGAGGTCAGCCGCGCTAGTAAGCGAGTTCAATCCATGAGGATCGAACAAATGGTACGTGGTACAGTCGATAGCGTAGCAGTGAAGATATACCTGGAGATTGTCTGAGCAATGAACAAATAACGAGGACTTAGACTCTGACATAGATGTCGACCGACACTGATCCCGTCTTTTCTGTACATTTGGCCACAAATTGTTGGGCTCTCTCTTGAATACCGGTGACAACATCGGGTTGCATGACGAACGATTTGGTGTATCTGTCAGCAACGCGCTTTCTGCGTTCACCGTGCTAATAATGGACGACGTCAATATTAGGTGCTCACAATCCCACATGAATGGGCAACGAGTCCGTAGGATAAGCTTACGGGGGCTTTATCAAGAGTCGAGAACATGCATCTGAAGCGGCATACTATCAATCCAGTCACTTCTCGAGATGGTAGGACAACAATGACATACTCTGTCTCGTAGCTGTCGAATAGTTTATACAACGACGTTTTATCGTAGCCGCTGCCTCCCGACACATAGATCTCTTTCGCGGCGTCCCAGGTCGCCATGGATACCTCATTTGGAGCGATGCGCACAACAGGCCCATACTGCATGTGTAGTGCGTGGATCCAGCGTCGTCGATTCCGAGTGAACTCGTGATAAATCAAAACAAGTCGGGTAGTGGCAGCGATCGCGGGCCCAGGCACTTTGCTCAAAGGCGAGAGAATGAGACGCTTATACAGTACATAGAGTAGTCCAAGACAGACGCAGTATACTGTATACATGGTGATTTGTAGCGGGACAGATAGGTCAGAGTAGAAGAATGAGAGCGGCATTTGCGACTCAAGAGCCGTGATAAGTGGCGAGACCTAGCCTTGAGATAGAGTTTCAATTCGAGGCGATAATCACTTGCATGCTAACACTAAAAGTAGCGACGATAGCAAGTACTAGTTCCCATGGAGGATCTCAAAGCGCCTACCTGGGCAGTCGGCAGTCACGTAACAGGAACGGATTCGTCACCATCTGTCACGCATGGCGAATTCAAAGTCCCCTCGAAGACTCAGTGGGAAGGTAGCTCGAAGTAGGCCCCGTGAAATTCCTCTAAATGTTCAGGACCCCCCCTCAAAATGGGCCTCAAGAATGCAAAATTCAGCGTGTCAAAAATGGTAAATGGGCCGAGGATCTAAGTCACGTGGGGGGTGCTTATGCTCCCACTACGGCTCGAAATTAGTGCTCATAAACTTGATTTCGATCAATGAACAGATTGTGAATCAGACACATGCCGTGATACGACTTATGTGCTCGGCGTCGTCGGTCAATGCACGGCTACCCTTACCATCTTTTCCCCAGATAGCTATCCTCATCAATGGTCGGCTCAGCCGATTGCAGGATGGAAACAAACGATTCCCATATTCGGACCATCTCGCCATTGTCTCGATGGAAGCTGTAAAAATGCTTAAAGTGGACAAGGGTTGACGCCTTTGGGCCCTTTTTGGGGTCTGAAAACCCCTAACTGCAACAAGGATATGGGCGTTTTCGGGCTCTGAAAAATGCTACAGGAGGCCGAACCTGTAGGGAAGTTGCACGGGGCCTCTCAAAGTGTACAAATAGTAGTCTCATTTCCAGACCTTATAGGCGGATCACGTGTGCTGTTACCCCATTGGGTGGCAGAGATCTAAAAACCCCTGCACACTCTCGCCTATAAGGTCTGGTGAATTTTGCAGGGAGGGAGGGGGGTATCCATCACGTGTCACCAAAGTCACTGGTGACGATGCCGTTACCTCTCGCGTCTGCTCGCGTATGTGACTGCGTCTGACGCGCCTCGTGTCTTGCGCTGCGCACTTCGAAACTCAGTCGCTAGCCAATGTATGTGCATGTATGCTATGGTAGACAACCTACATAATCATAATGTTGTCTATTCCAACTACTCATCTGAGCCCTTGGCTGAGCTCGCTACGCAGTGTCATTGATGATTCTGACTCCGACCTGGACTCCCCGCCGGCTTCGGACTTGGGCAGCGATATCTTTGACGACCACTCGGGGCTTCTGGGTAGTACTGAAACAAGCTTCAGCTCGCTTTTTCCAGACAACAGTCAAGAAGATGTTTCTACGCAGCCAAAGACTACTGGCAGTACTTGCTTGTCACCACATAGGCTACGTACACTGAAGTTCTGGCGGTACCTCGAGGAACAAGGCGACACCTCTGCTTGGATCAAGGAAGTGCTTGCTTATATGCTCAGCAAGTCCATTGATCTCCCCATACTTTTGCGTCTGCTCAGCTGGGGTGCTGAGGAGCTCATCAATGATCCCTTCATGCGTTTTGAATGGACTGCTCTGATGGGTAGCTCAGAGCTCAGCGAGTGCTTGGACGAGTGGTATCTGCCAAACCGTAGTCATGAACGAGGGGTCAAGACACAAGGCACGCACCAGACATTGACTCACTGGGCAACCTCGTGTGTTGGTGACATGGTCACCAAGGAGATGGTGAAGATCGGCAAGGTCCTGCATTCTGAGCTGGAAGAGCTCTCAGAAGAAACTCTTTTGGCAGTCAAGTGGGAAAGCCTCACTAACACTACCAAGCAGGAGGCCCCCGTCCTGTGGCAGCTTCTCCGGCAATGTGCTTGGACAGCCGATCAAGACAAGTGAAACACCTGCAAGGAGCCAGACTCTGTCAGTATAGCTATACCTTTCGACATGCCATAAGCTCACTTTTTGCAACATTAGGTCATGCTATACACCATTGCAATGCTCGTGTTCTCGCGTTCTAACCGCAATAGTCTCTGCCAGAAATTGATCGCAATCTATCTGAAGAGCTGCAGGACATCGGCAAAAGCATTCGATACACTGCATGCGCTCGGTGTCACTATGAGCTATAGCGGATATGTTTTTCATGAAGTCTGGTGTGCACAGCAGTCGCGAGAATTGTGGATGCTGTAAGCACATTTCGGGCAAGGTCAATATCGTGCAATGTTTGTGATCTTCGAGCTCCTATATACAGCGTCAGCTGGGTTCGTATTCTTCGTATAGTGTTGATACCTTGTAAAGTTTTGTGTTATAAACATCCCCATTGACTGCCATTGCAGTGATTCCCAGTTTCTTAAAGTGCTGAGCCTGTGCGTGCTATTGGTCAGCAATCAATTGATCGTGTAGAGGTGGAACATACCTGGTCATACTCGAGTTCATTAAGAGGTGATATAATCAATACCATTTTCTTCTTGGTCTCGTCAAGCAGAAGTGGCATGACGAATGGCATTGTCTTGCCTGCGCCCGTCCCCGCAATAACCATACAGTCGACACAGTGTCGCGACTTGAGGTCAAGCAACTTGTGGAAAACCTAAAAGCTGGGGGCGTCCGACTGATTCTCACCGAAGCGATGGTGAGCGATGCTCAAACCTAAGGCTAGGGACAAGATAATATATTAGTGAGGTAAGAAAAGGAATACAAAGGATGCTTACTGACCTAGGGACAAGAGGTCGAAACTGAGGTCCCTAGGGCAGCAGAGGCCGGCTTATATACAGGGGAAGATGAGGGCAGGCTGTGCGCACTGGTCCGTGCACAGCTGGTCCATGCACAGCATGCTGACGCGGCCCCGGGGGCCGGTGAGTCAGAGAGGCTGTGTCAGCGGAGCCCGAGCTGTGCCGCGCACTGCCGCCCCATCTAATCTAATCGTACAGTAGATAGCGATGCATCCATATCAGGCATGTAGTACAGAGGTCGCGGGTTTGAGCCCGCGAAAAGGAAAAAATTAAAAAACGGCTAGATGCCGTACCAACTCGTGACACACAGAGCAGGATTGCTTCTGTAACATCAATTTGCCAGTCATAAGGCTGGCGACCATCGAAGACACGAGTGAACTCGTCGATGATGCGTCTTCGTGTCTCTGCAGACGAGTACTGGTGCGTTTTTGCTGCTTCCTCACAGGCCTTTTTGAGGATAGACACCGAGAGCGTTGAAAGACCGTATGAGAACTCGGCAAGAGTGGATATAGCGGGAGCCATACTACGCGCTGTACATAGATTGACGGAACATGTCGCAGGCAAGACATGCTGCAGGCACGTTAAGCGCCAGGGCATGACAGATACCCCCCTCCCTCCCTGCAAAATGCACCAGACGTTAAGGGGGGGAGTCGTGCAGGTTTTTTTGGAACTCCGCATCCAGATATAGTAACACTCCACGTGATCCCTTCTCCCCCCCTTAACGTCTGGTTACGAGACTATACAAATAGGGCTGCTTAATTCTTGTTGTGCGCTCGTTCATTCGTTCACACCCGCCTTTGGTAGGTGGTTCCAACTCCGACTGATCGGTGGCTGAGGGATCGGTTGGGGTTGAAACCAAGAGGCGGGTGAGATTGAGATCGGGAATATGCTCCACCTGAGAAGTGGATAGCCCCCCGGTGTCCGGGGGGCCTGATTTCAATCTCTGCGCTGTTTTCGCTGAATCTCTGAATAATGCCTGCAAGACTTTCTTTCATGTCCTATCACTCTGTAAGATGAATGAGATTGAATATAGTCATATTTTGACAAAAAGAAACGAATTTTCTACTCCTCTTAGAAGCCACTGTCAGATGTGTTTTTGCTGCATGCAGAGAGTGTGGCCGCAGGCACGTGACATGTGCTGCCCAAGAGCGTGTCGTGCTACGAGTCAGCCTTCCTCACTCTCGCTCAACACACTCATGAATACAGTATCCCAAGATAGTGACACAAAATCTGCTTTCATTCAATGCTATCTACTCCTGGCGACTTACACTATTCAACTTTGTTATCTGTCACTGACTCAGACTCCTTTACATCCCAGTGCCATAAGCAATCACGAGCAGATACAATGTGGGTTGACAATGCAGCGCAGCGGACAAAACAAGGCAGATTTTGGGCTATTATACTTACCGAAGCGACCCCATCATGTACTTGATGACAAATGATATCTAGAATAAGCCTACTCAACTGTGTATGCCTGCTCGAGTGCATTGCTCTTCGTCTACCATGCAAGAAGGGGACTTGAAAAAGGAAAAAAGGCCCAGCTGCCTGCCTATTATTGTCATGAGTTGGTACAGTGTCTAGCCGTCTTTTAATTTTTCCTTTTCGTGGGCTCGAACCTGCAACCTCTGTACTATATGCCTGATACGGACACATTGTTATCTACTGTATGATTAGATTAGATGGGCAGCAGTGCGCGGCACAGCTCGGGTCCCGCTGACACAGCCTCTCTGACTCACCAGCCTCCAGGGCTGTGTCAGCATGCTGCGCACGGACCAGCTGTGCACGGACCAGTGCGCACAGCCTCCCCTAAACTTCCCCTGTATATAAGCCGGCCTCTGCTGCCCTAGGGATCTCAGTTTTGACCTCTTGTCCCTAGGTCAGTAAGCCTCTCATGTATTCCTTTTCTTACTTAACTAACTAATACATTTCTTGTCCCTAGCCTTAGGTTTGAGCGTTGCTCACCATTGCTTCGGTGAGACCCAGTTGAACACCCCCAGCCTTTGTGTTTGTTTGTCCTTGTCGCTTGACCCCAAGTCGCGACAATTATGGTTAGAACATCTATCACATAACGTGTTCTAACTAAGAAGGAGGTTATCTTACCCTACTTTCGGGGACCTTTCAATGTGCACGGTGAATGTGGCTCATTGCATTTTTGCCCACCTCTTGGTTGAAACTAACTACCAGCAGGCGCTCTGCAAATGAGTGGGGCGACAAGACTTGAGCAGCCCTACTTACGCCTAGCAAGTCATTTCGGGATGATTGACAGCCAATTTTTAGTCTACTGCAGAGTGTATTAAGGAAGCATATATATGATGTGGTTTGGAAAGTGCAATTTCTATGTATCTGAGAATAATTGACCATGTTGTGTGATTATGTTCCGAACCCCTGCAGGCCCTCAGGTGCAGATTTGGTAGACTACCCATGAAATGGCAAAATTGTGACCAAACATTCATGGATCTAATATTCCATGACCCATCTCTGTTTGCGAAGAGAGATAGGCTAATTGTTCATGATCTGACACCATATCTGAAGTCGCACTGCTTGAGGACCCATGTCACTAGTGTGTCAGAACATCGTGATGTAGTTCCACAATGAGACGAGGAGCACAGCGCATATGGCTGCTAACACATTCATTTAAACAAAAGGTCCCATCAGGCAAGTATATGTGACCTCTTGCCTTTGCCAGATGAGGAGACGTAGGGCTATGCGAGGTGCTCGAAGGATCCAGCAGAACTGAGCTCCGACGTCGTCAAATCAGGCTCGATACACGGCACAAAGGCCAAGTGCTGAGAGGAAGCCTAGTAGCTACATCCCATGTATGGTACAGCTAAAATACACACTGTTTAGGAAACTCTATAGAATTCTAGGGAACGTGAGCCTGTGCAAGCCGGGCCACATACTGGGCAGTTGTACTACCGGTCCTCGGTGCAAGTCGCACCAATCATCCGTTGTGGGGTCGAGGCGGCAATCCTAGCACATAGATTGTGCGGTGGTTTCACTTGAACTGCTCTTGAGCCATTCGAGTGCCCAGTATGTGGGCTAGTTGGAGTGTGAGGCCGAGCAACAGAGAGTGGTGGTGCCATCATTCAGCCTGTCCAGCGAGGAAGTGGTGGGGTATAAAGCTGTGACACTCGCGTTCCTTCTTAAGAGGAATGTCAGTGGTAGCATACTAGGGAGAGTTTGCACCGCGGGCCAGACAGGTTATAAGTCTGTGATTGGGTTCTGAAGTATGCTACCGAACGCAGTACAGACGAGCTTGTTAAGTACTGCGAGAGTAGGTAAAATTTACAGTTCGTTTACCAAGCAAGAGAAGTTTTATGGGGCTTGGGGTCATACCAGGACTCGGAAAGCCTATTAGCAGAGAAAGGGTGAAGATTAAAAAGGAAAGTAGTGTAATTGTTCTGGGAAGAGTCAGCCGGAGCTACCGGTCTGTCACATACGCCCTCCAGGCTTCGCAGAGCGAAGTCCTACTCCTCAGTGACCATCGCGTTCTTGTCAATGGCGTCAGCGGTCACAGGCTTGCTTTTCTTGAAGTGCAGTGCACCGGACCTAGACGTGCCGGCCTCGGCAGGCTTAGCGGCGTCGGCAACGGCCACAGCCTTGCCCTTCTTTGGTGCGCTGGTCTTCGTCATCTCTCCACCACTGCCACCACTTGTTGTCGTGCCCTCGATGACCCGTCCTTCATCCACGTCGCTCTCGTGGGCTTCAATGTCGTCGGTTCGGCTCGCCTGCCAGGCCTTTGCCACATCCCCAAACTGGAGGATGCGACCGAACAGCTTAGAGCTCGAGCGGACTTCCTCAGCCCTATCCTGGAGCTGGGTGGCCTTCTTCTTGGCGATGAACTCAGCCTGTTTCATCTCACGACGAGCTGAAGTCTCGAGAAGAAACTGATGCAGCTTCTGTCTCTCGGGCTGCAAGATGTCAGCTTTGGCCTTGGTTGGGGCAACCATGGGTGCCAGCGAGTCGACTGGGATAGCCTTCCCATGCACTGTGACTTTCAGGTTAGCACTGATGCTGCAGAATTGATATTCGCAGGATTCATCTTGTGCCCATAGGTCCCGAAAAGAGACATAACCTCCCGGCATGAATACCTGGTTGGTTTGAAGGTGACCATTGACAACACCGTGTCCCTGGCGCAAGGACAAGTCGAAATGGGGGTATTGGCGGAGTATCTTGGGAATAAACTGATAGCAAATTTCGGTGGTGGAGTCATAGATGATGAGGTCCCTGTTCTTAAGGTGGGAAACATAGTTGTTGGACATAGTGGGTGAGAGTACAATGTTTAGAGGAGGGGGAAGGACAGTGAAGAGTCCAAGAATTGATAGCAGGATAGAGTCGGGTGAGTGTGAGACCTTTGTTGATGTGCAATTTTGTTGTTGGCCTCGAGTTCGCTTTCGTACCCTTCTTATAGGTTTCTTGTGATCGGTAAAAAGTTCAAGACCCCCTAAGTAAAGCTGAGGGTCAGCTGAAGGCACTCCACTTCCTTCTGCAAGGTGCGCCACATCCACGACACCCAGCAATTCAAGGTACACTTTCAAAGCATCCAGGTGCGCTGATGCGACCTACGAAACCCTAACCCCTAACCTGGGTGCGACCTAAAGGGACTAGAGACGGATTATAGTCTTAGTGAGAGGGGAGTTAGCAGCAAGGTGTCCCGCGGTTCGAGTGAACACGAGAAACGCCTTCGGAAAAGGCTACGAACGCTAGGGAAGGTACGAGGTGGCTCAACACGTCGTCGAAGCTACTCGGAGGCTGTGGGTAGTTAGCGGGGGTTGGTAGAGACGATCGAAGCTCGGCAGAGCTCTTCGATGTATCGTAGAGGGAAGAGAAACGATTCGATAGGGTGGACTTAGCTAGGATGCGGTTCGAGATGCAACGCAGTTCTTCGACAATAGTCGAAGTCGATCGTAAGATCAAAGGTTCGTCGAGACGGTATCGACAAGTAAACGCAGTAGACGAGGTTTCGAGGTTACACAGCGAAGAACGAAGTGACGCAGTTGAAGGCTTAGACGCAGGGCGAACTCGACTTATGAGCTCTGATCTCGAGGGGGAAACAGAACTTTTTTTTTGGAGAGAAGTACGACAGATTTTATACTACGAAAGGGACGCTACAACTATCGAGAGTGGCACACTAGTACGAGGGGCTTTGCATTGTCCTACACGAGTCTGCCTCACCGAGTGGCACATATCAAGTCCATCGGTAGAGTGACGTCATGCCGAACGCGGAGATGAAGAGAAACATACGAGACACTTCGGACCGGTATCCATCGTCAAAGGCACACCGCGAGGTTCGATACCTAATCGGGAAAGACCGGACGCGTTGGTGTGGCACGAAGCGATGCACGCGCTGGACGAACGGCGTCGAGTGGCCCTATTGTCCGCTGAATGCGGGAGATGTCCTGAGATCTACGGGCGAGGCATCGGGATGACCGCGCCGAGCTTCGAGCAAGCGTCGCGCACAGTCGAAGACATCGAAGAGCATCGAAGGGTATTGTGAGTCGGGAGTCACGTGCGTAGCATCGAAGAACGTCGAAGGCGAAATCGAAGTGTTGGGTGACTGAGCCGAAGTGCTGGGCGGGATGCGATTGCCGAAAAGAGCTGTATCGGGGCCCAGAGGGGCTTGGCGCCTATCAGCGCAATGGTGGAATATGGCACCCACGTTCAATCACCGGATTTCCATTCAGCCTCAAACAAGGCTTGGTCCCACGCACCCGTATGTGATAGGATCCTGGCAATTGCCCATTCATTATCCCGATCCTCGAGTTCGGCAACTTGACTGTCAAGTTGTCCAGGGAACAGTCAGTCGTCATTAGGCTCATGTACTCATGATAAAGAGGCATGAAATACAGAGTGAATTCCTCATTGTTGCAAGTTAACGGACAAGTCAAGCTCGTATGAGCTATTACCGAAATTGCATACAATGAGGTAAGGGCCAATATACTTTGGCACAAGCTTGCGGGCATACCCCTTGGGTAAGGATATGTTTTTAGTGGAGACATAGACCAAGTCACCCTTTTCAAATGGTGCTGGTCGGCAACGGCAGTTCGTGTTACAGACTTGTTTTACCCGAGCGGATATGATACTATCATGAGCAGCCATAACAGCATTTTTCACCCATTGGGCATATGCCCGGACTGCCGGGTATTCCTCCTTTGGCGGAGTATTCCAAATGAGCAAACGAGGCATCTGACCGGAATTAAGGAAGAATGGTGCATAGCCTGTGCTATCTGACCTTGCCAGATTGATGGCAAACTCGATTGCGGGCAGCTTACTAACCCAGTCTTTCTGATCGGGGCTAATACACTGACGAAGCATCTGGGTCACTGTTTGGTTTGCCCGTTCAGTTGACCCGTCTGATTTGGGGTGATAAGCACTAGACATGCGCAACTTGACACCAATAAGTTTGTGTAGGTGTGTCTAGAACAGGCTTGTGAATAGCACTGTCATGAGTTGGTACGGCGTCTAGCCGTTTTTTAATTTTTTCCTTTTCGCGGGCTCAAACCCGCGACCTCTGTACTACATGCCTGATATGGATGCATCGCTATCTACTGTACGATTAGATTAGATGGGGCGGTAGTGCGCGGCACAGCTCGGGCTCCGCTGACACAGCCTCTCTGACTCACCGGCCCCCGGGGCCGCGTCAGCATGCTGTGCATGGACCAGCTGTGCACGGACCAGTGCGCACAGCCTGCCCTCATCTTCCCCTGTATATAAGCCGGCCTCTGCTGCCCTAGGGACCTCAGTTTCGACCTCTTGTCCCTAGGTCAGTAAGCATCCTTTGTATTCCTTTTCTTACCTCACTAATATATTATCTTGTCCCTAGCCTTAGGTTTGAGCATCGCTCACCATCGCTTCGGTAAGACAAGTCGAACGCCCCCAGCTTTAGGTTTTCCCCTGTCGCTCAACCCTAAGTCGCGACAAGCACATCACAATTGCTGACAATAGACTTCGGGAGGCCATGAAGTTTGTAAACTTCTGCAAAGACTAACTCGGCTACCTGTTTTGCCGTGTAGTTAATCCGACTTGGTACAAGGTGTACCATACTTGTCAGCAGATCAATGATCATGGTGATCGAGTCATAGCTCACATCCCGGTCTGATGATTCAGGTAAAGGTCCAACAAAGTCAATACCTATTGCATCCCATGGTGCGCTCAGTACTGGCAATGGGTTAAGAAGTCTGTAAGGCTCCTGATTAGAAGGTTTGCTCCTTTTTCATGTCATGCATGATTCACAGAACTTCTGTACATCATGTGTCATTGTCTTCCACCATACATAGTCACGAAGCAGCCCTAGTGTTTTGTATGACCCTAAGTGAGCCAGCAGAGAATGTGCATGGGAAATAGTGATCTTGCGAGCATTACAACCATCTACTATGATGTTCGGTATGCAGAGGACTTCTAGTTCTTTATCTCGCATGTAAACAAGATCATCCTGCACTACGAAATTCTTGTAGTGTTTCGGGTTTTCGAGTATAGTTTGGAAGAACTCATCATGCGAGTATGATCCTGTGAGAGCATTGGGTAAGTTGATGCCATCAGAGCTTTCACTGATATGCTCTAGCAGTGTAGGTACCGTAGATGCCAAATCAGGCATAGAGTTCATGCCCTCCAGCCCTTGTGCTAGAACCACGACACCTGCATCATTGTCCATATCAACTGCCTCGACAGGTGCCTTAGGTGAGTGGTCGCTATGCTCCGAAGTGTCTGGCTGATCCAACGGGTCCTCGCCCTCCTGTTGTTCAGCATGTGGACTGTGAAGGACAACATGGCAGATACGCTTTGCAAACTTGCAGGACGTCTCCAGTCAACCCGACTCAGCAGCTGCCTGCTGACGATGAGCACGACATGGTGCACGCTGGTCAACAGCAGACAGAGTGGCCGGCTGCAATACAGAAACAGCATGCGCCTCCACACCCGCAAGAGCAGGCATAGAAATTGCATGGGCCACCAGCCGTCGGCCGTAGGGTTCGCAATCATCATATTGTGTGTATTCAGATGCCGTGTGCACTGTTCCAGGTGCGTCGTTGGAGTATATGCATGAGAGCGCATCTGCTAAGACATTCTCAACCCCGGGGATGTACTGAACCTCAAAGTCAAACTCGGATACGAGCTCTAGCCAGCAAGCCTGGCGCCCGGACAGATTCCGCTGTGTAAGAAGGTGCGTCAGCCCCTTGTGGTCAGTGACCCAAGTAAACTGACACCCCGACAATATGTCACGGTAACGACACATTGATTCCACACCCGCGAGCATCTCAATCTTGTGCACGGGGTAGTTAGACTGCGCCGACGTCAGCTTCGCGGAGAAGAAAGCAGCCACCTTCGCATTATGAAAGTCAGCACCCTGGCACACCACACCCGCTATCCCGCCATGGGAGCCATCCATCACCAGCCAGATAGCAGCTGCACCAGCAGAGTAATCCAGTGGGACGCGATGATGCTCCCGGTAAGCATGCAACAGCTGCTTGATCGCCTCGAAAGCACGCTGATGCATAAATTCCCAGCCAAAGCTTGAATCAGACCCCGTCAGCGATGTCAGGATCCCCATTGGGATGCGCACTGTGGCGACATCGTCTGCAAGATACCCTACGGACCCAAGAAACCCCCGTAGGAGCTCCTTGGAGGTAGGAACCTTCCAGTTCAGGATGGAGTCAACTTTGTCAGGGTCCATCCGAATCCCATTGTCATCAACAATACGGCCAAGAATCTTCATCTCCCGGCACAGGTATTTCTGTTTGTCCGCATTGAGATAAAGTTTCTCGTGGCACAACACGTCGATAACAGTGCGAACGTGAGTAACATGTTCCTCAATCGTGTCTGAGTAAATGATAATATTGTCTAGGTACACATCCATGAAGTGGCCCAGATATGGCGCAAAAATATGATTCATCAGTGCCTGGTATGTCGCGACCGCATTGCAGCCACCCTGCTGCAGTACAAGACTGACCATGTTGCCATCAGGAGTCGCCATAGCGGTGCACTCGACATGATCTGGCTCAACACGGATTTGCTCATACGCATCCTTCCCATCCAGCGCGGACCGACAGGGCTTACGGGCAACACGCCGCAATATACCGTCCATATCTGGTAGCGGCGAGCTGACTTTGATGGTGTTCTTGTTGTGCCATTGCAGGTCGACAACAGCATGCAACCTAGGCAGCGCGCTGCTCATTCCAGTACCTGGCTTAGGCAACAGCAACATTGGGCAAGTATTCCGAGCATTCGACACACGCCAACGGCCGGTGCTCAAGTAGGCATCACGCTTCTCTGCCCAAAGTGGATGCAATGCCTCGGGGCACTTTGATGGCCTCCAAGGGTAGACGGCGGACTCATCCTTCAGCGGGATGGTGTGATTGATCACCCGGAGAGGGGGCAAAGGCGCGTCCATAGCGGATGTGCAGATTGGGGCCACGTACTCACGCAATTCACGTTGCACGTGTTCGAGGTGATCCTCATAAACATCGGCCGCACGCAACTCCAATACTCACAATCGCTTCCCTTCAAGAGGGAGCGCGGCATCACTGCCGATATGCACTGCGGTAGGATTCAATCCTATCGTGACTTTGTGCTGATAAAAAAAATGGAGTCCCTAGAATCAGGTCGTAATTCAAAAGGTTCACAACATCAAAGTAGCGAGCGGTGCGAACACGTTGGTAAGCTAGGTCGGCCGTGCAACCAAGGTTGATTTTCACACGAGAACCCTGGACTGCGAGGTGTACGGGCAATGGCTTTTCAAGCTCGAATGTCTTCACCCCAATCCGGTGTGCAAACCTTGTTGACATGAAGTCGGCAAGTGAGCCAGTGTCCAACAGAGCCCGAGCGGAGTGCCCGTTGACTTGAACAATGACCACAACGGGCTCTGGTATGAGATGCTTAAAGTCTCGCGTATTTGCTGCATTCCGTTGCAACGCGGGCAGCGCATCCGACGATGTGACCTTCACTGCATTCAGCTCGATGGCAGGAATGCAGTCAGCCGGCAACTGCGAGTAGAACAGCCCTGCTAACTCACCCTCCAAGTCATCAAGCTCGAAAGGCAGAGGTTGCAAGGCATGACTCATGTGCGAGGCATAGAAGTTTGGTAAGTCCAGACACACATTCTTGACATCCTCATTATCCACCCGCAGCTCGGCTGACAGATACAGGTCATGTACCTCGACATACCCATCCTGCTGAAAACAATGAAAGCGGTCCATTGTACGGATACCCTCCAGTTCGCTCTCAGGGACAGAAACATGTTCATTCAGTACCTGCGCTACCCCACGCACAAGAGCGGAGCCAACCTTCGTACTTGGACGGGGCAAATGGTCTGTGTATTCAGCCCATGACATACATTGATGATGCCACCATCACGCGAGGTCGAAGTTGGGGTTGCGCAAACAGGAGACTGGAAGCGAGTCATCCCATTCGACTTGGCATACCCAACACTCTGAAGGACTAACCTGGGTGACGAGAGTGATCTCCTCATCATCAGGCATGCCCATAAGACTTTCATGATGGGAGTGTCCGCACTCATTAAGAATGCACATCGCATTCTCAGTATACAGGTTGCCTAAGCATGTGTGCACTCATCCTTCATGTCGCATCGGGGGCAGGTACATCGTGAGGTAATCCTCGTCATAGGCTACGAGCTCACGATTATCGTTGGAAATACCCCCAGACGAGTCGGCATCCAGGATGGATTCCAACTCGGGCAGCAAATCAGAGGCCTCCGACTCATCACACTGTCCCTCAACATCATCATCCTCAAGGGAGTCACCTACAACAATGTGGTGTAGGGCGAGCTCATCCACACTTACTATAAATTCAGCGAGCTCCCGCAGTGTCTCGGCGTGACCAAATTCCACGCTAAACGAGGAGACCCCCGGTGGACGACCCTTTGAGGACGATGTCACCTGCACATGATGAGGACAGTTCCGCGTGAGGTGTCCAACCTCCTGACACTCGAAACACTTGCTGTCAGTGGCCAGAGAAGCTTTTTCCCGATCCGACATCTTTGGGGCAGAGGGGGTTGGGCAACCTCCCTTGTCCCGACGTGGTCCGGCAGTCATCCGCGAGCCACGGTCATAGGTGCATGCTGGCATCGAGCTGTCTCGCCCATTCATGCGCGGCTCTGATGTTGAGCTGTTCTGCTGCTAGGGATGTCGGGTACCACCGTCCGTCCGTCGTCCCGAAGCCCCTCCATTATGCCCTGGCTGTCGAGAGCCGACTCCGGAAGTCTCAGGTCCATTGCTACCTCTGGAGGCGACCTTACCGCCCCCACCTCCGGGTATCGACTTAGCAATCTCGACAATCTCAGCCATGGCCACCACTTCTTTCCACTTGGAGTGGAGAGGGTTCAGCTCCTTGAGCCAGAGCTCGCTCTGTATGTAGGGGTTCAGCCCGTACCAGAGCTGATCTACTTTTTCCTCAGGAGATAGAACTCCGACCAGCTGGAAAAGTCCTTCAAGTTCGTGGACATATTCCTTTACATTCCGCTCACATTGTTGGCAGTTGCACAGTCGACTTCTCATTTTTGCATGAAAAGTAACAGGAAAGCAATAATTGAAAAGCTCCGTGAAGAACTGGTGTACAGTCCAATCCTCAGGTCGATCAGACACCGAGACCACGTAAAACTCGTATGCCCTTCCACCTAGGAAGTTTGCGAGCGTAGCGACTCGCTGTCGTTTCGGTACGTCGTAACCTGTCAGATACGCCGTAACCTGCTTAAGGAACTTGTGCAGGACTTGCATGTCCATTGCACTGTCGTAAATGTCTGGGTCCCGGGGCTTCAGCACTGGGATCCTGCTTTTGCGAGATTTCTTACCACGCTTTGCATGCAACCGACGGGGCGACAATCCTTCTGACTCCGAGGAAGAGGAATCCGGGTCATCAGACCCGTCACTATCCGAGTACTCCAACCCGTGGAGCGCGCGACCTAGGTGGCTGCCAGGCTCGAGTTGGTATACAGGCTTGACGAGTGAGTCGGCTCGTCCCTCAACTACCTTGGAGCGAGATGGACTGGGAGTCCGTGCAGTCGTGCGGCGTACAGCCTGTTCTGGCTGTGAGCTAACATGCCGAGGAGTACCCGCAGCGGCGCCACGCGAATCAAGGCCATCTGATGTCGTAGGTTGCAGGACCCTCCCGGGCGCAGCAGCCGCCGTGCCACTGAGAGCAGCAACTAGTTCTGCAAGCTGCCATTCTATGGTGTCGAGCCGCTGCGAAGGGTCATTCATACTTCGTGCTGCAGGAGATGCCCTGCACGGCTGTGAAGCGAAGATCGAAGGAGGTGCGTTCTCCTTATCACTGTTATTCTGACTCTGCTGACCTGGTGTCTCAGGCCATTCTGCTTGGCTGCCAGTGGCAGAGGTATTAGCGATAGAAACCGCGCCCTTGAGGCGCTCGTATTCCCGGAGCTGAGTCTCTGGATCCAGCTCCTCCAAGGGGATACTGACTGCTCCCCATTCACGGGCATCGACTGTCTTCCCTTTCCCGGACGAGGGCCCTTCGCCTCGGGACGACGCCGGTTGCTCGACAGCGCGAGCTTCCCGGACTAGGCGGAAGCGTTCTTCGAGACGCTCCCAGTCGGCCGGACTCAATGAGTCCTCGGCCATCCTGACGACCGCTCTCTGGTCGGTGGTCAGGGGTTCGGCACGCCCGCCTGCAGTGCGGGGAACGCGCATCGGGCTCTGCGACGCCGTCCGGCCATGGCGACCACGGTGGGAGAGAATCCACTCTCCGCTGTCATCTTCCTCGACTTTGATCACAGGGGAATGCGCCTCTGCCTGTGACTGCGAGTCCTCGACGCTCGGCTCGGGAGCCGTGAGCGAAGAGAGTGGGCTCAGCGACCGGTAAGGGCCGTAAGACACCGCCGCCTCCCCTGTTGGAACAGGAGAGGGAATACGCGGAGAGACAACCCGGCTGTAGAGCAGCCCGGGCTGAACTCGTCCGGAGACGGATTGTTCATCCGTGTCAGTGACGTCGCCTTGCGGCCGACTGCCACTATTTTGGTAATTGCTGAGAGGGTACTCACCTGGAAGAGCGTCCATACTAGGAGTCGGCAAAGGCGCAACTCGGCGGGACCTCAAGTTGTAGCGAGTAGCAATGGGAATTTGCGACATTTTGAAGCTAAGGGGTTTTGCTGGTTTGTCGAAGTTGTTTTGATGTGAAAGGAGTCGCCTAGAGTCGGAGTGTCGAGTTGATCAGACTCGAGTGTAGCCAGACCGAGGGCGACTAAGCAGAGGAGTTGGTTCGGTTTAAAGCAGTAGAGGAACTGTCAAAAATATGTGACGCTCGCGTTCCTTAAGAGGAATGTCGGTGGCGGCACACTAGGGAGAGTTCGCACCGCGGGCCAGACAGGTTATAAGTCTGCAATTGGATTCCGAAGTACGCTACCGAACGCAATACAGATGAGCTTGTTAAGTACTGCGAGAGTAGGTAAAATTTACAGTTCGTTTACCAAGCAAGAGAAGTTTTATGGGGCTTGGAGTCATACCAGGACTCGGAAAGCCTATTAGCAGAGAAAGGGCAAAGATTAAAAAGGAAAGTAGTGTAATTGTTCTGGGAAGAGTCAGCCGGAGCTACCGGTCTGTCACAAAAGCGATCACCTGATCGTGCAGGGACGCGTGGGTTCTCGGCGACCAGCTTGTGTACACCAGTGCGCCATTCGTCGATAGACCAATCACTGATGGTGTCTGAGGATGTTCGTCGCTGGACTGTGTCCAAAGGTAGACTGCCTGTCTGACTACGAGATAAACCGAACCTCGAGGCCATGATGAAGATCTGGACTTGCGATCGAGGGAACACCAGATAGTCTTGGAGATGGCATCAGCAGTCTGTAGGCCGTGGTAACTTACAGCAGTGCCTTCTTATAAAATATTTTCCACGCTGTTGAAACGCGCAGCCCCGCGTGGTCAGGAACGAGCTCGAAAGCTCGGGCTTGAGTAGCCGGGGGCCGGAGGCCCCTATCGTAGTATATAACGACCCCGCGCGATGTACGTACTACACGTGATTGTCCCTTACGGGCATCGCTACGCCCGTGGACAAACGCGCCCCGCGCCGTTCGCACCGTTATTCCAACACACGCGAGTGGTGAGGATGAACTACAGGTCCGACTAAAATCCTCGCACTCAGTGATGGTCGCCTAAGAGCGGGTATATGAGTGCAGCGCCACAGTTCGAATGAGCTGCCGCGCGGGGTTGTGCTGGTCCCATCCTCGTAGCATACCCCGATCTAACCGTGAAACTGAGTCAGGAAACGCGTGTGCAACCCATCAGATACGTCTCTCACCTGATCTTTGCGGCATCCTACGACTGATGAGCAGATGCAACTGCTAACGATAGCACGAGGAGATATCTAAGGTAGTCAACAGGATGAGTCAAATCATGCGCATGGCTAAGAAAAACTGACGGATTGTGCTGACTAAACAACATGTAGTTTGGGTATTGCAGCGATAGATCCTGAGCCTCGTGTAAGATGAAGTATTAAACGCATATGAAAGAACGTGCCATCAGTACGTCGTGAGATTCACGGATGCATCATACTTGAAGCCGTGTGCTCCGCCAGCATTCTCTCGAAAACATCGTCTGTCTTGTCATTCAGAGAATCCGAACTACCTCGTGAGGGCCATATACGCGGAAATGGCTGGACCTCATGGGCCACCATTTCTGCAAAGTGATATCAGCCGCCGTGCCTGGTCACTACGACAGAGAAAACAATCACATTTCTATACAGATCAGTCTCAAGACTAGATGCTGCCGCTGGTAGATTCGGAGTTGAGAGTCAGGGAAGACGATTTTCAGGGACGATCAGCATCGACGACACATGCTTGCAGTTATTATATTCCACAGATCCGCCGCCGCTTCCTGCTGGCTGAAAATAGACAAAATCCCATACGAAGAGCCGATGCTCAAGGGCTTGTCTATGTAGGGCCTAAACTGCCCTTTAGTCAGTCGCCGACATTGAAGCGCTGTCGGATACACATACGGGACCATTGTCTCATGCGTTCGGGTTGTATGTCATGCTGCTGCCAACAATTGTGATGTAGCACAGCCCATCCTCCTCGAGCATGCTAAACATACCCGGGTTTGAAAAGCGAAGTAGATCAGGTCTTGGTGTCTGGCGGTTACACCATGGTCAGCCATGTGAAGGGATCGTTACTTGAAGAACTAGAACTTGGGTTCCGAGATCAGTAAACGGAACAAGGCTGAACACACATGGAACGTACCAGAGTGGTATGCACCGACGGCTGGTAGACGCTGTTTGGCGTCTCGCAAGGACCACGCGTATGATTACCGCGGCGGCCGGTAGGAAACTCTGAGATGCAGCCGATAGCCCAAGAGCTAGAGACATCATAGAAGAATATACTGAAAATAAGGGGACCAGGGCAACGCAATGCTCTTCAGTACAACTGTACATCCCGCCCCTTCGCGACAATCGTCACGCATGGTTCGGCAGCATATTTGGCTCATCCGTACGGATCGGGGGTGTCTGTATCAGTCCACTGCCGCCTGCGAATTAACGTGACGACAGAAGCTCCAGTCGCGATGGGGGGTCGATGGGATTCGATCCTTCACAGACTATTCTGAATGTTCATGACCTGGAGAGCACGTGCAAAACGCGGTAAGATGGGGTATGTGGCTAGGTGTAAAGACTCAGGACCGTATCTGGAACATTTCAGTTTGGACAAGATGGCGTCAGTCATACTTTCACCTACAGATCTACAAGAGAGCGTACTTTGAAGAATGCCATTCCGCGAACCAAGGTCGTTGCGCAGTAGGCAGCATATCTCCAGCTTCCTCCTGTCGATAAGCGAGCAAATCTGCGTCCTCAGGTTCCGCGGGCGGTCCCATCGTCCACTCGTCTCGAGCTTGATCGCAATCCCGACGCCACAGACGAATGCTGATTTTCTGTTGAGCATTTTCTTCCGTGGTGTAGACCTCACTGTCCACCCTGGCGTCACCAGAACGCTTCCTCTTTATCCCTGAGACGATTGGCCGAAGTGGGCAAGGCAAGCGGGCAGTGTCATCATCCGACAGGGGAGGGCAATATTGCTTCCTGGGGCTGCGGAAATAACCATCAGGGAAAGGTGTGAGCTCGCCTGTTGCCCACAACCGCCTTCCGCGTACTCTCTCCAAGTTCAGGGAGAGCGTCCATGACGAATACCGGGAGACTATGGTGTGCGTATGATTAATCTCCTTTTGGGGCAGCAGCTGTCGCAAGATACGCTGGTAGTGGAATGGTCGCTTGCTCAATTTCTGTCCCGCTCGAAATACCATCAGACGGAGATCGGCTTTCAATTTATGCCACCCGAGCGACCGATATGAGCAAGGGGCCGCCATGACGGCAGCCGTGATGGGGTTCCCCATGGTCGCGCATGAGTCTGGAGGGTGCTCATCCTCTGCGATGACGCAATACTTATACACCTGTGTCACCATAAGCGCGGCGATCGGCCAAGAGGGCATATTAATACATACGGTGCAATATTTTTTAAGACTCTTCAAATGAACAGGATGGGGTATCATCAACAAACGGTTTGTTTCCCACAGCTCTCGGAGGTCGCGTCGAACTGCGTACAGTATGTGAGGCGAGCCGGTAGGCGTGCGGAGCGTCGCGCAGTCGCCCTACACAGCTGCCTTATCAGCTACGGGGTCGAAGTAGTAATCACCCTACTCACCAACGGCTGAGGCGTATCAGGAGGCAGGATATAGCACGCCTCCACCTCAGCGGACACGAAGCCCGTGATCATGCATCTAGGGTGAGGTCCGTAAGCAACCCCATCCTTCAACTTTGACGCGTCGCTTGGACTGTCAGACAATCGCCTTCTTTTACCACGGACGTCAGTGGTCTTCGTGTCCGTACACCGTATTCGTTGCAAATAACAGGTGCTGCCTTCAGGTGGCGAGTTTTGTTCAATATGGACAAAGACCGGGTCGACCGCATCTGGATGGACCCTGATTGTCTCGTGATCATGGCTAAGTATATGCGTGGAATGGTCTTCAAAACGAACGGATGGGATGCAGTCGGCCAGAGGATTGGGTGAAGTAGGTGGAGAGCTTTCGCGTGAAGAATGGCTCCCCGGAAGCTCAGGGGTCCTCACTTCGCGTCTGGGGTGGCCAACAGCAAAGGTACGGGTCACGTCAGCGATATGGCTGGTCGCAGCTTTCATTCTTCAAGCGTCGAGTATGTCGCGAGTTGATTGGGGGTAGTGCTGGCGTTGGTCCAAATTGAACAGTGTGCGCCACCGGTGCCTATAGACAACTGCTTAGTCAGCGCCACTCTCAGAGAGTTGATTGTCCATGTTCACTTACATTGTCATTTCTATAGTGTATAGTCCAACGTGCACGTGTGTGGGTGTGCGCCCACTCCCGCAGTAATCCACATCCTGTTTCGAGCGACAAGATGCACCGCATCATCGTCACACACTCGTCTGCATGCACAAGTCGATCACCGCCACCAAGTCTGGTCGTGAGTTGAGTGGTCAGTCACCTATTACCTTAAAGCCCTGGGATACGCTGTAGCTCCGTCTCCGTCCAGTCCAACCCAGTACCGATCAGCGTCTTCAACCTTAGGTTGTTCGGGTACGGCGCCGGGTACTCCTGCCGGTATGCTTCCGGCTCCTCGGATGGCACGCAGTATACGTTGCACTTGCATGCAAGCAAGCCTTCGACGTGCTCGTTACAGTAGCTCCGCTGCGCAGAGCATGTCCTCCGTTACAACATGCGGTGAGTCATAGCACTAGGTCAGGAGTCGAGGCTCCCTGATGTGCTCGCCTAGTCTTTGCGGTCTCTAAATTCCTGCTTGCGCATGGTGACATCCTGCATCTCCGAGCCGTTCGCCAGACGGTGCGAACTGCCGGACTCCTTCACGAGCGAGCAGGTCTCTCACAATCCACAAAGTTTTACGAATTTGATGCGGCATATTTCAAGTATTCCGAATATTATGAGGGGTTCCTGGAGAATGTATTCAGTATTGCTTGCGTCAACAAGAGACGCAGTTGCGGGTTCACGAACTGTGAGATCATCGCCCGCCCAAGGAGAACGCCCTCATGTGCTTGACACAATGTCCCACGAGCAATCATCATACGTCAGGGAGGCGACACGGCAGGTGTTTGTGGAACAGGCAGATCATGTTAGAGCTTCCAGGCTTCGAACGAGATTGGGCCATTCTTCGCCCTGGGATCAGATCTCCCTTCGTATAACGAAATCTTTTCGTTATACTGAAATAACCTGAGAAAGCATCAGTTACACACCGTTGTTATGCGCGAGGCACTGTCATCGACTGAGACATTAGGATTAATCTCGCAGACTCTGCTGTTCTGAGTGACGCGTAGCTTCCCTGGCAAAAGGGGAGCCATCGCTGGAAGCTATAGCACGTTTTTATTGGCTGTCGCGGCCCCACTCTCCGGCCAACGATTCTCATTGGCCGACCGCGCGCGTTTTGCTCTAGGCGCCGGCCTTTCGCACGAGCCTCTCCGTGTAAGTCGTCGCGAGACGACTGATTCATCCTTGCTGAAATTCTTATTTATATCCTTGTATCCGCACAATGCCTGAGACCGCATTTACGCCCTCGTATAGTGCTGCTTTCGTTCTACACCAATGGGCTTCGATATGCACCTTGGTTTTCAGTCCATTGAGTCCAAATCCGCGAAGTACAACGAGTCGTAACAAATTCAATCGGAGATTGATCCTCATCCACAGTGTAATAATCTGAACATGCTTGTCTCGAAACCACAAATATTCTGCGACCGACATTTCCAACCTTTCCAGCCATGAGACAGCGCGATTCTCATTTGACACTCTTTGCAGACAAGTCTGCCAAGTCTCCAGATTGTGAGTGTCAGTTACTGAAGGTATCTTTGTGCCTTGTGTTCCGCAGTCTGGATGGTAGCCCGGACAGATACCTAGCCCAGGTTGTGCTCCTGTCCCGCCTGGGGCTTTCATTAGATTCCAAACATCTGTTGGAAGAGTCAACACACTGTCTGCGAACCGGAATCCACAAGGTCTGTCAACTACTTCATATTCGTCCGCCATCCCCTGTGACTGAGATCATCTATGATAAGTGATTATCATGGATACAGTCACCCCATCTTTACGAGTCTCATCGCAAGTCAAATATTTGACGTAAGTCACTATGTATCGCGGGGAACATCTCCTTCCCAATGGTACATGGCGATTTTTGATGGCCGACGGGAACAGGGTTTATACTATATAGCATCTGTGTCATCTCAGCCCGGACCGTCGTCCAGGTATCACCCGTGTCGTTTCGTTCAACGTGGCTTTCGGAGTATTTGCAGAAGCTCCTGTAGCTATGAACCCCGTAGCAAGCTGCATTCCTGTGCATGTCGCGGATATCAGACTGCTGGCGAGATGCGACGCCACAGTCCGGCGCAAGCTCAGCAATGTAACCTCGTACTGATTCTTTTCAACTGGATTTTACCGCTCGCGCCCCGACGTCGTACACGGCGGACTAAGATCTGAATTCTACTAGCGTCATATATGCAAACGACATACATAAACTGTCTGTGTACTGCGACGACTCGGGGTGTTCTAAGCGACGCAACCGCTGTGTCATGTCTTGTGACGAGCAGCGATGTGATTAGGTCACCTCTCTTAGACATGGGGTATACGATTGGATACTACATAATGGGGTATAGATGATCAGCCATAGCAATGCATATTTTTCGTCTTAGAACTGGCCATAAGGCCACATCAATCCTGATGATCACCCTACACCCAGTATTGACTGATAACACGCAGATCTCTTGAATCCAGCTAAAATCGCATCCGTTATAATATGAGTATCAACGAAGTATAGCCGAAGCACCAATCGAGACAGCTAGTCCAGCCAAAAAGCTTCTTCGGCAGCGGGATCCCAGCTGAAGACTTCTTCGGTAGTAGAATCCGTCCAACAGGCTTCTTCGGCAGCAGGGTCCATGCTGAAGACTTCTTCGGTAGCGGAATCCGTCCAACAGGCTTCTTCGGTATCGGAATCCATCCAAAAGGCTGCTTCGGTAGCGGGATCCCAGCTGAAGGCTTTTTCGGTAGCGGAATCCGTCCGGCAGGCTTCTTCTGTATCTGAGTCCATAAAAAAGGCTGCTTCGGTGGCGGAATCCATGCTGAAGGCTTCTTCGGTGGTAGAATCCATGCTAGAGACCTCTTCGGTAGTGGAACCCATGCTGAAGACTGATTCGGTATCGGAATCCGTGCTGCCGTCGTACGGCATGCCTCGTAACCATCGGGTGCAGATGTCTTTGATACCAGTGAATACGTTGAGCGCCTTATATTCGATATTGTGCTCCTTGTAGAAGGCGTCTAGAGCTGCTTCAAAGCCACCTGGCCCGTTACTCTTGGATAGCGCCAGACCGACATTGTATGTGACGAAATGAGGAGGAACGCGGGAAAACACCCAGCCCACGGTGTCAAGGGCCCTCGGAAAATTACTTTCTGCTTCTGAGCGGGGAAGGTCGCGATGGCCGATGGCGCAGTATTTGTAAAGGGGACCATTGCACACTCTAAATGGTTCGTCGAGTGGCTGGATAGCACCATGAGCAAGAGACCATGTCTAGGTGCTGTCCATGCACTTACCACGCCTACATTGATGGGAGAAATGTATTGTTTCATGTAATCACCAATGATTTGAGGCTCAGGCACGAATATGATATGTCCTTTGTCCCACAATGAGTGGATATCAGCCCTTACTATGTGGAGTCTGAGTCAGGGCTACATCGAGTGGTTGGGATATATACACTCACGCAAGAAGAGGTTGAAAGGTGTGTCGATGTCGAAATCTTCAAGCCCCCACCATGCCGCCAGCTGCTTACGCTACATGCACGGACGTACCCGAGTTAGGGTCGCGCGAATGCCACCGCAGACTATTGGCGACTTACCAAATCATCGTCGGTTCTTCGCGGAATAACGTGACATCCCTGAATCGACTTGTCGTCTTGATGGGTCAACAAGCACCCTGGTCCAGTAGGAGCCAATTGGGCGACTTGCGACTTGAGGGTGTTAACGCGCGCTTCACCGTTGGACTTGCGAGCCTCCGGTTTGCGGTCTTTGTCATGTACAAGACCCATAGATGTTCAAGTGAGTCCGTGGCAAATAACAAGGCAATGCATAACGACGTACCCTTCGACCGTTCAGGCGTCCTTTGTACGCCTGTCGGAATGTTCATAGGAAGCCTACGAACGAGATAAGTGGTTGCGTTGCCACGGATCCAGTATGTTCACTGACATATGTTCCTGTTTCCTCCTCAATTGTGCCTCCCCCGGTGGTGGCGCAGTCCACAACGCGTTCAATCTCAAGAATTTCTCCACAACGCGGGATGCATCGACTTTGAGGTGAACTCTTTCGTAGAACTCCTGCAGACTCTTCACCCACAGCTCTTTGTTCTCCATCATCTTCATGGCGGCATTCACGATCATGAAGTGTGGCCGCGCGTGGGACGGCACAAAGTTGAGCTTGTGGAACCCGTTGGTGAACCCTTGGCGGATTGCACGCTTTGCCCTAGAGCGTGCACCACCTGAGAGGCTAGGGTGGGGGATCACACAGTACCGGTGGATCTTTTTCTTGCCGATGACCTATACGCATTGTGGCGACGATTCGCATCAGTCGTAAACGAATAGCTTGCAGCGACTCACCTCCAAAATGTCGTGTCTTTCACCATCCTTGTATTTTTCCACATATGCGTCCACCACGTCGGGCATCGGAGCAATAAGGATGTCTCCACGATCCCACAATACATGGAGGTCGCCACGAACTGTATGCAAGTAAGCCCACGCGTATCGACATGCCTCCGAGAACGAAGACGCACGGAAAGCCATATTGCGGCTAGAATCTACGTTGAGGCCTTCTTTGTTGATGCCCCACCACCACTCCAGGGAGGTGAGCTATGCATGCGCGTATGTAGACCGTCAGAGACGCCACCTCCGCATAGGAGCCACTTCAACTTACGATACGCGCGTCTGTGGCGCGTGGCAAGACATGGCACTGTTGCACTGACTTGTCCTTTAAGCCTGATATAATACAGGCACCTCCGTTCCGAGACGCCTTGACCGCTCGCTGTCGTGCACCGTTTGTAATGCCGGACTTGCGACTCACTCTCCGTTTTGGAGTCTTCGGAGTGTCATTGACCGGCGTGCCTTCCCTAGACGGCCTATAATCGCTTCCGTCGTCTGATATTTCCCTTTTCCGTTTTCCATACGCAGGCTTGGGTTCGGACTCGGGCTGGGAGCCACTGACGCTGCCCTCGTCGTAATCAACTGTGGCCGGGCCACAGTCAGGGCAAAGCGGTCAACGGTAGCGACGAGGAGCCGTACCTGGATCCAAGTCTTTGAGTCTATCAGATCGTCTCAATTCCAAGCTGTCAGCCATGGCTAGGGGATTTTCGGAGATGAGGTGAGGGGTGAAGGTGGGGTGAAGGAAGAGACTGCGAGAGTGTGTGGCTCGGGCGGCTTTTGCTGAGTTCATATTATGTTGCAAAGCGCGTGACCACAGGCCACAGAGGCCATTGTATTCCAATCTGGATATTGGGCCAATCATCGACGCGGGTTGGTGACTGGAAAGCTCAGGCATATTACCTAATCTATATGGTCTGTGCGAGGTGTGTTCTGGAGTTGTGATATCAGATGCACCATCTGAGGCGCGGGAACCGTGGCCCGCTGACCGGAGAGACACGCTATAAAGATCGCATGAGGAGGCACGCTTGTCATTTGCTGAATCGGCATCGCACAGTCAGTCTGCGGAAGACTAGACGAAAAGGAACGAAACTCACCTAGGACATGTTACTGGCACGAAGCATTTCCGGGTGAGACGTTTGTGCCTGTCCGCCTCAAGAATCCATGTTCTTACCGCAGACTCATAAACTGGGTGATAAGGAAGAGTAGAGTATGACATTGACGAGAAAGCTACAATTATTGACTCATTGACACATCCAACAAGAAGCTGGAATTGACACGGCACGCCGCCCGTGTCTGCCAGAGGCTACGAACATTTCCTACGTATACTCAAGGATGTAAAATGATTATCTGTGTCATGAATTGCAACCCTCATGGAACAGAGTTAGACGAATGCTGACGATGAGCACGGAAGGTCAGGTACGAATGTCCTCACACGTACTGTCCACAAGGGTTTCTATGCAAGGTGTTGAGGGATACTCTCTATCAAAGGACGGAACGTGTTCCGTGAGAAGCAAGGGGTTAGTTACATCTAAGCAGAAGTAGAATGTGAGCATCTCTGAAGTACGAAACAGATTGCAAGATCAAAATAAACTGACCCGGACCCCGACTACGATCTCACACAGAGGGCTTGCGACGTAGTCCACGAAAACATTCAGAGTGCTGAGTTTGTGTATCACAAGGCGCAGACGGACATATACGAAAGCGTACAAACGCACTGAGAATTCATTGACTGTACACTCAATTGACTACACCAGTCAAGACGTGATTGGCCTCGGGAATCTCCGAGAGTAGCGCTGACGAAGCACCCGCTAAGGGCACTGGTGGCGCACGCTGTTCGCGCTACACCATCGTCACTACCTCGCTGAACTCGCGATACAGTCGACACAAAAATGAATGGTCTTTACATCCTTATTCCTGACACGTCCCATACGCTCGCTGCTGAGCACCCCCCACGCGATATGAGTACCCCCGCGCTTTCCGACGACACTGGCAGCTCCTCTTCACGCGAAAGCTCTCCACCAGCTACACCCACTTCTGGAGTCAGTCGTGCACCATCTGTTTCTTTTGATGACTATTCTAAGCATACACACGCTGGCGACGGCACGGACATCAGGATTGTCGAAGCAGATGCGGACTCCTCGCCACTAGAAGACATCACGCGTCCGCTGAAACGGAGGCGGTTGGCGGATACAAGGGCTGATGAAGTCCGCGCAGAGAGAGCGCTGCCGCCTGATATTTGGAGTGATGCAATCATGGTCGATGATGGCGCGTTCTTCGGTCTTTGCCATACACCCATCAGCGATTGCACGAGTGTCGGGGACGTCGAGCCCGACGCATTGCACCCGTCATCAGAATACGTCTCCCGTCCACTGAAACGGAAGCGAAGTGCGGACACAAGCACCTATGACGTTCGCGCAAAGAGGGCGCGGACGTCTGGCACCTCGAACGACGCAACCAAGGCCGAGGACCGCGCTTGTTTCGGTCTTGAGCATATGGCCATCCACGACTACACGAAAATCAGGGTCGTCGAACCGGACGCGGATCCCCCGGTTGCCCCCGGTATTGACATACACGTTCCACTTGACGCTATCGCTCGCCCCCCGAAGCGAAAACGGTGTGCAGACACGACGGTCGATGAAGTCTGTGTTAAGAGAAGGCGATTGTCTGACAGTCCGAGCGATGCATCGCAGCTCAAAGACGGGATTCCTTTCGGACCTCACCCTAGATGCATGATCACGGGCTTCGTGTCCGCCGAGGTGGAGGCGTGCTATATCCTGCCTCCCGCCACGCCCCAACCGTTGGTGAGTAGGGTAAGTACCACTTCGGCCTCGTAGCTGACAAGGCAGCTGTGTAGGGCGACTGCGCGGCGGTCCGCATGCCTACTAATTATAATGCCTTTTGTTGTACCACGCCCGCAAACATCCTATTCCGTGCGTACTTGCTCACATCTGGCCTGTTTTACCTTGCCTTACCATCCGTATGCAGTTCGACGCGACCTCCGTATACTATGGGAAACGAACCGCCTGCTGATGATACCCCATCCCGATCATATAGACCACCCTGATACCCGCCCTGTATGTATGGTACGTCCTTTCAGATGGTCGCCGTGCTCACAGTCAAGTAGGTCTACACATACCACGTCATCGCAGAGGATGAGCAGCCTCCAGACTCGGGCACCCCCCAGGATCATACCATTATACCTCTAGCTACGACCGCTGATTGCTCGTATCGCTCGCTGGGGTGGCACGAGCTGAGTGCGAATTTGCATCTGATGACAATTCGAGTGGGCCGTGAATTCATTAAGCGACCGCTCCGCTACGAGCATGTGTTCCGTATGGACGCTCTTGTGCATATACCCATCGTCCAGCTAGCCCAGCCAGATGCAGCCGAGCCGGTCTCCCCCCACATTGAACGAGAGTCGCCAGTTGAAGGCATCCCCCGCCTGCCGAAGCGAAAACGGAACCCGGAGACAGATATTGATGAAGTCCCCGCCAAGAAAATGCGCACGTCCGTCACTGGATGCAACGCGTCCAACGTCAAGGACGCCGTTCGTTTTGGACCTCATCCGAGATGCATGATCACCGGCTGTGTATCTGCTGATGTAGAGGGGTGCTATATCTGGCCTCTAGACATGCCTCAGCGATTGGTGAGTGGGTATGGCTGTTATTTTGGATTTTGTGACTGACGAGATGCAACGCCAGTTCGACACTTTGATCGCCGGAATGCGTGGCAACTACAACACCCTGCGTTGTCATGCACCGGGGAATGTTATATTCCGTGCGCAATTTCCACGCTTGACCCGTCGTTTGTCGCCTCACATACTGTGCGTAGTTCGACGCGACCTCCGAGAGCTGTGGGAAACAAACCGTTTGTTGGTGATACCCCATCCTGTTCATTTGAAGAGTCTTAAAAAATATTGCACTGTATGTATGAATATGCCCTCTTGGCCAATCGTGGTGCTTACGGTGACGCAGGCGTACAAGTATTGCGTCATCGCAGAGGACGAGCACCCTCCAGACTCATGTGCGACCATGGGGAACCCCATCACGCCTGCCGTCATGGCGGCCCCTTGCTCATATCGGTCGCTCGGGTGGCATAAATTGAAAGCCGATCTCCGTCTGATGGTATTTCGAGCGGGACAGAAATTAAGCAAGCGACCATTCCACTACCAGCATATCTTGCGGGAGCTGCTGCCTCACAAGGAGGTCAATCATACATACGCCATATTCTCCCTGTATGCGACATGGACGATCCCTCTGCATTTGGAGATAGTACCCGGCAGGCGGTTGTGGGCAACAGGCGAGCTCGCACCCTTCCCTGATGGTTATTTCCGCAGCCCCAGGCAGCAATATTGCCCCCCCCTGTCGGATGACGACGCCTTCCGCTTTCCTCGCCTATTTCGGCCAATCGTCTCAGGGATAAAGAGGAAACGATCTGGCGAGACCAGGGCGGATATTAAGGTCTATACCGCGCAGGAAGATGCTCAATGCGAGGTTAGCGTCCGTAAGTGGCGCTGGGATTGCGATCAGGCTCGAGACGAGTGGACGATGGGACTACCTGCGGAACCTGAGGACGCAGAGTTGCTTGCTTATCGACAAGAGGAAGCCGGCGATGTGCTGCCTGCTGCGCAACGACCTTGGTTCGCAGAATGGCATTCGTCAAAGTACGCTCTCTTGTAGATCTGCAGGTGAAAGTATAACTGATGCCATCTTGTCCAAACTGAAATGCGCCAGATACGGTCCCCGGTCTTAACACCTTCCGGCCGCCGCGGTAACTATATGCGTGGTCCTTGCGAGACGCCAAACAGGGTCTACCAGCCGCCGGTGCGTACTACTTTACCTCAATAAGAAAATCCGGTATGTTCAATGTGTTTCCCGTCTTGTTCCCTTCACTGATGTTTGACACACAGGTTCTGATCTTCCAAGTAACGATTCCCTCACAACATAGCTGAACGCGGTTTAACCGCCAGACGTCAAGATTTGCTGAACCTTTCAAATCCGGGACTGCCTAGCACACTCAAGGAGAATGTGCCGTGCTGCATCACAATTGTTGCTAGCAGTATGACATACGACCCAAACGTGTGAGACAATATACCCGTATGCGTATCCGACCGCGTTTCGATCTCGGCGACTGACTCAAGGGCAGTTTAGGCCCTATGTAGACCAGCCCTTGGGCATCGACTCTTCGTATTGTAATCTGCCATCTGTGGAATATGGAAACTGCAAGCATGTGCCACCGATGGCGATCGTTCCCGCACATCGCCTTCTCCGACTCTCCATTCCGCAACTACCACCAGCAGACTCTAATCTTCGGACCAAATCGTAATGTTTCCTCTCTCGTTCTGATCAGGTATAGCAGCTGATACCACTTGGCAGAAGTCGTGGCCATTACAATCCAACCTTCTCTGCGCCTGTCAATCTGACGTCGGAGTAATGGTACGTTCTTTCATATGCGTTAATACTTCACCTCACACGAGGTTTAGGATCTATCGCTGCAATACCCAAACCACATTCTGTGCAGTCAGCACAATCTGTCAGTTTTTTTCTTAGCCATGTATGATTCGACTCATCCTGTTGACCGCCTCAGATACCTCCTCGTCTTATCGTTAGCAGTTGCATCTGCTCATCAGTCGTAGGATGCCGCAAAGATCAGGTGAGAGACGTATCTGATGGGTTGCACACGCGTTTCCTGACTCAGTTCCACGGCTAGATTGGAGTATGCTACGAGAATGGAAACAGCACAACCCCGCGCGGCAGCTCATTCGCACTGTGGCGCTGCACTTATATACCCGCTTTTAGGCGACCACCACTGAGTGCGGGGATATTAGTCGGACCTGTAGTTCATCCTCACCGCTGGCGTGGAAACGACTCTCTACGAAGGCAATGCTGTGAGTTGATTCCTTGACCACAGACTACAGACCGCTGATGCTGTCTGCAAGACTATCTCCTTCATTTTGGCGTCCTCTCAATCGTAAGTCCAGATGTACATTATAACCTCGAGGTTCGATTTATCTCGTAGTCAGACAGGTAGACCCTCTTCGGACACAGTCCAGCGATGAATGGTTCCAGACACCATCAGTGATTGGTCTGTCGACGAACGGCGCGCCCGTGTACACAAGTATTCTGGCACTGTCGCGAAGAGACCTAGGACCGCCGCAAGGTCGAGGAAACCCGCACGTCTCTGCATGATTATACCCCATCGCTTCCTCGCTGGATCGGCTGAATGATGACACTGCCGCGCTCTCGCTCGGCCTCGTACTCCAAATAGCTCACTCACTGAGCTCCGGAATGGCTCACGAGCAGTCCAAGTGAAACGACTTCGCGGTCCATGTGCTGAGCTTGCCGCCTCGACCCACCACGGAGGATTGGCGCGATTCGCACCCAGGACCGGTAGTACACCCGCCCAAGATGCGGTCCGGCTTGCTTGAGCTCACGTTTCCTAGCCTTCTGCAAAGTCCCTCAAACAGCTTGTATTCTAATATGAGTCTTTGAGCAGAGCGGCGTCAGATTATTTTGGAGTGCGTGCAAGGTGAACCTCAAGGCGGGCGAAGTCTGGGTGGCAACCGTCGAGTGGAATTTGTATAATATAGTTGATTATGAACAAACTATGTTTGGCACCAGGTTCCTAACCTTCCCTTCCTCCGGTTGGTGGGACCTTTCGACAATAACGAGCTGCAGCGCCAAGTCCTAGCCAGCCACAATCGGCATTATCTGACACACATTGCATGCTCCGATCGTATTCAAACCTAGCACTCTTATTCGCCCCCACCTCCCTATGGCGGCTGACAGAAAACATGGGCGAGCAATGGAGCCCTGGTGCAAGCTGTCTGGATATAATCGCGACAGGGACTGATCTGCTCCACCAGAGACTGCTCTGCTGCAAAGAAAGGGTATGGTAGATAGGATATTCTAGGCACTCGTTTATAACATGTCTCGTACTACATCCACCGTGTCCACCACACAACATGACAGTGGATTCTCACTCAACAAAAACATCTGTCTCACAAGCTTTCTAATGTTGACGGACAAGCGCGTAAGCGCGTCCGCACGCCCTGCGTGGGTACACACGCCTCGGGATCGGCGGGACGTTCGGTCGCTGCTGAAGCATGCGGTCAGGAACGAGCTCGCAAGCTAGGGCGCGATAGTACTAGCCGCGGGCCTCCGGCCCCCTCATAATATATATTGGCCGCTCGCGATGTGTGTGGAGTACACAATTGTCTCTTACGGGCATCGCTGCACCCGTGGACAAACGCGCTCGCCGACCTTCTTCCCGTTTGTCCAACACAATCGCATCAGCCCACTTGGGAGTCTACTACCAAACAAGGCTTTGGGGGCAGCCTAAGCCCGCCGCTCGCTGCATTGCTAGATTTCGCACATATTTTCTTGCTGTCGATGTTTTGCTGGCTGGGCCCATGCTACATACTACTGAACAAGCGGACAAAGGCACTGTCATTGTCCTTATAATGTGCAAGTACACTTTATCTGGTCCTTAACACAATCTGAGTGATTGATTATGCATCAACTTTCGTATGTTATACTCTGTTTCACATCGTGCACAGTTTGACCACTGCTCTGCTTTACAGGAGGGGTGTATCCGCAAAGAGCACTGCTGCAAGCGCGGGTGGGTATCGATCGCCACGGGCATGGTCCGCTGTGTCCGCGATCTTGCGCACCTCCTGCAGCTCCTCTGGCGCGAGCTGGACTTCCACCGCACCCAGATTCTCCTTCAAGCGCTGGATATTTCGCACTCGTCAGCACATGCTGCCAGCTCGAAGAACCAGAAGAAGACGTACATTGATCTTGGTCGTCCCCGGGATCGGGATGACATCCGGGCCCTGCGCAAGGAGCCATGCAAGCGCAACCTGGCCCGCCGTCGCGTTGTGCCGCGCACCAATCTGCTTGAGGCCTTCCGCGAGCTTGAGGATGTTTGGGAAGTTCTCCCTCGAGTATCGCGGAACCTGGCGCCGGAAGTCGTCCTCGTCAAAGTCGTCGGGCGATTTCTATCGTTTGGCACCAGGTCAAAACACTGTAAGCTATGCTAGTCGCGCAGACGCACATATTGCCCTGTGATGAGCCCACGGCCGAGCGGCGAATATGCGATGATCGTGACGCCGAGCTCGCGCGCAACCTTCAGGAGCCCAACCTTCTCGTCCTCGATATCGAGCGTGAAGGGAGAGTACTCGACCTGCAACGCCGTGATCGGGTGCACGGCGTGTGCGCGCCGAAGCGTGTCCGCAGAGCACTCAGAGAGGCCGAGGTACTGTACCTGACCGGTCCTGTAATGATGGAGTTCAGATGGAATGGGCAGCCACAGAAGGTAAACACTCACTTGACCAACTCAGCCATCGCACCAACGGTCTTCTCGATCGGCACAGTGGGGTCGGGACTGGTGTGAGTTGAGATTCAATGAGCCATCTTCATTGCATACGCTTCAGCAGACGTACCGGTGAAGGTAGTACAAGTTAATGGTGTCGACGCCGAGACGCTCGAGGGATTTGTTGAATGCCTTGTGGACATACTCCGGGTCGCCGTTGACGGTGCGGTTGGGGACGCCAGACCGCAGACCAAACTTGGTCGCGAGGAATATATCATTGCGCTTTCCAGTTCGCTTAAACCTGTGCGTGGTCAGACGTGCATTCGATTCGAGACGAAGCTGATCACAATACCATTTGCCAATGAGCTCCTCGCTGTCCTTGTAGCCATCTGCCGTGTCCCAGAACTTGCAGCCGTGCTCGTAGACACCATCAAGAATCTGCGCAATACTATTTATGAGCCAGTGCGCACAGAATCGCATTCACGACGCCCCTTCAGTCGCTCTTCATCAGGAAGAGGCTTGCCGTAGAAGGCGGCGATACCCATCGCACCATATCCAATGGCGGAGACGGTATGCTGGCCGAGCTTGCGGGTGGGGAGAGCGGCTGCCATGATTGACTGAGACGAGTTGGAGGGATTATTACGCCTTTTATATATGATTGTTCGAGAGATCGATCACTAAGCATCGACGTCATTCCCCTCGGAAGACTTAGTGGCGGCTGTCTCTCCGACCCACTATCGTGAGCAACACTCAGAGCTATATGCTATGACCGACGTGATTGTAGCTGGTCGATATCACAGTATGGACTCGTTATTGGTAATTGTCACGATGTTAACACATGCAATAGTAGAAGTAACAATTATGAGAGACATTGACCCACCTGTCGACTCCGAGCGGGTCTACATAAGCCCCCCATTGCCTCCGCTACCATATACCTCTGATGATTTTCTACAACTGACAGTAGTTTCTCCATGGAGATATGCCCTATAAGACTGTATGCCATACAGAGGGAGATTGGATTGTAAGTGTTCAGAAATGGCCATTATGGCCCTAACGCACCACACTCAGCGATATGTGCCACGAATTTCTCAACTTAGCTCATGACATTCATGTTGAAACGCCGAACAACGAGTATCATACATTCCAGATCGACAGGGATAGTATAGGATGAAGTGAAATGCAGACGAGACTAAGCAGGGGCATGAAGAATATAATATATAGGGGTTTTCGCACGCCTCGATTAGCTGACTTGTGATATTCATTTTCAATCCGTCAAGGTATTCTCACCTTCCCTCCCTCTCCCCTCTCTATTGAATCATGTTCAAGTTCAATTTCAACGTCGAGGACGCAGAGCAACTTGAGTTTCTTCCTGATGGAGATATTTCAAGCGCGCAAGAATCACAAGCAGGACAGGCTCAATCGGGCATGCCCAGCGAACGCGTAGTCTCAGTCAATGAACTTGCAATAGACGAGCTTGTGAGTATTAAACCTGGTGCATATCCTCTCTTCCTCGTGCGTGCTAGTTAACATACACAAGCCGCGACACAGCTTTCGGCTCTCCCGCCGGCCATCTCATATTCCCCGCTTACCGTCCCGCTCACCTCGAGCTCAAGACATAGCGCGACGATTGCCCGCCGGGACCTCTTTGACGCACGCTTTCAACTCATATCGCTCGAAGACACGGAAGATTCCAGCATCATAGCGCCCGAAACTGGCACCTCGGCACAGGCGCAGAAGGATCTTGAGTTTTTGGACGCGCCTTCGGACCTCGTACCCGGCGTATATGAGGGCGGGCTGAAGACATGGGAATGCGCTGTTGACCTTGCCGACTGCCTCGATAGACTTCTGGGCGGGGAGTCCGCGGCGCGGATTAGGGGCAAACGGGTGCTCGAGGTGCGTTTCGCCATCCCGTCTGGTATCACTCGTCTCAGGGATATTTCACGAACGTGCTCCTGGCGGAAATCATGCAAGCTTTTACACCAACCCTGATCAGGGTCCTTGGGAACATACTGTTCACTTGTAATAAAGAATACGTGATTCGAATTCGCGGGATCAGCGGGATGTCAGAATCACGCTATTGGAGCATGATTCCGGCTTCTCAGCTGTGACTGTGATCAAACAAAACTCTTCTCGGACTCGGGCGTAGCTGACGCCATCATCGCCTCATGTTTCCTGCATACCCGTTCGTGTTTGTGTTTCTGCGTACACGGAGCAGCAGCAGATGCTAACGATCTGCAAGAAATATGCTTGAAACACAAATTTACTGAACCTTCTGGCGGTCGTGGTTCTCCTGGTGCAGAAACCTGCGGGTTCCAAGCGCCTATGTTCCCTACTCTTAGGGGAATATCAACGGGTCCTATGATTTCTATCTGTACCTCGACGATACATGCCACCTATCGATTAATCATTCCTTCTCGTACAGCTTGGCTGTGGCACTGCGGTTCCCTCGCTCTACCTGCTGCACCAGCTCTTCTCCTCAGAACCTCCCGAACGGGTGAGTTCACAAGCGTCTGAGGTGCACGTCCACCTGCAGGACTACAACGCGCTTGTCTTGCGCCTCGTCACCCTACCCAACATCCTCCTTGCATGGTGTGCGTCCTACCAGCCTCTCGTCCACTCGTCCCCTATATCTCACCACTTTTCTATCAACAGACATGTCCCCCGCCTCCCTCGCTCTCCGCACCTCTGCCGACACAGACGCCGAAGCAGACGCCGAACCTCTCCCGCCCGCAGACCCCACCACGCCAGGCACGCTCCCAATCACCCCTGAGCTCACCGCCGCCTTCCTCGCTGCGTTACGCGCGTACGGCGTGCGCCTCCGCTTTTTTGCAGGAGCCTGGGAGGGCTTCGAGCTCCCGCACGCTTACGACGTCGTGCTCACGTCCGAGACGATATACCGCCCCGACAGCCTCCCCGCGCTTGTGCATACCATGCGCTCCGCGTGCCTCGGTGTTGGCCTGTCCTCCACCGCCGATGGGAATCACGGAGAAAAACAGGCTGCGGATGGCTTGGCGCGCCTAGAACTCGGAGAAGGACATGCGCCAGTATTTCCCTTGTGTCTTGTCGCCGCAAAGCGTGTATACTTTGGTGTGGGCGGTGGGGTGACAGAATTCGTGCGCGCGGTCGAAGGTAAGCACGGCGGCGTAGAGACTGTGTGGGAGCGTGCGGACGGCGTGAAGCGGGTGGTTATGAGAGTGCGCTGGAGCTAGGAAAACTTGGTTGGAGGAAGGGCTCGGGAAGGGCGTTGGGCTAAGTCGAGTCGAAAAGAGGCGTCAGTCAAGATCGTTTATTAGCTATGTATCTACTGAAAGACTCTCTCATAGGTCGCACGAAAACATGTAGCATAGCTCAGACTCTGTATTGAGACAGGATGAGATTCGATCGGATGTTGCCAGTGGGTTCATGTCGATAAACGGAGATCCAGGCTCAGGCCTCAGGCGTGGCATGCCCATGAACGTGGTGACGCTGCGTACCACGAAATCGCGCGCGCACCATGCAGTGTCCACTAACTTCCAATTAGCATGATTCCCTAATTGAACACGTCGGTCGTACACCGAGGGTGTACATCGATGATACAAATTACACGCGAAGACGGCGAATTATGTCCAAGAAAAAGGGCCATGCTAGCCTAGTCCAGATACCACTTATATGCTTCTCGCCAAGCGGCATTTCCATCCTTCTCAATGACGTCCTAGACCAAATGGAGAGTTAGCTGCCAGTTACCACGAGCACGTCGAGCACCAAGTAACCGAACGTACACCATGGCATGGTATGATGCGGTCGAAGTCCCAGTTCGCGACTGTCCTGACATCGCGCTTCATAGCCCTGCAAAGTGAGTTCATAGGAGCGTGAGCATGGAGCAGTTGCTGCTGACGAAGGCGCCTACTCTTTGTCCACACCGAGGCTCCATACGATCCGCTTGTGAAGCCACATGTATGGATTCAGTGTTCCAATGACTGGGATGCGCCCAGAGGAGCCTGTGTTGGAGTACTGCGAATCGCGCATAAGCAGGGCCGCCAACGGCACTTGTACACGTTAGAAGAACGACTGACCTGCTCGGTAGGTGGAAGGTTAAACAGGAGGTCTGCTTCCAACATAGTCTTGGACGCAGGATGGTAGAAGGCGACATCTTTGTTCTTGAATCCAGAAAAATAACTGCAAGAAGCCGTTGAGACGTCTTTTAGCCGTGCAATAGTCGACGCGAGCACACCAATGCTTGATCTAGCTCGTAGACATGCATGAGAAGTGAGACGATGGAAGAAGCAGCATCAGATTTACCTCCTCTTCAAAGCCATATTGGGTATCGGGGCTGTCTGCACCCCAAGCTGATTCCAAGTTGAACTCGCGTGTACAACAGCGGTCTTAGTACTTGCGCACATACCTCCATGGTATTCCAAGCCTTCCTTGGCCTTCTTATCAATTGCCTCCTTGACCGCAACGATCTTTGCATTTGGATATTGCTTCTTGAAATCGCCTTGTGTGGAACAATTCAGATACATAGTCATGATCTCAAGAACTTCCTAGTCACCAAGGTAGAGGTGATGGACAGCGTCTGCACCGACGATCCACCTTGGCTTCATGTCAGCTGCGGGTTCAATTCGAGCAAAGGTGCAAATTTATTGTGTTCACTTCACCGGTCCAAGTTCATCAAGCTTGGTTTTGGTCTCGTCCGTGAGCGGTGTGGATGCCAAGAGCCAAACACCTCCGTCCCGCATCTTAATTGCAGTCGACCGCCCCCCTAACGGAACCACGCCAAACCGTGAGAATGGACTGAAGAAGCCTTCATTATTGGTCCTTGCTATTGAATCGACGATTTACTCACCACGAGAATGTCCAAACATCCGCCGCAACCTGTGCACGACAGCCACCAACGCAAGCTTCCTGTCAATGCGCTACATTTGCTTCAAGGCTGTCGAGACTCACCTCGCGGATGGCGCACTTTCCGTTTATACTTGCTGCACTCATTATCGAGTTATGTATGTGAAAGCTCTGGTCGACGGTGGTTAGACGAAGACAGCAGCCATGGGCATTGAAGCGAAATAGCTATTTGCTCCCGTGGCACGCTATGACGTCACGGACGCGTCGCGATGACTCCATCGTCGATATTACTCTACAGTTCGCGTACTTCACTCCATGAGCCTCAAATTATCAATTCATGGTTGAATTGACACATCTTCTCCTGAAAATAAAGACAGCACAGCGGTGCATTCTCATCTGGTCAACGCGACAACAGCGTGACTGAACCTTGCAAATTATTCAACGCTGAATGTCTCGCAATGCTTACTACAAAGGAATATGCCGCTATATGACTGCACGCACGGGCTTTTTTTGAGTCATTTGAGTCTTATCTTCTCAGGCAGCAAGCGTATGATGACTTCGCGCACACACCCACTTCGGCGTCTAAACTATTGCAAGGCGGAGCGCTCATTGAACGACCCCGCAGAGCACCGCGACCTTAGCGCCGTGACAGATGACAGCCCTACAACGGAGGTGCCCCGAAAATTGTCATAGACACTGCGCAGGACAGCGTCGATACACTGGCGATACACCGCGACGCGTCTCACTCTGTCACAGTCACATGACCGTTAAACGTTCCTGAGGAACAAGCGCTGAGGCCTCTATCACTCGGACTCCATGTGATATTCTTCTCTCTACATGAAGTTCAAATACTATGATTCGCTGTGCGATTATTGGATCTGGTGACTAGACCGTCGACTACCACATTCCTACTTTATGGAAAATAGAAGTCCTTGGCTTCTATTAGCTCGCTATCGTCTTCTCCGGCTCAAGCTCTTGATCGTCATCAGGCTTAATCCAGATCAAGTGATGCTCTGTGTCGACCTTCATGCATCTCTTGCCATAGCTATGCTTAGGGTCAACAGTCGCGTCAGCACTCCCATTACATCGCCCAGTCGTAACGTAGCAATCAACCCGAATTAGGTCATTGGTTTCTTGACAGATCTTGGTCGTTTACAGGACCCTCAAGGGCTTTAAACATGTAATCATACTGACAGTGACATGAGACGGCATACTTGCTGCACTCTTACGCATGTAGGGTCCTCGTCGCGCACACGATGCTCCTCACGAGATAACGGTGGTGCTGCCTCTCTGAGTCCACCGAACCTGCTCCTCAAGGCCTACACGAGGTCTGCATGTTCGATATATGGACTGAAGCCCGATCTTTCCCCTTTGTCTGTGAACGGCGACAGGTCTGTCTCACTTATAACTCTACTATGGTCACCTTTGCATGTCTGTCCTGCGGAAGGGAGTTCGCGACGCTTCCAGCTTGCCAACAGCATGCCTCGGCGAAGGGACATCGAGCGCCCACACCGGCGAAGTGCGATACTTGCAATCAGAATTTCACGTCGGTGGATGCTCTGAAAGTCCATTATCGTGACTCGGATGCGCACCCAACGTGCTCGAAATGCCAGGATGCGTTCAAGGATACGGCTGCGCTCTCCGAGGTCTGTCTTGTTCGCATTTACATTACTTTTTAGATACTGACACAGCACCCGCTTCCCGAGCAGCACATGTCAACTACTCACCTCGTACGCTGTGTGCCGTGCAACCTGACGTTCTACCGGGAAGACCTCCAGAAACACTATCAAGAATCTCCAAATCACTCCAAATGTACAGTGTGTAATCTCGGTTTCCCAAATGCTACTACTCACAAAGAGGTAAGGTTTCATGATGCTGTACTGGATATGGTGTCTAGTCTTTCTGATGCTGATGGTGCGGTCTGCGATACAGCATATGTTATCCAAGCACTCGCAGACGTATTGCGCATCATGTATGCGATACTTCAAGACTGTCGGTGCCTTGGGAGATCACTACAGAGATTCTCCTGTCCATCCACGCTGTTCCCCGTGTGATCTTGGCTTCAAGGATAAGGCCGCCTATGACGAGGTCCGTATTCTGACGTATTCTGTTACTGCTTACCACTAACCAACTTGTTGACAGCATATGGCAGCGGAACATCCTCCAAAGCCGACCGTCGTCGCATCTCCTGTACAAAGTATCCGGTCAATGATTGATACTGTACGCACGACGATGCTCACACTTCCTCTGTCCGTTGATTATCGATGTCAGCGCGACCAGCCGATCATCCAGTCTCTGCCATCGACGTCGGAGACCCAATCTTTACCAGCCTCTCCTGTGCTCCGGGCATCGACGGGCTCGGACGTGCGCTTAAGCCTATCGGCTACGCCAGATACAGTTGCGTCCGAGCTGAGGAACAACCTGGTTCGTCCTCCTTCCTCCAGATTTCAGAAATATGCGCCTGACGTTGTTCTGGGTAACAGGTACCGGGCAGCCCACCCTCACTATTTCGCGCTGTCTCGGAACCAACCCCGCGCCCCACGTCTGTGCTAGGTTAGTTCCCCAAGGCTCCCGAGCGTTGGAAAGGGCTAATCTTCGCATGCTCAGGCGTCAGCAGTACCATACCCCAAATGTCGGATGGGTTACCTTCTCCTGCCATCTCGAATCAAACCTTGGACTACATGAGGTACGGCATCACCATTCGATGCTCGTAAGGACGCGCCTAACAAGTTAACTGCAACGTGTCAGTGTCAACGTAACGGGGTCCCACCGCCCTGCAAGCGTGATTAGCATGCTATCCACGTCGTTGAAGTCGATTTCCAGCGCAACTTCCACGAGGCCGGCAACTCCGACGGAGGCGCCAGTCGCGGTGCGGTGTCCCCTTCCGCTACAGCGCTCAGAGAGCTCGGCAAGCTCTGCCAGTGTCTCCTCAGGGCTTAGGACGCCTGAATCTGAGCCACGCGTCCGTGGTGCACCGTCAGTGCTTGCCACGCCCAAGGCGCCCTCAAGCAGTGTGCTTGCGACGACCTCAGAGACAACCACAAGGCGTGCAACGCAAACGATCGACACGCCCTCGTCTCGAGCGCCGTCACGAGCGGCTTCGCGGGTCTCTCGGGCGTCACGAGCACCTTCTGTCGTCTCTAGAGAGTCTGGGGCGCCCACGGCCTCGGAGACACCTCTGACTACGCCTTCCAGCTATAGCCAAGGTCCTAACGACTCTCTTATGGTTCAGGCTCAGTCAGTTACTGATAGACAAGCAGCAACAGACAGTGACGCGACCGCACGCGAGACGACCAACGTTTCCGCACGCGCATTACACGCCACCTCGTCGAGGCCAGTATCGAAAGGATTATCCTGGCACTGTCGGGCATGCCTCAAGGATCCGTGCGATCAGCCCACTGCGACGATGTGTGGGCACATCTTCTGCCACAGGTATGAGGGAGCGATCGCATCTCGCGTGTGAGTGCAGCTGACATGCGGGTCGCACGCAGTTGCATTTTGAAGGAGCTTGCGGTCAACATGCAGTGTCCAGTCTGCAGGAAGGTGATGCTGTTACGACTTCACGTCGAGAACTGAGCGTGTATGCTTGGGGTACAGTCGTGCTTAGCGCATGTCGGATTTAGCATTGCCGAGGCACATGGCATGGCTCGATGTGAGCGTAATCAGGGAAATACACCAGCATTTCAAATTGTTGGAGATAATATGGTTGGACGACTCATATTTACTTGTCAGACATTCATATGTTACTTGCGCCGTTGATCTGTACACTTTGTTACTCTGAAAGGTCGTTATGCTAGCGAGGCTCTTGAAAGCAACGGCATTGTACCGGAGAGGGTCAGGTAATACTTTCAATGTCCAGCGCTACGAGACGAAGGCTAGTTAAAGAGAGGTATTCTCCCCACGTCATAAGCTCATAGAATATACTTCCATCAAGCTGCGCGAAGCACCAGATAACAGTGCAGGAGCATCCCAACTTCCATCCAGATAAAGGTACCACTGTACTGTTTCGATCGGTTCGACCTCCCCCGTGTGACAGTGACAGCCATAACGAGACGCTGCACTGTGACTGTGACCGTGCTCAACTTTTCAGCTAGCGCCTTGGCTAAGGCGAGGATTCGGTACCGGTGCAACCCGTCTGCTCTCCGCAGCGCGAGAAAATTTCGTTTTTCCGCATCGTTTCGCAAATGGAAATAATCCAAGACTATCAAGCGAAAGTTAGGTTTTGCTGATGGGCCAATCTGAGCAGCTCCGTCTCTTCCTGTGGATAACAATACGTATGGGCTCACCCCATCACAAGTTTGTTGACTTAGTGGACGCCATATATCTGCAGTTACGTGCAAGGTCGTTGCTCCGCCGCAGTCAGCCTTGGCAAACCCCTATGAGATAATGCGATTTGTTCCGAGACCAGCTTCCGCGCGCACACCTTTGCCTACCTTGGCGCAACTCGCACCGCCAAGTAGTCATTGTGAGTGAAGTTTGCGCACGCATATTATGATGCTGCCGCCGGGCCTCTGGTGCTCCTGCTGCCCCTGCCTATGCCCCGCGCCACCAGCTAGCACACAGTCGCCATGGCTCGTAACCTCTTCTCCGTCCCCATTTTCTTCATCGTCTTCCGCGAGACCCTCGAGGCCGCCATCATCGTCTCCGTCCTCCTTGGCCTCGTTGAGCAGATTGTGCACGAGGACCCTGTCGCCCTCGGTGCTGCTCCAACTCGTCCTGCGCTTTCTCCACGTTACACCGACGACAACAAAGAGAATTCCCCCGATGCATCTAGCGCCTCCGGCTTCCCAGATGTCACCGCCTCCGAGCTCCCTCGCGATGACGACGGTGAGCTCGAGGGCGAGAGCACCGGGGAGGAGGACGCGCACGCACCCGCACGCCTCGTGCGCAAGTTGCGCGTCCAGATTTTCCTCGGCTCGGCCCTCGGGCTGTTCGTCGCCCTCGCTGTCGGTGCCGCTTTCATCGCTGTCTGGTTCACCCAGGCAGCTGACCTTTGGGCCAAGTCCGGGGAGCTTTGGGAGGGTGCGTCACTCTGCCACTCTTTGCCTTTCTCCCCTCTGCATGCTCACCGCGATCAACGGCGGATACAGGTATCTTCGAGGTCATCGCGTCGCTCCTGATCTTCGTCATGGGCGTTACCATGCTCAAGATGGATCGCGCAAAGGCTAAATGGCGCGTCAAGCTCCAGCGCGCGTTTTCTGGCAAGCGTGCGTGCCCGCCATTTTTTGCTTGTCTCGCACCCGACCGCTCGCTGATCCCCATGCGCACCTGCAGAGGTTGACCGCGAGACGCGCGCAGGCAAGTGGGTCCTGTTTATCCTCCCATTTATAACGGTTCTCCGAGAGGGTACGTCTGTCCCTCTCCCCGTCTTGTCGCATTCTGTCCGCTAATTCCGCCGCAAAACTCCTTCGCGTACACAGGCATGGAAGCGGTGATTTTTGTGGGCGGCGTCTCGCTTGGACAACCTGCGGTATCTATTCCTATCGCAGCTGTTGTCGGGTTGGTCTGCGGGCTAGTTTGCGGCTACCTGATATACGCTTTCGCGAGTCGGACAACACTCACGGTGTTCATGGCCGTGATGACGAACTTCATCTTGCTCATCGGTGCTGGTCTGTTCAGCAAAGCTGTGTGGGCATTCGAGCAGCAGCGCTTTAACAATATGTGCGCGTCGCTCTCCCTTTCCCCCAATTTCATATCTGCAGTCCATTGATGTGTTGGGGTGGATATGCAGTGTCGGTGTGGACGTCGACGACACGCGGGGCGACGGCCCAGGCTCATTCAATGTGCTTGGGATGGTGTGGCACCTCAACTGCTGCAACCCGGAGAACAACTTTGACAGCGACGGGTGGACGATCTTCAGCGCAATCTTTGGGTGGACGAACACCGCGACGGTGGGATCTGTCGTGAGCTATATAGCATACTGGGTTGTGGTGATGGCTGTGCTCGTGTACCTCAAGTTCAAGGAGGTGCGTGCGGCCCCCTTGTGCCGTCTCCGCTGCTGGTGAGGATGCTAATGGATCAGCACAGGGCCGGACAACGCTTTTCGGGATGGAGAGCGCGGCCGGCATACGGAGGCGTGAGCACCGCGAGCGCGAGGAGAGGAAGAAGCATGCTGAAATAGAAGAGCGCGAGCGCGAGCAGGCAGTGTCGGTGGAGGAGAAGTCGCGCCCTGCGACGCCCGAGGTCGCTTAAGACGACTCGTTCTCTCTCTCACTTCGCTTTGAGCGCAGTAAAAGCATGATAATCAACATTGCACTTGCAGATAAGCAGTACGATCAGGCTTGGAGCTTGGATACTTGGAGCGCGACGAAGCCTGCGACGCAAGGTCGTGTAACACGACGACTAGGTTGATATGACTAGGGCGCCTGTACCGTCCCTTTCGGCAGTACACGGTTCATACGCAAATAGAACCTCTGACTGGGTGCAGAGGTTATGTACGCGAAGGTGCCAGAGTGCTATTTAGCCACCCAGCCTTGGGCCTGAAGTTTGAAGGCGGTAAGTCGTGTATACGTACGTCTGCGAGAGGCGCACCCTGCAGGGGCATTCTTGGCATCATCGGGACATTCTGCAATAGCCCAGTTCAATGCCAAACGAGTAGACACGCAAGGCCCAGGTGTATCGATCCAGGTCTAAGATTCGAATGGAGATCTGAGCTTGCGGAGGCTGACTGAAGTGGCAGCCACCAAGTCTCTACAAATGCAGCGAACACCTGCGAGAAACTGTTACGGGCTGCCACGGTGTACAAGCAATACAAACGCACTACTGTTCACATGTGAGGTGGCAAGGGAAGAAGATATTAAGGTCTGGGCCATTGTGTCTACTTGTTCAGTACTCCGGAGTCTCGAGCTGCAGTGTGATTGTAGCACTGCTGAGGACGTCGCCCTTCACGAGGGAATAGCCGCAGCGGCTTGGCAAGGCACTTCAAAAAGCACAGAAAGCCATCGGTATACCAGCACGTTTCGACGAGGGACGCAGGATCATCGCTAGACAAGACATCCTGGACCAGTCAAACTAGGATTGTAGGCAGCTGAGTCTCTTTAACAAGTTTAGAGGACACGAAGGACTCATCAGATCGCTGAAGTGAAGTCAGGCTACAAGAACGAGACGCTGCTATCGAGTGCTGCAGGGTCTTCCTGCCTTGCTACATTTATTCACAATTTCAATAAAGGAAAGGGGCTCCTGTAGCCCATTCAGCGCACGAGTGGTAAGATTGAAGGCTCCCGGTGTGCGTGCTGGCGATTTAATGGGTCGTTACGTCCAAACGCAATAGTATCGGCCTCTTGCATACGGCGCATTCGAAGCTCCCGTCGGCAATGAGTGCTCCGACGATGCAGCTATAAGACAATCATCCGTCAGCGAGGTATGGCTTCAGATGATCCCGTGCCTACCTTTTGCAAAATATATGGCCGCACATTGTAACAACGGGGTCACGGCATGGGTCCGCTTTGCATGAACGACAATGCCATCTGGCATCGTCTTGGGTCTTTCGCTCGCTGACGTGGGACACCGAACTCTGAAGGGGTTGCTCGCTAAGATACTCTCGGTTGGGAAGACGCACATCAGTATCTGTACCCAGAATCATCACCGTGTGAAATCAATAAGGATGGCTTGACGTGAACTTACTGTTGTCGAGTTCTAATGCCTCGCTACACGGAGACGCAAGAAACATGGGGGCCCAGCTTTGAGAAACACAACTATTCTTAGACTTCGCCTCACTACCCATTTCCCGGAATCGAGGACGCAGTGTTGGCGAAGGCACACGCTCTGTTGCAAGCTGGTGGTCGATTGGAGGCAGTATGCGGAACATGCCAGGAATAGCGCCAGGGAAGCCTTCGGGAGCGGGGCTTGCCTCGAGCACGGGCATCCGGAAACTGTCTTGCTCGATTGGCTCGACTATGGGCGAGGGGGATCGCAGAAGCGACGTTGAACTCGAGAAAGACTCTGTCAGGGGGGATATCATGTCGGGGTTTGTGACCGCAACGGGGGAACTATAACGTGGCAGAGAAGGTGTTATGCTTAGAGGGCTGCAACATGTACGACTAGTGTAATGTTCCGCGTAAACTCACCTGAAGCAGTCCGAGGTGAGTGGTACTTTTGCCAACGTCTGACTTGTACTCCCGCTTTCTCGATTCCGAGTGATTTGGGGCGAAGCGGGACGGGGCGGAGACCCTATGATGGGTGTTGCCTCCTGAGGTGTGAACACTGGCTCTGATGTCTCTAACTGCAGCAGATGTATATTTCAGCGACAGCTGCGCCTCGGTGATATTGCTATCAATGCTACGAACCTCGTCTGACAGAATGCTTATGACCTCTCCCGCTAAAATGTCTCGTTCTCGGACTAGCGCAGCGTCAATGGGGGTCAATGCACCATCCTCATTCTTGCTGGTCTTTACAGCGAGAGGTTCTGGAGGCGAGGGACGCAGAGGCGCTGGGTAGTCAGGGTAGAAACATCCTACGGGGGCAGGTCTCGGGGGAAGAGGAGTGTGTAGTGGAGGTGCAGGTGACTGACCAGGCGTCTCGGAGAAAAGCATAGAGACCTCCGACATTGGCGTCAACGCAAGACGCGGAGAAACCTCGCTTCCATGCGTCCACGCCTCTGAAGGTGATGAGCTCTCTGCAACTAAAGCAGACGTGGAATATTGGATGGCGTCCGGACCAAATACTCCAGGAGGGACCACGAGGATCGACGTTGATGACAGTGATCTTTGTGAGGTCGCAGACCGGGATGATAAAACAGATTGCTGCTGCGCCACAGATGCCACATATGGCGTAATCGTGCGTCGCAGCGGGTAGCATGACGTGTAATGAGCAAAGCAGCCACACAGTCAAGATGGAAAATACCTCGTCAGCACGTTCAAGATCCAGCTTCTCGACGGGAACTGCTTCATGAATGTCTTGCGGGTGCTATATGGTAAGAACATAGTCAAATATGTGTGTTATTTATGCAAGAGATGTCCATACCTGTGAAATCACTTTACTGTCTTCAAGTTTAGCTCGGCCCAGCTCACATCTGGGTTGGTTTGACGATGGGTTATAATGTTGCTGCAACATGCTCGGAGTTGAAAAGATGTCATTGCAGACGGCGCACTTGAGCTCAGGATGCAGAGCGGACATATGCTGCTCAAACGGATGACGTCGTTGGTGAGATGCAGAAGAGAGAAACGTACCTGAAGAAGGCCATCTTTTGTCTCAAATCCAACGCGACACATGCTGCATTTCGGGTGCACAGCCGACTTGAAAAGATGATGCTGTCGTTCGTGTTGCATATACATTTGTCCACAGAGATCGCATTGGATGCGAGCATGCGCTGTTGTGATATGCTGCGCAAAGCCTTGTGTCAACGGGCTAGAATATTTTGAACGGAAAGATTTACCAAGGCAAAAGTATACGCGTTATCGAATCCTTCGGGGCACCTGGTAAAGCAATTTCACACCAGGATCTAGACAGCGATTTTGAAGGCACCATTGCGCACATATCACAGCGGTGAGTCATTGGCGGGTGCTCGACGTTGCAGTGCTACACAATCAGGCGTGTCAATCATGCAACTACACAATGCGAACGTATAGACATACCGTTTGGAACGTCTCAGTGTCGACAAATGATTGATTATCGCATAGAGCGCATAGATGAGAGTCGCCATGAGCAGCCTTGAAATGCCGCTTATAGGTCTCCATCGTCAAACAGTGGTAATCGCGACATAGCTGACAGTACAACATGAGGAGCAAGCGATTGAGGGGACAAGGGTGTGTGAGTTGCATCCCACTCCAGCAATCCGAGCCCTTTTGAGCGGCCGCACCGTGCGCTAATCATGCTATCCGAAGTAGCATTTAAGGTTACGTATCACGCAGAACGTAACTCTCCCCTCGTGCGGTGCATACAAGGAAACGTGTCATCCGCGTCAGGAATCTTTATTCCCTCAAACAATAAGCTAACACACCTCAACATCGGAAATGACCCAAAAGCCTATGCCATTACCATCAGCGGCCTGGAATGTGAGTGGACGTGATGTTCAAGAGCAAATTAGGCACTGTCAATAAGCCGAAGGTGGATCTCTTAGGGAATGGCAATAGAAGCTGTCTGATTACAATGAATTCGCACTCAAACGCCGGATATTGATTACGACGACAGGCGCGAGCGCCTCAAGTGGCACAATCGGAGAACATTAGTTGAAACGAGTCTTGATAGATGTCAACGTTACATATGCACCATGTCTAGCTGATGTTGAGACCAGAGTCGTATGCTGCCAGTCAGCGCCGTCACGAGGCATACAACCCTCCTGCCGCAAGGTGCGAAGACGATGCACCAGGTGCACACCTTGACTATGTTGGGTCTATCAACTCGCCCAAAATGATGGCCAAATCACCTTGCTCGCGATGAGTGGTTCCGCTTGGTTTGCAGCGGTATCGCATGCGAATGCTTGTCAGCGGCATATCGAGGCATGTCGTGCGATTGGTATCACTACATCATACCTTGACGCTCGGCGAGCAAGGGTTTGTGCCTAATTGTGCAAGACGCTGTAGACTGCGACAGGTTCAACGTCATGCGCGCGCGGCCTATTTGGTTCACTTGCCTATCATGGTAGGTACCATGAGCCGAGTGCGACCGAAGCCTAAACCCGAGGATAGCGATCGCGGTGCGTCGACATAGTTGATAGTATGGACTGAATAACAGTCTGTAAACTTATAGAGTAGGCGATAAGATATAAGTTTCAACCGGCCAAAGTGTAACATAGTTCTGGCGAGTATGGTGTGTAGCTCATGGTTTAGAGGAGCGGAGGGATAATTATGATTCAGCTCTCGAGATTACGGTATGTACCAAGATAGGCAGGTGAGCCAAATAGGGCAAGCGCACATGAATGGCCCAAGGACGTCCATCGCTCGTTGTTGGCTATCGAATCTTTATTCCATAAGAAATGGTGTTGGACATTGATCGCAGTTGCCCTATGACCTTGGTTGACACCTCCGCCGCCCCTTGACCCTCTTAGACCTATGGGTTCTAGTGTTAGCCACACTTGCACAAAAACCTCTAATGCGGCATGTACGGAGGCACTGGGGAGTCGATCATCGCGTATGGAATACCAGCATACGGAATCTGAGGCTTGCGGAGACTTGAAGGGAGTGTCTATTTCGACTGAACTTGGTGACTAGTCGTTGTTCCCACGGTCTGTCCGTGACTCGGCCTGTCGTCGCCTATCTTCTGCAGCTCTCTACTTTGTCCCATTGCCATTTCATTTGCCTGTGCGAGGATGTCTGACTACTGGGCACGACGCGACCGCCTTATTCTTGAAGATAGAGCACAACGCGTCGACGTCGAGAAGCTCCGTACCCTGTCCGATATCGAGGCGCAGGCAGAGCAAATCATTCGGCAGATCCGTGTAGAGGAGGCGGCGGCTGTATGGGGTGTAGGGAGTAGATCTGTCTTTGAATACAACCCGGTGGAAGACAGCCCGAATGTGTTCCCTGGCATGGCATTCTTGACTGGTATGTTCGCCTCGTGCAGATCCATGTACGATAATCATATTTGTCCAAGCACGAGAGACAGTGGCCAACACTAAGTTGTTCAAAATATTGAACAGGGTCTGCCTCTTATGTTTGCGACCACATGGCTCGAACGGGGCGCACTGAAGCCCAGCTACACAGATGCCGAAGGGAGCATTGCTCCACGTCCACCTCGACGCGACGGTCAACGTCCGCATTCTGCTCGAGCTGGCGCTCGCTCAGCCCGCCATGCACGTCCGCACCCTCACGCGCCTGACTGTAAGCAACATTAAGGCAAGGCTGCCCATGTTCAAAGCTCTCCCTCCGGATCAAATCGCCAGCTTCTCATCGCTGACCGATGAGTCGTATCCTGGCGAGGAGTGGGTGCCGCTACACCGTGCAAGGGAGACATTCGATGCCAGCCTCGGAGGCTCGGCCGGATTTGACGACTGGGTTGTCGGTGCGCTGATGATCAATCCAGCGGAAGCGTACGGCAGGTTTAACACCCCCATGAAGGTGTGTAGTGTAGTGTCTGCATGTCTTGTAAAGCGGTTCTCTAACAGTCTGTAGATCTGGGCCAAGTTCTCGAGTACATTTAGGATATGCCATGTATGTCCGATGTGCGCAGGTGCACACCTCTCATTGATCAGAGCCATCGCAGCCACTAGTCTACCACACGTCCATTTGGGGCGAATATATACGCCGATTTATTCTATCCTCAATCGAAGATGGCATTTCGTATATAGAGGCACGAATAAACTTCCTATCACGGTCAGGTACATTGGGCTTATGCTAGAGTACTTCGCGCTGACCTTCGATGTACACAGGTACATGACAGGTCCAGATGGCGAGGAGAATGTGCCGCATAGGGAGTGGTTGATCATGTATGACCGGATCGTCAAGGATGTAAAGGAGGAGCTCCGGCCACAAGGACGCGAAGACGAGTTCGTCGGTTCTCGGGTGCGTTCGATTACGGATGCTTGGTATGTGGTCTGCTGAGACGCATATTGTAGATCATCTATACCACCATCCGAGTCGTGACTCCGGAGGAGCTTGAATGGTACCTCGAGGATTGCTTGGCGCTCAAGCAAGAGTTCCCGCATCTCATTGCAGGTAGACTTCCTCTCGTCATGCGCTGGGATACGCAGCGTTGACCTCAGCTGCACGGCAGGCTTCGACCTCGTGGGGCACGAAGATTCGCTGCGACCGCTCATCGACTACATCGAACCACTCACGCGTTTCGTGGAGCGCCAGAAGGAGGTCGGTGTCGAGATCCCGTTCATCTTCCATGCAGGCGAGACGCTGGGCGACGGTGATGCGCCTGATATGAACCTGTACGACGCGATACTGCTTGGGACGAAGCGGATCGGCCATGGGTAGGTGCCGGATGGTCTCGTATGCGCTGTGTACTGATGAAATGGCGGACGTGTTTATCAGGGTTTCTCTCGTCAAACATCCACGACTGATGGAGATCTGTAAGGAGAGGGATATTGCTGTCGAGATTTGCCCCATCTCGTGAGTTTGCACATCGACAGCCAAGTGGTGTCTGACCGTGTATCCGCAGGAATGAGATCTTGGTGGGTTTATGACTGGTCCGTCTGGTCGCTGATAAATTGACTGGAGGACCGCTCGCTCGCAGCGTCTGACGTCTTCCATGCCTGCACACCCACTACCGATCCTTGTTAACCACGGAGTACACATTGCCCTGTGCTCTGATGACCCAGCAGTTTTCGGCAACATGGGCCTATCTTTCGATTTTTTCCAGGTACGGATGCGGGAATGCTTATTCACTCCCTTTGACTGATTTGTCTTGGTATGTTCAGGTACTTGTCGCGAGTGAGGTGACGGGGCTGATCACTCTAGGCGAGTTCGCGAAGGATAGCATCAAGGTTCGTGCTTTTTATCGTGACACTCTTTGTGCACGGAACTCAACCCGTTGAAACTCACCATCATGATGCCTGCAGCACTCGACGCTAGACAAAGATGAGCAGAGAAGGGCCCTCGCCTTGTGGGAAATCCAGTGGCAGAAGTTCCTGCGTTGGGTTGTCGAGCAGTATGGGCGCACTATTTAGGCAGGCAGATGATTTTTGTTTTGTACATCTTTTTGCCGATCTCAACATCGGCTGATCTGTGGGACATGTGAGTTGAAGCACGCTGCGATTGCAATTTCAGCATTTGTGCTGATTTCATCTACTGCCAACAGAATGCTCAAGTCGACACTCTGGGCAGTCATAGGTTTCCGCCGTCGCCGCTGGATGGTTGCGTGCAAACCTCTCCCGTTCAGCTGTGCTCTCCGAAGGACCCACAATCCTTCCACTGACAACGCCGAGTCTCGCAGAGACAGCCCAATACTTATGCTGCAGTTGATCGCAACGACAGATGCGGGAACGTCTGGAGGGCTATCAGCTTGCTCTAATGACATTGCACCTGAGCGCCGAATCATCATGCTGGCGATGGATGCCAAGCTGGGCTTCAAGACGACGTGCGGCTCTTGAAGGCGTGAGTATGACAGGTCATGTTCGACCGCGGACATACCTCAGGATCTACTCTTTGTAGCACTGCCGGAACAGCTATGGATTTCTTCCTTGCAGTTTTTACTCACCCTACACCATACTAGCCAATGCGTCACCTGGGTCCGTCGACAGCTCAGTCTGGGATACAAGCTCAGCTTGCTTCGCCCTCGCGCATAGCACTGTCGCCGATGCCGCTCTTGTCAACGTCAGCCCTACGCTTTGTACTGCTTCATACCTCTATCTGTCGCACACTGCTCGTCGCCTTCATTGGGGTAGACTGAAGGACCTGCTCCTTCTACCCTGATGCCAACCCTCGTGTCTGCCGCCTCTGTGCATTTCTCAGTCACCAATCGCCACACCGATGTTACAGGCACGCGCTGTGTCTATAATCTTGTACGTGTTAAGTTCTATCTCTGCACCCACTATCTGCGCTGGATGATCGTCCCGGGATGTATGCAATGCCTGCGGTCACGATCAATCGTGAATGTACTATTTGATAACAAGATCGCCGAGCACTGAACGTTGGGGCCGGCGGGTTTGCACATTATGGCACGAGGCCCTCGAGATGTGTTCGTGGATGGCGGACATAGTTTCGAGTTATTTAAAGCGCGGGATAGCATGTACGCCTCGAGAACCGACGTCTTTCACGGAACCTCCTTTGCCATGCATCTCATCGCACCACTCCTCGTCGAGAAGACGCAAGCACGAGCATAAAAATTACAAAGTCGCCGAGCAGCTCCTCGGACCGCTGCATGTATCGTGACGCACCAGACCTATCGCTCCTGGACACGACCGCTCACGTTCTTTTCGACCTCCCTCCGATCTCCATGGCCAGTAGTGGAGCAGCTTGAGCAAGATACATTCCGGATGCCCCTGCCCGAGCTTTACCAGCGAAGCATGTCCTGACTCTATCTCTGGTGCAGAATTCGCGTCGTCTGTTCGGGCCGTCCACGAGCTACGCTTCTTCGACAATGTCGCGCCCTCGACACGGAGGGCCGCGCAACGTGGCGCAGTCTAATAATAGCTGCGCTCGCTCGAGCTGGGCATAAACGCTTCTACGCTTCTTGCATCGCCGTGTGGAGAGGCTGGCGGATAATAGTTGCGAGTTCATCCTGAGTTCATTTCTGGTGATCTGTTCTGCAACTCGGTGTTGACCTCCGTGCGACAATGAAGGGGGCCGGTACACGTCTCTCCAGCAGTGGGGCGATGGTTGTATGGCGTCCTGAGGGAAATGAACGTGAAGAATCGGGTGTTGTTTGGAATTGCTGGACCCTATTGTGAGCCTATCATCGCCTTGTGTCGGCATATGTCCAGCCGCACTACCAGCCTGACGGCCTTTCTTCTAGTTGCGTCATTGGAGGACTCGTTGTCGACAGGCGGCTTCACATGCTCCACATGCAAGAGGCCAATTATTGACATCGGGACGTGAAAACCCTAGCGTTTGTCGTTGCAAGTTTCACTTGCCGAATGGACAGCGACCTTTACAATCGGCACCTCTTGAAGCCTCATCTCCGTAATGCCGTTTATCAACTTAGTCTGTGCCTTGACTTGGATCATAAACATAGCATGACTCAATAAGATCGTCTTCGCGATCTCCAGGAACCACTTGTCATCTTTGATCGGTGAGTCCTTTGCACCCCTTATCTTATCAGATATACCACGCTGACGGGCCTTATCTCTCATCTCCTTTTTTTGGTATCTGCGTGCTGCGCAAGCACTACACAGTCCGTTTAGCCAGGCGACGATCCTGCATTCATCCTTGTCTGATGTGCTACTGGTATGCCAATGGATGTCAGTGTATTTCTTGACCTCGCTACGAGACCATCCTTCTCGTTCTCACGCGAAGCCGAACGTGCATCTCGCTGAGGCATGGGTTCCCTGCGGCATTAATTTTGTGCTCCGGTCTCTGCCCCAGGGGCCGGCAGTACCAAACAAGCAGAATCAACGTACGAGGCATCTGTGCATTCTCGCACCGTGCACCGTGCGCGGATCTAAATGCTCGCTTGATCGCTTGAACGGTAGTGCAGCTATATTATTGTCTGCACGCCGCGACGGCCGTTGACAGCCCGTCGTGAGTCGTCTTTACACCTTTATTTTTAAAGTCTTGGCGTTGAGGACAGACTTCGGCCGGTCTCTGCGCCGTGCGGGATCCAGCGGGAACCCCTTTCGTTTGAAACCTCGACCTAAGCTGACCCCAAACGGAAACGGTTCTTGTGCGTCCAGTCATTTGGCTTTGGACTTGGTCATTACCCGAATGTCCAATGGTGCTAAGGACGCCCCTGCATGAACGGAGCTCGCCGTCCCGAGACTCCGGGGCCAAAGACTGCGCGGCTGCGATGGCACCCTGATACCCTGCTGGCGAACGGAACCTCTGTACACCCAGTGAGACGTTCTACATTTGCGCGTATGTCGGAGGGGCTGTCTGAGACTTCATGCCTGTGCGCCAGGGTCCACGGTCATGGGCCCGCGAGGCGCGCGCCTTCGCCCCGCCAAGCACCGAGAAGCCCATGGACACGGCATGCTATTGCGCACGCCGCGAAAGGCGCAGATGCACCAGTGGGCAAGTGGGTGTCATACCCCGTCGTTCTTCTCTCGCGCGTCGCGGGCACGCCGCAACAGAAGTCAGAACAGTTCTCGTCTGGGCCGTGAGGCCTGAATACGCATCTCGATTCTCGGCAGTGTCACTGGCAATAGGCTTAGGGCGGCGCCGTGCGCGACGGCATACTCACGCTGGGATGGCAACATGCGATCTCTTACATACCGTGCATGAGCGACGGTCTTCTAGCGTACATGCTCGAATGCGTCAACGTTCCATCGTGCATTGCAGCAATCATCAATAACGTACGTGATCACGCCCCCACCGCCAAGCCCACTCCGCGCACAATCTAATCTGTCGTCAAATTCACTCGGGGCTGCCCATCTCCGACCCCGATCGTCCGCCCCGAATGCATCACGCGCGATCGTGCCTTCTGGACCAGGACCATCCCGTTGGGCTCATTGTGCGAGCTGAATGTCCAGTAGCAGCGACATGACGCATCGTCGAGTCCGACCGGGACCCCAATCAAGGCACGGGTCGTGCGCACGGAGACTCGATCCTTCGTGCGTTCGAAGTTTTGTCATGAAGTTCCATCGTTTCTATCTACTATACACAGAGCGCGCACCTCACGGCGGCGCCACAGCAACACACAAAGTATACTAATCGCAAAGCGCAGCGATCCACGAGCCAATAGGCCGCGGCACACGACATATAGTGACATTTTGGACATGGCCCGCCTACGCAACCTCGGGCGTCGGCGGGCGCGCCTTCTCCTCGACCGCCGCCACCGCCACCTCTCCCGCCGCCGCTGCCTCCTCGCGTTCACGGTCATCCCTGTCCTCGCGCTCGATGCGCTCCCGGCGCTCGCGCCGCCGCACACCCGCCGCGCTCTCCTTCCCGAGGAGCGTCGTCCGGCCCTGCGCAGACCCAGATCCATCAGCACCCTCATCCCACCAGCACCACACCGCACACAACAAGGCGCGCCACGCACCTCCTTGAACTTGAGGTACACGAGCACGACGATGACCGCGACCCAGTACGCGACATAGCTCACGACGGAGCCCACCGTCGCGCTGTTCGTCCAGCCGAAGATCGCGCCGAAGATCGTCCAGCCGTCCGAGTCGTAGTTGTTCTCCGGGTTGCAGCAGTTGAGGTGCCACACCGAGCCCTGCACGTTGAACGAGCCCGGGCCGTCGCCGCCCGTGTCGTCCACGTCCGCGCCGACACTGTGGGGACCTGTCAACACACGCGCGCAGACGAAGACGCGCACAGCCACAGCCCGTGTACGCATACGCACATGTTGTTGAAGTGCTGCTCGTCAAACGCCCACACGGCCTTGCTGAAGAGCCCCGCGCCGATGAGCAGGATGAAGTTCGTCATCACGACCATGAACACGGTGAGCGTCGTGCGGCTCGCGAACGCGTAGATGAGGTAGCCGCAGATGAGCCCGCACACGAGCCCCACGATCGCGGCGATGGGGATCGCGACGGCGGGCTGCCCGAGCGAGACGCCGCCGACGAAGATCACGGCCTCCATGCCTGCGCGGGCGACGCAGGTGAGCAGGTGAGCAGGTGCGGTACAAAGAGATGGCTGCTGACGCACCCTCGCGAAGCACGGTGATGAGCGGGAGGATGAAGAGCACCCACTTGCCCGCGCGCGTCTCGCGGTCGACATCTGCGTGCGCGCGTTAGGGGGCAGGCCGGTTACGGGTACGGGTAAGGACAGCGGGCACGCACGTTTGCCGGAGAACGCGCGCTGGAGCTTGACGCGCCACTTGGCCTTTGCGCGGTCCATCTTGAGCATGGTGACACCCATGACGAAGATGATGAGGGACGCGATGACCTCGAATATGCCTGCGTCCGCCGCGAGATAGATAGTCAGCGCGCAGAAGACACGCGGAACCCGCACGGAGTGGCGCACCTTCCCAGAGCTCCTCGGACTTTGCCCAGAGGTCGGCGGCCTGGGTGAACCAGACGGCGATGAAGGCGGCACCGATGGCGAGCGCGACGAACAGCCCGAGGGCAGAGCCCAGGAAGATCTGGATGCGCATCTTGCGCACCAGGCGGGCGGCGGCGAGCGCGTCGTCCTCCTCGTTTGCCTCGTTCTCATCTTCAGGGTCGTCTTCGTTCTCGTTCTCGGCGTCGCGGTGGGGCAGCTCGGGCGCCGCGGCGTCGTGCGAGCCGGATGCGCTGGACGCGTCGGACGGCTTCTCGTCGTCGGTGTATCGGGGGGCGACTTGGGGGCGCGGGCGGCGGGCGGCGGCGATCGCGTTGGGGTCCTCGTGGACGATCTGCTCGACGAGACCGAGGAGGACGGAGACGATGATGGCGGCCTCGAGGGTCTCGCGGAAGACGATGAAGAAGATGGGGACGGAGAAGAGGTTGCGGGCCATGGCGGGGATGTGCTAGCTGGGCGCGGGGGCAGAGGCAGCAGGAGCAGCAGGGCGCCGCAGAGGCATCCTGGTGGCGTATATGTACGCGCGAAGCTCACAGGCGGGGAGAAGCCCAACCGCAAGGTGCATCTGCATAAGCCGAGGGGCCGGGCCTCTCGCGTTATCTGATAATGTTCTGCCGGAGGGAGTGTGCGATCTTATCAGATACTTGCCACAGCATCGGTCTTGGCGGCCTTGGCAGCGAGTGGGTGTTCGTGTGACGGCATGCGCATGGGGCCAATCCCTGCGCCTGCATCACTCGCATATTGCGCTTCTGGGCCGATGCTTAGAAGACAAGGAGCAGCTGGCCCTATCTTCGTCTGCGCATTAACGCAGAGGACTCGAAAGGCAGCGCGCCGAGGGGGCTCGGCGGCGAATTTGGGGTCGTGATTATCAGATAAAGCCTCGGCCGGAGATCTCGATCAGGCCCGGGGGTTATCAGATAATTTTTCGGGGAGATGGGATGAGAAGCGGCAAGGCTGAATGTATGATCGCATTCCGTCTTCTCCTCCCTCTTGGTACGGCCCTGATGCGTCCCACCACCATGCGCCTTGGTATTGCTGAGTTCCATTCCGCCCCGAGTCCTTTTCGCGAAGCTAAAAGTCGCGTCCCTCGCCAGATCCCGTCTCTCCGTCCCCCATCTCCCCGTCTCCCGTCTCCCCGTCCCCCATCCTCTGAGACTCGACTCCGGCCTCGACCTCAACGTCATGTGGACCTCCTCCGCCTTTGCCCTCCTCGTCGCCGCAGCCCCCGCGCTCGCCGGCGTCCAGGAGCTCTGGTGGAACATCACCTACGTCTACAACGCCAACCCCGATGGCCTCTACCCCCGCCGCGTCATTGGTATCAACGGGACATGGCCGTGAGTATCAATCGTTCGCCCGACGGTTATGGAGACACGCAGGTCTTGGTGTCATTCACCACCGCCTGCCCGTCGCGACATGCATTTCTGGCTCGTCCGACGCGTGTCCATCCCGTCTATGTTAATTGAGCGATCTTCCAACTGCACTTGCGTTTCTGCGTCCACCCGACCATTGACGCTGACCCTCCGTGTCCGCCAGACCACCTCCGATCGTCGTGAACAACACCGACTCCCTGCTCGTCCACGCGACAAACTCGATCGACTCACCCGCGACGCTCCACCACCACGGCATGTTCTTCAACTCCACGTCCTGGATGGACGGCGCCATGGGCGTCAGCCAGTGGTACGTCCCGCTTGCGCACCCCCAGTCTTGATGCGTCTTCTTACACGCCACTGCAGCGGTATCCCACCCGGTGACACGTTCCACTACAATGTCCCCATCAACACCTCTGATCAGCACGGCACGTACTGGGTGCATGCCCACTCTACCGTGAGTACCACCGGCCACCCTCGGGTGCGCATGACATAACACCGGTTCGACCCGCAGGGTCAATACGTCGACGGTCTGCGTTCTCCGGTCATCCTCCGCCCCGCAGGGCCAGAGAGGTACACGTACGACGAGGAGTTCACCATCGCGATGTCGGACTGGTACCACGACCAGCACGCAACGCTGCTCAAGCAATTCATCAGCATTGCAAATCCCGGAGGTGGCGAGCCCGTACCTGGTGAGCCGTGCCCGCGCCCCGTCTTCGCCGCTCGGCTGAAACGCGCGCAGATGCCGCGCTCATGTACTTTGCGCAGGGCACGCAGTACCTTGGACCGAAGGAGGGCACCAACCCGAGCCCCGTGACAGCCGCGGTCGGCTTCAACGAGAATGCAACGCTTCCGTTCGAGGTGGGCTATCTTATCCGCTTCTTTTTGCAGGCACCGCGCATTAACACATGAATACGCGACAGCCCGGCAAAACGTACCGTCTGCGGCTCGCGAATATCGGCGCGTTCGCGGGTTTCTTCTTCTGGATTGATGGTCATGACATGACGATCATCGAGGCAGACGGCGTGCGTAGCGTCGTGTCGGCCAGCCAAGGCGATTGCTGACCACCGCACAGATCGACACGGAGCCATACCCGATCGACATGATCAACCTCGGCGTCGCGCAGCGCTATTCGATCCTGGTGAAGGCGCGGAACGACACGAGCGCAAAGAACTGGGCGATCCACGCGAACATGGACACGACCATGTTCGACACCGTCCCGGACACGCTGAACCCAAACGCGACGTCGTACATCGAATACAGCAGCGCGGCGGAGACGGAGGACCTCGGCACGGTGGACGCGTACGAGGCGCTGAACGACACGCTGCTGACGCCGGCGGACGTGGTGGCGATGCCTGCGGCCACGCGCACGATCGAACTCGAGTTTGAGTTTGACACGATGGACGATGGCACGAACCACGCGGTGATCAACGGGGTGACGTACAACAGCCCGAACGTGCCGGCGATCATGTCGGCGCTGACGCTGGGCGCAAACGCGACGGTGGCAGAGGCGTACGGACCGCAGAGCTTTGTCGTGGACCACCTGGACGTCGTGGACATCGTGGTGAAGAATGCGGACACGGGGAAGCACCCATTGTGAGCGGACATGCGTGCGAAGTGCTGTGCTGGTGCTGATCGCGCGTCCAGCCACTTGCACGGGCATACGATGCAGCTCGTAAACTTTGCCGCCGACTACACGTCGGACGATCCGTCGCTGAACCCGCCGATCAACGAGTCGCAGGCGAATCCGATGCGGCGCGACACGGTGCTTATCCCCGCGGGCAGCGCATACACGTTCCGCATCGTCGCGGACAACCCGGGCGTGTGGTTCTTCCACTGTAGGCGTCTCGCGCGTGTGTCTGAGTGCTGTTTCGTTTCTGACAAATACCAATTGCAGGTCACATCGAATGGCACCTGGAGGTGGGCCTCGCGATCCAGCTGATAGAGGCACCGCTGGTGGCGCAGCAGCGCAACAACATGCCATCGTACATGAACGACCAGTGCGCGACGCTCGGGCTGCCGTTCTCGGGGAACGCGGCAGGGTTCGCGTCGACGACGGATCTTGACGGGCTGACTGTTGGGCCGTTCCTGCAGAACAACGGGTGGCACCCGAGGGGCATCGGCGCGATGTTCGGGTGCGTGCTGACGGCGGTGCTGGGCATGATCACGGTGACGTGGTACTCGCTCGGCGGGAGCATCTCGGAGGCGGAGATAGAGCACGAGGAGCGGCTGCGGATCGAGGCCAAGGCGGAGCGCGGGCGGTTCTTCGGGCTTGCGAAGAAGGTGCGCGGCCTGCGGAAGGAGGGAGCGCACGGAGATGGCGCGGGTACTGTGTTATGATGTATCTCGCTTTGTTTTTGCATCGTGAGCATTAGAGTAACGCACCTGCGTATGTCGTACAAAACCCTTGCAGTCAGACGTTGTCGTGTCTACTTGTACTAGTAATGGATGGTCAGGGACCCGTTTCATCAAAATTTAGCCATGTCATGAGCACAATGAACAGCTTGAAGCTTGCCTTGCGTAGGAGGGTCTGACGGACTGCGTCCGTTGTGGTTGTCGTTAATGATGAAGTCGGCATATGCGTGACGGAATGGCCTGGTCCGTAGCCGGTACTGGGAGCCAAGTGACACGAAATGAGACACAACGTGTGCAACGCTCGAATCGCTCGTCTGCGTTGCCCTACGAAAACACGATAGGACAACGAAGAGCTCACCAAGTAGACGCAGCGCACGGGATGCTCGTCTGCACTGGAAGTCTGAGGAAAAGGAAAGCTTGGATCGCTGAGCGTCGCGTCGAGGCCAGCTTATAAGACATACGGAGTAGGTCGACAGGCGTGACGTCAGACAGTTAGGAATATATAATGACGTAGGTAAAGAAAGAGGAAGGTGAAGAGTGGTCGATCATACGTGAAAGGGTCCAAAAGGGGTAGTGCGCCTTCTAAAGTCGGAGGGAAGCTTGACGCTTTTGTCATCTAGCGCAGGTTCCTCTACCAAGTCGGCTTTGTTGATCCAAGGGCACCAATTGAACTCGCCTCTTTGTAAGGTAAGCATGGGTGAGGGTAACTCATTGACTGGGGCACACCAGTTGACAGTCCATGAAACAAGATGGGTTTGGACCGAAACAGCTCACAATCACAGAGTTGCAGAGATACAAAGATGTTCACGGCTGACGGCCTATGTGCGGTACGGATAGTACGTACTGAAGGGCGCCTGTGTAAAGTAACTACGTAGTGTATACCAATATTGTATGTCGCTCTTATCAGATGTGAGCCTTGCGGAACAGATAGAAACGAGCAAACGATTCTTCAGTATTGAATGTATTTAGCGTGCATATGAACGGTGTCCTGATCGCGTTTCGAACGCCGCGAATCTTATTCTCGCACGTTGGGCTCAGCGGAAAGGACACAGTCTAGAAGGCCTCATTGTGCGTGCACAATGAGGTGTGCGGCTCCGAGTGAATTTGACGACAGATTGGGTTGCGGGCTGGCTTGGCGTGGTGGGGGCATGACCACTGATATTGATATAATGAGCTAGAAGGTCGTTGCTTAGCAGAAATCGCGTACTGTATGCTACCGTACTCTCTCACGGGCTGGATCATCGACAGAGACACAATATGTCGAGCACATGGCTAGGACGTCGCGACGCGCCCGAGAAGGCGATGGAGAACACTCACTAGTATGCACATGCGCCTTATACTCCGTAATTCTCCCTTCAGCCGTAGGCTATTCTGCCAGATAGTGGTTGATGCACGAGGGGTACACATGGAATCCTTTGCGCGCAAATGCACAGTTTCGAGAACTGAACGTTCTGCGTGCGTGGATTCACTAGATTGCAGGAGCTACCTGTTCGCGCACATTGGGAGGGCCCAGCGAGAAGAACACAAACCGGCTGAGGATTTCTGGAGTCTTTCCAGTCGCTCTGCATCTTGAACGACAGGGTCGCATGACGCGCCAAGCCTGTGGCGGCGACTAGCGCGCACGCGCTATCCCCGTCGGTAGTGTATATCATATACACCAATACAGAACATCCGACTGGATGCACAGAGGTTCCGCTCGCCCGGAGAATATCAGGGTGTCATCCAGCCATCCAGCATTGGGTCTGAAGTCTCGTCACGATAGGCCTCGTTCGTGTACGTCGGCGAGAGGCGTGCCCCGCAAGGACATTCCTCACGCCATCAGAACATCGGAAACCAAATGACTGTACGCGGGGCCAGGTCGAGGATTTGAACGAAGACTCTTGCTCGAGCCTCAAGGGACGGTTGAAGCGTTAGAAGCCAACCACTTAGGAATCACGCCGCAAGGAGGGCTGGCGAGGGGCTGGCGAGGGGCTGGCGAAGGCATTTGTAACGGTGTGCTAACAACGATACAGCTGCACTACCGTTGAAGCAGTCGAGCACTTGAATCTGCGCACAGTGCGAGAAGGCGTGGATATCACGTACGATGAGCCTGCTTCAACTTATTTGGTACTGCCGACCCCTGAAGCAGAGATGGAAGCCAAAATGCCGCAAGGAAACCATTACCATATCCTTGAGAAGTACGCGTACAGCCTCGCGTGAGAACGGGAAGAATGAGCTCGTACTTACATATACATTCATTGGAATACCAGCGTGCTTTGACGAGGGTGAACGCAGGATCGTCGCCTATCCAAACGGACAAGTGCACGAACAGCCCTGATGGATAGCCACCAAACATCTCGATAGATTGATCATGGCCGTCTTCGTGACCTATCACGCCGTTGGGGCTTCTAGAGACGCTAGGTTCAAGGGGAACTGTCCATTCAGCAGGCGAAGCTTACAACAACGGCAACGATGGGCTCACTATACAGCCTCTCGTGCATATCCGGAAATTCGTATCAGCACTCAATATCTTTTTCTTCAGTTGCTTTGGGGCGCCATACATACATTTCTCCACTGCTGGAAAGACGTGCGCCGGTCCCTTTTAAAATCAGACTGTAGTCAATATTATCCACCAGTGCCTCTCCACGCGGCGACGCAAGAAGCGTAAGCGCAGCTACTATTAGGCTTCATCACATTACGCGGCCCTCCGGATAGAGAACGCGACATTGTCGAAGAAACGTACCCTTCCTCTAGCTCGTGGACAGCCCGAACAGGCGACGCGAGTTGTGTACTAGAAATAAAGTGAGGAGATGCTTCGCTGGCAAAGCCCGCCTTGGGCAGGGGCATCCGGAAGGTACCCTGCTCAAGCTGTTCGACCGCTGGCGATGGCGATGGTAGGAACCCCGTCGAAATCGATAAGGACGTGAGCAATGGTATTCGAATGACCGCAGCAGGTCCTGGAGCAGTATGCCTGATGCGGCACGATACATGCAGCGCTCTGAGAAGCCCATCGGTGATTTCAATTTCACAAGATCTAGACTCGTGCTTCCATCTTCTCGACGAGGAGTGGTATGATGAGAAGCAGCGCGAAGGGGCTATCACATGAGAGATGTCGTTTTGCGAGGCGTGCATACGCGTCCCGTGGCTTTAGATAGCTCGCCGCCATCCACGAACACATCTCGGAAGCCTCGTGCTATAATGTACAAACCTGCCGGACTAGACTTTAGTGTTCGGTGATCTTCCTCCCGAATGGATAGTTCCAATTGATCGTGAGCGCAAGTATTGCATGCAATCGGCTACAGCATAGAGCAGACGGTGGACACAGAGACAAGGAACCTAACACGTACAATAGTAGAGACACAGCCCGTGGCTGTAGAGGGGACTGATGTCAGCGTCAATGTCGGAGTACAAGGAACAGGTCTCCACGCCTTTGTAGAGGAAGAGCAAGGTACGACAGATGAGGGAATTAAGTAGTATGAAGTGTTCGAGCCGAAAGCCACAAGAGGAAGCACTAGAGAGCGGGCATTGACAAGAACGGGCTTGATGAGAGTGCTGTGGGCAAGGGCGGGGCCGACGACTCGTGTGTTACAGACTGTACTGTCAACGGGCCCAGGCATCTCAGGTATGTCTGTGGCCGAACATGATCTGGGATGCACATACCTTCAAGAGCCGCATGTTGTCCTGAAGCCCAACTTAGCATAGTGCAATTCGAGTAGGTGATGTTCCTAGAGCACGCTTGCAGACCTGAAGGCCTTCTCGCATCTATACAAGCGCTGGCCTCGTATCGAGACCCGCCGGATCCATCCGCACCCCATCACCGTGGACCCTTCCATCAAACACCCGTCTGGCGCCTGCATGTAACGGTTACAGTGCGCTTCTGGTACCTGGAAATGATATAATCTTTGATCACCTCCAAATTCGGTACCAGCGGCCAAGCTCTCACTCTAGTTCAATTCTAACTGAACCTCAAATTTTTTCCTCTTTGTGAGTGTAGGGGTTCTATCAGCATGAGTTGAGAAATAGTGACTGCATCAATTTAACAAGTTATTCATGAGAGCTCAGCAACAACTTGTGCCTAGGGCTTCTGTTTCATAGTACATCTTAGCTTTTTTTTGACAGACCATCACACAATAATGTTTGATGTATTACACATTTGAAATAAATCTGAATGTTCATCATTAATTGATAGATAAACACTTTTAGAATTTGATATGGTCATTCATCAGAATTCACTCATATGTGATAGTAGCTGATCATCATAAAATTTGCTATCTTTACAATCTGACAGATCATTGCATTATGATGTCACAGCTATGGGAGATATATATATATATATGAACAATGTAATCAAAAAAGTAACTTTTGTTGTATACCTCCATCATCACAATATGTCAACCAATAACTCCTCAGAATTGACTCAAGACATTCAGATAATTCAGCAAACGTAAGTCTATTTATAACTAATGGTTTTATTTATACAATGACCTTTTAAAAATAGGTTTGTTGAAAACTACTGTTATTTTTCTGTGATGGGTTAATATCATTGTTTTGATCAAATCTGATTGTATCATGTTCATTGACACTACTAATATTCTACCTGCAAAGCACTTTATATCTATGAATTTGTTATCACCTTGGATCAAACAATCAGTGTTATCTGGAAGCAAAAACTAACATGTGCAAATGCTGCATACATAATACTGCATATTGGTGTATCAGGTTATGCTGTTCTGGCAGCTGGAAATTACTTTGTTGTTGGTTGCAAAGTAAGTATATGTTCAGTGTAATAGTCTGTATACTTATCAACAGTGGATAGGTGTCTGTTAATCTCATTATATTAAAATCTGATGATATTGATATAAACCAACTAATAGTGGTTTAGTTTATTCAATATGCTGGAATGCCTGCTGGTGTGTTATGTATATAGCAATATCAAGTGAGTATTGATTATATTCAAGAGTAAGAAATAAACATTCATGAATAACAAATAGCAATTGCTGCATTACGGGTCTATGCAATCAATGGACACAAATTGATTGTTCCAAGCATAGTCATAAGTTTGTATGCATTTCCTATTTGTGTGGGATTTGTAGGAATCATTTATGATACTTGTAAAGTGTTTCATTGCTGATTCAATTTTACTAGTTTCAGCTTGCAAGAACAGTAACTCAGCCAGCCCCTAGTCCAGTTACATGTATAGTATATGTAAGCATTGAAAATAATGAACTTATAGGGTAAGGTTGTATTTGTAGAACATCCATTGTTATCTATTTTAAAATGATGCTTTTTTAGATGTATGCACTAGCTTGTTTTTCAAACACAACAACAAGATGCTGACAGCATTTTCACAGTATTAATTGCCAATCGCTGCTGTTTCACAGTGGCTGAATTTCTTGTTCTAATTGAAACTTGGCGTGCAACATATGGAATCAAAAAAATGGCACAAATGGCAAAAGTGGAAGTTTCAATTACAACCCTATTTTTACGAGATGGTAAGCAGTTTTTTTGTGTTTATTCATCACTATAGAATTTGATGCACATATTTGTTAGGCACTGTATTTTGGTGGTATGTTATATTGTGCATTGATCAAACAAAAATTGACATGCTGATAATGTTTCTTTACTGTAGTATCATATTGATTGCGGCCATCACAAATGTTATTTTCCTAGTGCAAAATATTCTTCCACCTAGTTCAGTCTTTATTGATGTGTCTGTAAAAATGTGTTCAGTTTGAAAGGCACCACTCTGATTGCACTTGCTTAGGTTGAATGCTCTTATACTTTCAAGGCTATATCTCAACCTCAAATATGTATTTGCAAATGGAACTTCAACTTTCCAAGACTCAGAAGTATCATCTGTTCAATTTGCCTCAAATGTCATAGGGCCACTAGGAGGATCCATCAATTTTGCATCATCATTTTCGGGTGAGCATCATGACCCAGACATGTTTTGAAAGAGCTCAGTAAAAACAATGCAATTAGATGACATTATTGACCACAATGTGGAAGATAACACTGAAAATAATGAAGGTGAAATAGAGGAAATCCCACGTCATGTTTGATAGCAATCACCTTGGCACATCTTATATACGGCTCGTTATAAGATCAAACGTATATATCAAAAGGCTTTTATTGTACAACATCTATGCTATCATCATATCTTTTGCATGTTGTTTCATTGTTTTAAGTGGAAAGCAATATAAAAAGTTTTTGAAGGTCCTTACATACCGCTCAAGCACGCACAGCTATTATTAGGCTGCGACATGTTGCGCGGCCCTCCGGGTCGAGGGCACAACATTGTCGAAGAAACGTGCCATTCATTAGCTTGTGGGCGGCCCGAACAGACGAGGCAAATCGTGCACCAGAGTCAGGACATGCTTCGCTGGTAAAGCCCGCCTCGGGCACAGGCATCCGAAAGGTATCTTGCTCAAACTGCTCTACTACTTGCGATAGAGATCGTAGGAGCCCCGTCGAGGTTCAGAAGAACATGAACAGTTGTGTTCGGATGACCGCAGTAGAGCCAGCAGCGATGAGCCCGATGCGTCACGATACATGCAGCGGTCCGAGGACCTGATCGGCGAGTTGAAAGTTCTATGCTCATGTTTCCGTCTTCTCGACGGAGAGCGGTACGATGAGATGTGGCGCGAAGGATGTGTCGTATGAAAGACGTCGCTTCTCGAGGCGTACATGCCAGCCCGTGCTTTAGATAGCTCGAAACTATGTCCACCATTCACGAACACATCTCGCAGGTTTCGTGCCATGCCACAATGTGCAAACACACTGGTATAAATGTTCAGTGTTCGGCGACCTTCCTATCAAATAGTACATCCCTAATTGATCGTGACCGCAGGCATTGCATGCGTCCCGGGACGATCATCCAGCGCAAATGGTGGACGCAGAGACAGAGAACGTGATACGTACAATGATAGAGACGCAGCGCGTGCCTGTAACATCGGTGTGGCGATTGGTGTCTGAGAAAGACACAGAGGCGACATTCGGCGTCAGTGTAGAAGAAACAGGTCCATCAGTCCACCCTTATGAAGGCGACGAGCGCAAGAGCGACGTCGGCGGGAGTGCCGTGGGCGAGTGCGGGACCGACTGATCTTGTGACCTAGACTGAAGTGTCGGAGGACACAGGGGTTGCATTGGCTAGGATGAATTACATAGATGTCCTGGCTGTACCACGTAGGGGGTGCTGTGCTGTTGCTCGGTCGCGCGTCGCGCGCCCCTGCTCGCGAACTCTATACTTAGGTTAGGGTTGAGCCTGCCGCGCCTTTTGGGCGGTTCTGCGCACGACCCATACCATAGCTGCTGGCTTCATCTTGTCTTCTCCTTGAGCTAGAGCTTGTGACATGATGCCTCAGAGGCTGTCGGTGGAAGAAAGGGATGATTCGGGACGACTTACCACCGCGTACTCCCTCACCCTAGGCAAGCAAGGAGAAGTCAGAGCTCTTTCCCTAGTGTCTACGCTCAATTGTAATTCGAGGGATACTTGCTAGACGTATAGATCCGGCTTGTTCATTACTGAGAAGAAGGGAACGGACTGGCGTCATCTCCTCAGCGATGTCTTCCTTCCAGCCGGCTTTCCTGCTACAGTATCTCCAGGTAGGTTACCATACCACTCTCGCGTTGCATAGTATGATGCAATGTCAAACTGTAAATACAACAGATTACCTGCAGTAAGGTCACTACTTGTACGTCATCACTTCTACTCACGATACACCGCGTTAGATATCAGATATACAACGCCTTGCAAGCCTTCTGCAGCTCTTTGGCAGGACTCATTGCGTCACGAGCAGTGCTTCAAGGTTTTCGTATTTGGAACTTAGTCCATGTCAGCGTATTGACCTTGTCAAAGGTCATGGCGTTGGAAAAGCAGGCGCATCTGCTACGCATGCAATCTTCCTGACCGTGCTTCAGGACATTTTCAGCAGACTGACGAGTCAGTGCCACACTTGATGCATGAGTTGGCAATAGTTGGCTTCATGCGCGACTGACTTTTCAACATAGCAATCGTTGCCGGGTACTACCTCGGGACATCGCTTTTTCCAGAGGCGAAAGCGTACCGGCTAACGGCAGACATCTTCAACGACGCCGCCATCATACTCGACACGCTGTCACCTCACCTTGGCTCGTTCCGAGTCGCGTCGCTTTGTCTAAGTGGGGCATTCCGTGCGCTGTGCGGAGTCGTCGCAGGCGGTTCCAAGGCTGCGCTGACGGTGCACTTCGCCACGACTGCGAAGGGCGCCGGAGATGTGGGCGACTTGAGCGCAAAAGACGGCAGCAAGGAGACGGTGCTCGCGTTGCTCGGCATGCTCGTTAGTACATAACTTCGCTTCACGCTGGTTGTCGTCTCACATTTCACGCCCTCCAGAGCGGCACCGCAGTGATGCACTACGTACACAGCACACGAGCAACTTACGTCGTGCTTTTCGCGCTCATCGCCTTGCACCTCTTCTGCAACTACCTTGCCGTCCGCGTAGTGGTTTTCCGCTCGCTCAACCGACAGCGGGCGTCTATAGTCTGGGCAGCTTATCGTGCACAGTCAAGTGGTATGTCTCTGTACTTCCATTGTGTAGGAATCTTGCTCATTGCTTCTACAGGACCCGCTCCCACAAAGACCCCGCGTGTCCTTACACCTACAGTCGTGGCCGCGCAAGAGCGTATATTCCCGGTCCCCACATCCTGCCACCTCGGAGTGTCATTCGCATATATCTCCGCCGCACTCTCTGCGTCACCCACGCACCTGCAGACAGTCCTCTCCTCCTTCTCTAACGAGCGCTACCTCCTCTGGGTTGACAGCACGTGCTGCGTACGCGTCTGCCTTAAGGAGGGGCACTCGTCCGAGGACCAGTTCAAAGCGTGGGTACACGCGCAAGAGACGGCACGCCTCCTCGCAGGGCGGGCACCACAGGACTTTGAGATTGCGCTCGCCGCCGTGCAGACTGCGTATGCGGTCGTGGAAGACGCGTGGCCGAGCTTTGTGGACGGCGTGCGAGAGGCGGGATGGCGGATCGAAGAGGGCGGACTGCTCGTAGGCTCGCCGAGGACGATCCGTATTGAGACGTTAGAGAGCGCAGACTCTAGTAGTCCTAGTGATGAGGACAGGAAGAGAATCTAAGTTTTGACCTAGACGTGGTGTTACGCTATGAAAAGAAACGATGATTGGATGTGCATCTCTGTGTATACGTAAAGGATCTGCGATCCGTGGTTCCTTGTCTAATTTCGATTGCTCAAAGACCCCGTTTGTTCGTTGTCATCTCTGACACCTCAAGCAGCCTGCTAATAGTACGTATCCAGGAGATGCCTCATTGACGAGCTGTCTAATAACGTTCCCAAGGCTTTAATCCGACTCTACCTATGATTTCCACACATCTTCGGCCTTGCATTCAAACGATACGCACTCAGCATTCGAGCAGTGCCTCGACTTATGGGTGATCACCGGGATCGTAGCAGCACCCTCCGAGTAAGTGTTGCGCTTCCTGGTGTAAAATTTCATCAATGTTGATATACCCAACCAGCAGTACTTCGCCAAGTCTTCAAACTCAAGTTAAAGGTTAATATCGATCTACGGTGCATGTTACTTTTAATCACCCGCCCGACTTGATAGCCATGTATCACACCTATTGAGTCCGAGATGCTAGGGACATTATGCGGGAAATCTAGGTAACAAAAGGTAAGGCCCGTGCATTCTGTACGAGATAAATCCGCGACGATCTCCAATCGCTGGTGTTTTGCCTCCACTCCAATCCGGTACTGTGCACTGAAGCTTTTCCGCTATTCCTGCCTGCTCAATTAGCCATGCTATACCGATCTGCTGGACGCGTCCTCCTCGTGACGGTCTCTTTCGTTCACGCCCGTGCGGATGTTCCGCGACCGGTCATCAGACTATCACAACAGGCGCTCCTGCGAGAACTGACTTTGCTCAACGAAAGCGTTGATGGTCGGTTATTTGCGGTCACTCCCTGGGAACTTCCGTGCTTTTCAAATCTCAACGGGATTGCGGTAGCTCGGAATGATACGGAATGCGCAGCGATCCAAGCAAACTATACCAATCCGCTCTTCCGTGCGACACACTTCGGCGCCTACATGATAGTATGTCTGAGCTCCTGCATGCCTAGATTTATATTGACATAGTCGCGCCATGTTCCCTTTCAGCCAGAGTGGGAGACCTGTCAAACAGAATCTCCAAGTGGCGGATGCCTGCTCGACCCCAGCGACCCGTCTGACCCTCTCGCTTTCGACAAAGCTGCTTGCCATTCAGGCAATCTGGCATCGTACTTTGTGCGTAGGTTCTCTGTCTGTTAACACGAAAACGTTCCAGTGTCACCTTCATGATCCAGATCGACGTGAGATACTACACGGACGTGCAGAAAGCATTGCGCTTCTCTGAGATGACTGGTATCCGGTTGTCTGTCAAGAACAAGGGACATGACTACAAAGGTAGATCAAGCGGTAAAGGCACACTGGCTTTGTGGGTGCGTTCCGATTCTACTCGTTCGTTACCTGAAACGTGACTCTTGGCCGTAGGTGAGCAATTTGGATTCGGTAAGTGTGGCCCCTCTACACTACATGAAATCCCATCAAGCAGGTAATCTTCATGATCAGTTTTCATACGAACCAGAATTCGTACCAGAAGGATGTTCAACGAGTTACGATGCAGTGACCATTGGTGTAAGCATCCCTTGTATTGGTGTATATTTAGTGCTGAACCGAGAGGACATAGCCCGGTGTCCTCACACAAACTATCTATGAATATGCCGATGCCGTTAACAAGACATTCATTGGTGGTTATTCACAGTCTGTAGGGGCTGGTGGGGGCTTCTTTCTGGTGCGAAAACCTTCTGTCAACAGCTCAGTACATAACTAAGAAAGTCAGGGCGGGGGACACAGCGTCTTATCACCAGTATACGGTCTGGCTGTTGACAGAGTGGTAAGTTCTAGCTCGAATTTTCATCGAGATTCCCTAAGATGATAGACTGTCAGGTGCAAGTGAAGGTAGTGACGGCTAATGGACAATATTTAGTAGCGAATGAATGCTCGAATACCGACCTTTTCTTTGCGCTTCGTGGAGGAGGAGGTAGTGCGTTTGGTGTCGTTATGGAGTCATCTCATAGGCTAGAACCTCAACTGACTTTACAAGTGTATGCACATCTGCTGCTCACCCCTGAAGCAGTGCTGATCATCTACCAGCGCTTCGCTAAACTTTACGGGACATTCAAACCTAAGCACTCTGGCAATATGGTACGAGACACTAGTGAATGAAACATACAAATGGGGAACACAGGGCTGGGGAGGGCACATTGTCGTGAGTGCAGTGCTGCATCTCAACTAGCTTTTAATCATTGTATCATTTCAGGGCCCGACGTTAATCTTTGTGAATTCATTACTGAGTAATGCAGATGCAAAAGCATCTATGCGAACCGCTGCCGATTTTGCATTAGCGCAAGGTGGAACGGCTATCGTCGAGGAGTTGCCATCGTACCTCGCGTTTTTCAATAAATACGTTACGCTGGCTGAAGCTGTGAGAAGACGATTTACCTTCCTCTTAACCGAAACTGAAAGTCGACGGGCAGAGCGTCGGCCCCGAGCTAATTCTGGGATCGCGCCTCATTCCAACGTCACTTTTCGAGTCCGCCGAAGGCCGCGAAACATTGTCCAGCACGATTGCGGGTCTTCTGTCATTCGCAAGCCCTTATATTCCTGTTGTCCCTCCATTCCTCTATAACTATACTGAGGGAACCACGAGCGTCACCCCTGCATGGCGCCGGTCTCTCTGGCATGTGAGCATGCAACGCGCCATAGGTACAGGTTATTGGTAACAATGATCATCGCACTCTGCTAGCTTTCGCTTCATAACGTATGGTCGTGGAACAGCAGCGTCGATTACATTCAAGAGCAGTATGAAGCCGTCACGCAACACGTACAACAGTTCCGTGATATTACCCCAGGGAGCGGGGCGTACTTTGTGAGTTTGTTTTTGTGGATCAGGAGTCTATCTCAAAGGTATATTTTCAGAATGAAGGAGATGTCTACGAACCGAACCATACGTACTCCTATTGGGGGAATAATTATGAGAGGCTTTTGTCTATCAAGAAGCGATAGTGAGTTCGTTTGCTGATCATTCGTTGCTGATCATTCGAAACTATTATTGGGATTTAATCATCGTTGTAGCGATCCTGTGGGTCTTCTGGACTGCTGGCAGTGCGGTTTGTGTATACTCGATCGTTTTAACGCATTCAACCTCCTGACACATTTCAGTTGGCTGGAAGGGCGAAAATGACCCTCTCTACCAGTGCTATCTTCCATATCCGGTATTACAATGATATTCCAGGAGTTTTGTCTATGCAAAATGATCGTCGGTTCTGGTCGTGACGTATCCGCATGTTTCACCATAAGAATCGCCACATCCTCTGCTATTGATCGGTGCTGAAGTTTCGATCACGTCTGCTGGGAAGTCTTGAGCTGGGTATTTTGACAGCGGAAACACTTGACTAGATTGCTGCGCCTGAACTGCAATGAAGCGCGAGGATACAAATACATGATATTGTGGGTCGCTACAATATTAAGAATACATCTACTCTCGTACACCTCACAAGATAGATTTTAGTTTCTCCACACTCTTGATGGGCAACCCACATGTGAAGTTCTCGCAGATGTGTACACTTGGCACAGTGGTCGCCACGTCGACTCCTTTGTTCTTGTCGAGATCTTCGATCAGTGTACGCAGGGTCGCGTTGGCCCGAGCAAGATTTCGAGGGGGATGGGCCGGGTCAATATGAATGAGAACACGATTTGGTATGAAGCGCTCGCGAATGACGTCGAGGAAGGGGGATTGGCGAGGTGCACTAGGAGTCTCGGTCAAAACAAACTGTTCCCGGGGGCATAAATAAGTCGAAGTATCACAGGTAGATCAAACACTCAGCATACCTGCTTCAATCCTCTCTCCGTAAGCATGGCAGCGCTGACCATCGTAGCTAGTGCGAATGGCGCCGCTCCCAGCAATTGCGCGTTGGCTGCCAGCACACTGTTAGCTTTCTCCTGATACTCTTTATGTCTGTCCTCGGCAAAGTGCGCCAGACGCAGTAGGTTGGACAACGTTACGGATACTGCACTTGGCTCCGCACCGTCCTACATCATGATTAAGCCATAGCACTCGTCTAATTATGAAAAAGGACACACCTGTGCATCCTTCATTCTGAGGATGATATGTTCGTCAGGTGCAGATGCAAAATAACCTCCTCCCTCCTTATCAAAGAAGAGCTCGTCTTGTTTCTCTTGCAGACGCACGGCCCATGTGATGTATTCCTCCTTCCCGCTGGCTTCGTGCAAGTCCAACAACCCTGCAAGGCGCAAAAACAGTGAGAATCATGCAAGTTGCATATTTGAACGTCACGCCGTATTACCTTGAATCAAGAAGGCATAATCGTCAGCCTGGCCTTTGGGGCCCGGACCCTCCCTCCAGCTGCGTACAAGCTCTCCGCTCGCTTCACTGTATACGTGACTCCGCAAGAACGCAGTTGACTTCGCCGCCAAAGAGAGAGCTTGTATGGCCTCCTCACCCCGAAGAAGTTCAGATGCTTTCGCAAGCCCAGAGATCTGGTGAGCTTGCCGTCAGCTCTGAGATCCGACAGAAATAGTGGGCTAACCATTAATCCATTCCACGCCGTCAATATCTTATCGTCAAGGTGAGGTCGCGGCCGTTTCTCTTCTCTATACAATCGCAGCTTCTCCAGGCATTGTTGAAGAAGCTGCTGCAAAATCTCGACCGGTCGTCCGAACTTATTCGCGGCCTCATCCACTTCATGGGCTACATACAGCACATTCTGGAGGTGGTGTGTTAGCTTCTTCGTGATCCGTTGTGCTGCTCGACACTGAGGGTTTCGTGACACACCTGACCAGTCAGCTCGCCTTGGATGTCGTGCGCGGGGTCACAGTTCCCGTCCATTTTAACGCCATACACCCACTCAAGGATCTCAGAATCCGCACCCAGAACATCTCTCAACTCCTGCGCAGTCCACGTGTAGAATGCGCCCTCCTTCGTATGCTTGCTCTGAGGAGTTGGCAGGGAATCAGCGTCCTCTGCGCTGTAGAAGCCACCGTCAGGGCTGGTGAGATGGCGCGGTAGGTACTTTAAGATTGATCGAGCAAAGTCGGTTAGCACCCCGCGAGACGGGGAAGACTCGGGTAATATAAGAGCAAGCTCTACGGCGGATGCTAGTAATTGTCCCTGGTCATACCTAGGCGATTTCAGCCGAGCGACGTCGAAAGAAGACCTGCACCACTCACAACATCTTCTCGACTGCAGAAGGTAATCGAGCGCCACATCAGAAGGGATATTTACACGGTCATGTGAAAGGCCTACAGTGCGGGACATGCCACTTTTCATCGACGGAGTACCTCGCAAAACCACCACCAACTACGTCATGGATACCGCCATTATAAATTTGGACGAGCGTGTAGACGGCCATGTCTCTGGCATGCTCTGCATCTTCCTTACGACTTGTCTGACTGCCGTCACGTTCCTCGGAACCTCCGGATCCTTCATTTGCATCAGCATCAAGAAATGCCAATACCTCTTCGGGAGACTTGTTCTGGTCTGAAATAATGGAACGACCTGCAGAGCCAGCTATGCGGTCCAGGTTCAATGCCGCATAGCGTGCGAGGAAGTGTGTTGTCTGCGCCGGTTGCGGGAATTTCGGCGCGCCACCAAACCCTCCGTATTTCGGATCGAAGCGCTTCGCAAGACGTGAGTAAATTGAGGAGGCAAGAGAGGTAATGGGTAGGTCGTGCGAGCCAGATTGGACCTGGACCGCATACAGTTAAGGGATATTCAACAGCACACAGACTTATGAAGAGATGACGACTGACGTTTGTCATTTCACGCAGCTGCTCGATCATCTGCTTTCCAGCCGCCTTGCAGCGGTTGGGATCGGTTTCCCACCTGTTGTAACTCTCAGTCCGAGTCCAATGTCACAGCTCCAAATTGGCAACATACAAATCAGCGAGCTTCATCATGACTTGTCGAAATTGACCCGGAGGGAAGTAGGTCTGTGGTGTGTGCCATACGTGAGGAGACATGCGACAGCATAACACATCAAATTATGACGTACGCCAGCAAAGAAAGGATGGAGATCAGGAGTCAGCCCTGATATTTAAAGGTTAGAACGAACAGAATATGACACCTGTCGGCCCACACCGGATGCTCACAAACTGACATTGGCCAACCACCGCCCCCAGTGGTGGCTTGCAAGAAGGTCATATAGAGTCGATCAACGTCTGGTCGTTCCTCGCGGTCGACCTATCCAGATGAAAGTTGGTCAATTCTTGTGGCTGCTTTCGCAGACAGAAGTGTCTGATGATACTTAACTCACTTTGATATTCACATAATACTCGTTCATCATCTTGGCTGTAACCTCATCCTCGAAGGACTCATGTGCGAGGACATGGCACCCTATATTAAGTGTAAAGTGTACTCATACTCGCCTTGATTTAGCACTTACAATGACATGCTGAATAACCAACCTTTGGCAATGATCGAAAACGCATGAGGATTACAAGCTGAGCACGGCGCGTGAAGACTTACCGAGAGGAATATCAGTTTATCCTCCTTCTTTGCCTTCTCGAACGCCTCTGAGCACCATTCGTACCAGTCCACCTTTTACTCGTGAGCAAATGTCCCAGTAGCAATGCAAGGACCATCCATGACGCCTTTTCGTGCTTGAATGCCTAAGGACGTACAGGATTCTCCGCATGTTGTAAAAGATATGGACTCTTAGCTTGAGCAAGTCTGTTTCTTGCGCGAGATCCAGCCGCCACGCCAAGGACGGAATGCGTACTGCTAGACATCTGCCGAGGGAACGGGGCAGGATCCTGTTGTGCAGTTTGTCTGCGAATTGCTGACCCCAAAGAAGTCTTCGATGATTGTACACACAACAAATGTATATGAGAGCCTCTCAGTGAAGCTCTAAGTAATGAGAGAAACGGTGGTCGTTGGAAGACAAGCATCATCCATGGCTAAAACGGAGAAATGCTTGGAGCTATTGTCAGTGGCCTGTCGTAATCTGGAGAACCCTGATCTAGGGTTAGGTTCCGGGACCAAGTTCACTGTACAACGACAGTCGTAACACATGCAGATAGATCTGCAGAGTTCATCCCATTCATCCAATATAGCCCCTAATATCCCCTATTATGATTTAGAACCCGTTGTATATCATCGGAATCATGACATCCACGGCCCCGCCGCCAAGCGGCGCAATGAAATAAAGGCGAGCCCCTTGTGTCTCGATTCTCCACAGCAAGATCCCGACCGTCTAGGCACAATGTTTAACAAAGATCACGACCTAGGTCTTGTTAATTGATACATAGAGAGCATTAATGAGGATATACCACTTAGAATATGAGTGAGCTACCGGCTCACTTCGTCGTCGGTGTCATCCTAAGACACAACTTCCAGAGAGGCCATGGCAAAGCGAATGTTCTATAGTGACTAACTACGCAGTAGCGAAAGCTTGAACCCAGATCCACACTGCTCCTCTGAATCGCGGTTCTATTCTTCGGTACGGTATTGCATATTTGTTCTCGAGAGCAAAATTGACGGGACAGGCGCTAAAATGGAAACACGACAGCACAGTCGCCCACAAGTTGACAGCGAGCATTGGTATGCCTTTCCAGATGTACAGATAAAACGTAAGAGAATATGAGATGAGGTCCCTGGCGGATTATACACGACAGTACAACCATAAATAAGTCATGATATACTGAGCGGAGTGGATAGGCTTGCATCGTTCGCCTGTGAGCGTGAAATGTCCCAAAGCGGTTTACCTATACGCGCCAGTACGCATGACAAGTTCTTGTGCGCTTGAGTTGTTTGGTCCATAACCTATATTGAACGCAGAGAACGTGTTCATGCGAAATCAACACATTTGAAAACGACAGCGCGCACCTCGGCAACGACGTTAGGCGTCTGAACTACTTTTGTCATTGCTGTGTCGTATCGTTCCTACGGCCGGCAGGCCAATCGGGGACTTCGGCTTGGACACCCATGTACCACGGAAGCACTGCCCAGACCTGTTTGCACTCTTGTATGTCTTTCTCCTTGGCAATTTGTGTGCAGCTCCGGCAGAGGTGTGCCTCTTCGACAGCTTCATCCACCCGATGCGATTTGGCATGAGGTCATAGTCACCGAGGTCGTCTGTCTACCCAGTAGGACTTGTTCCACATTTGCTTTAGCCATGGCAAACGGCCTTGTGCGCGAAGTGTGGGTTCTCGACAGGTTCGTACGTCCAAGATGTTCTCACGACAGTGTCGTTCACAAGGCCGTATCGAGCATAATGCATAGCTTGATATCGTCAGTCAACAACCTTTATGAGGGACACCGTGCACGAGACCTCGAGTTTCAAGCGAAGAGCAAGCGTACAACGCGGAAGACAGAATCAGCGTTTGATTTACGAGGCAGGCCAGATTCACAGCGTCGATGACTGCGGCATCGGTATAAGAGAATGCTTGATGCCTGAAGGTCCCCGGACAGTGTAGTCTCCTTGGGAGATATCGAGGTCAGCGCCGAAGCATGTCTTCAATCTGCCAACAGCCGCCGCTTAGATGCCTTCGACCTAATACTTGTATGACAAATAGATGAGGGCAGCAACCACGCGAAATTCGACCGCCTGAGCATACTTGAAGTACCTGACATGTACGAGTCACGCCGAGACAGGAGAAGGACGGCACAATGCTCACTCTGCGCCCGGGAATAGCAGCTGAAGTGAATGATAAAGATCTTCTGGCGGATCGGACAATTTGACGACAGGACAAACATCAAACTTCTGTACGGTGTCTAAAGCAGGCTGTGAACTGGCAAAGAGGTCACGAAAGACCGGGGACTGTTCTGTAAGTATCGCCTTGTACACGCGGAAGGCAATGTCGCCGGACACAAGAACGATATTGTCGTCTGTCGTCGTGTGTTACATCTGGCATACAAACCGGCAGGGTACCATCCGGCGGGTGGTGAAATCGAGCTGGTGGGGAACCAGAACAGAGTCGCTTTCTAGGTGCAGGCATGAATTTGAGAAGACGGGAAATGGGGCAGCCTCGGACTGACCGGGGTGGGAAGTTGCATTAGCACGTGATGGTGACGAAAAATGCTTCCGTTCGCGAGCGAGCTTGCCCGCTTTATGTATCTCACCTGTTACAGTCCGCGCGCACCGCTTCATCATCTACACAGCTTACACTCCACTTCGTTCTTGATGCACAATTCAAGCTGGAAGACGGGATGATTCATCATTACAATATATACGCAATAGTTCGGGGTATATAACCTCGGAAGTAAGGATGAAAGCAAGCCCATCGTCGCAGAGGAATGTGCCGCGCAGCATCGACATCACATATTGCCAAGTCGCCAACCTCCATCATCATCCATCAATCCGCCCTGGATGTGCCTTCCTCATGCTCCACCAGTGGCCCATCCTCCTCGGGCTCTTCGTACGCAGGCGGCGGCTCCTCGTGAGTGATGGCCTCCAGCCGTAACCGCTCCACCTCCGTCTGCAGCGTCTCAATTTGCCGCCGCAGGTCCGAGTCGTCGTATCGCTCGACCACAGGTACGGGGGGTGGGCGCCCGATCCCTGTCCTGCTCTGGCTGTACAGAGACGCGCTGGACGGCGCAGACTGCTGTGACTGTCGCCGCCGCAGGTCCGCGACATGCGCCTCGATGTCGCGCATCTGGCGCGAGAGCTCCTCGCGCCGCATCGCTGCCTTGCTCTGCCCACGCGGCCCTCGCGGAGACCGCGCGGAAGTCGTGCCCGCCGTGAGCACAGTCGAGGAAAGCTCCGCCGAACTTGCGGTGGTGGGGATGCTGGGCGTGTTCGTCGCGGCGAAAGACGAGGTCGCATGCGATAGCGCAGCCGCTGTGGAAAGCGGATGCCCGGAGGGTGCGGCAGCCGAGCGTAGCGTGTATTGCGTAGGGAGCATTGAGCGTGAAATGCTCAGGTCACTCGAATGCGCCTCAGGCTTCGGCTCAATCGCGTCATCGTGTGCTTCAAATGGGCGCATGCTTCTGATCCTGTCTGCGCTGCCACGGCCGTGCCGTCGTCGCCAGCAGAGGATTGCCAAGAGCGCGATGAGCAGCGCGGCAACACCACCGACCACACCGCCTACAATTGCACCGACAGCCACATGTGAAGTGGGGGTGGGACTCGACGTTGAGGAGCTTGTCGCGGAGGACGAGGCGGAGCTTGTGGCACTTCGTGTTGAGACCGCCGATGTGGTACTCGGGGTTCCAACGCTAATATCAGAATCATACCTAGAAAAAGTTCATTGTCCGAGCTCAGTTGAGGCCAACAAGGACTAAACCCACGTGTACATGGCCCAATCGAAAGCCATATAAGAGGCATTGACGTCCCGACGAGGAGTTATGATAAGTGTATGTTGCGCGTCCTCCAGCGATGTATTGCTGTATAGAGTGACATTGTATTGATAGGCGTCGGATTCACTCGGAAGATGAGAAAACGTCCCGACAGTGTGCCCGTCCAACTCGAAACTAATGTTCACAAATGTTGTCGCGTAGAGGACGTTGTTCGGTACGACGCCAAATACCCATATCGCAGTACCTGTTTTCTGCTTGGTTAGATTCGGAATTGCACATTATGGTAAGGCGTACCGTTGAAAGTGAGAGTAATATTCCTGGGCTCCGGATCCGTCGGACTCGCAGTAACATCGTGCCATGAATGGTCAAAGCAGTCGTCCACGTCTGGCTGTACATAACAGCCCGAACAAGTAGGTCCATAATTCCATGCACCCGATGCGGGCGCGTAGACGGGCTGAAGTCCTGTGACGGAGTCTCCGTTTTCGTCGTCAATAGTCCTATTCGTAAGCTTGGCAAAGGCGACATGGGCCAACAGGAGAAAACAACAGGCGGCCCGCCAGACGACTCGGTGTGCCACAACCGACATGTCGACGGAAAGGTCGCAAGTACCAAGAGTGGGAGGCGCACAGCGCGCCGCAAGCAAGGCAAGAATTCAGAGCCAAAGGAATAATGGAAATGTCAAGATCCCGCCAGTGCTCCAGGTCTAGAAGACTGACTCGCAGGGAAAGAAACTCGTAGCTCGCAAAGACCAGAAACCGCGATCCAAAGCTGGGGCAGCGACCTGATACTGCTCGCACGCTGTCATTATCTTGATGGTACTGTATATTTGACTGTGATGATCCGCCTCATTGTGTTGGACCTGTTCCTCAATTCAAATATTTACCTTTGTCTTGACACATGCTGCGTATCGCGAGAAATGGATCCACGGACAGGAGTACTAGTTACTGGTGGATTGGTAGATCGCCATTGTTGACGGCGTCAGACATGGCATCAGCAATGCTCGCGCTTGAGCGCTTGAGCGAAAGTCGTCTCACCGTGATTGATCGGTGCAATGTTGGAAAATCTGTACCCCAGCTCCCGCCTCAACCGCGATCATGGAATTATACGCGTAGCGACGAGAGCGTAACCGGACGTTGGGAAATTATCAGCGGGGAATGCAGGCCACAGTCGCCGTGACCCAGACCATGCACTATTTGATATGGCAGTGAGTTCGTCCGCGTCCAATTCGCTCCGGATCTCAGCGGTTGCATCAAAACAGTGGCTCGCACTCACGCCATGTCCGTGATGGCCGATGGGCATACAGTCTAGTGCCCTGTGGGACAATGCTAGGTTTCATATCTGTGAAGCGTACGAAGACATTGTGAGCCTCTGGCTGAATCAAGAAGAGTAATACGGTTATTTACCTCAATACGAGATGGTACTTCAGTGAGGGGTAGTTCCATACGAGCATGCAGAGCCCATTGGTAAGGGCTATTGGAGGCTCAATCACACACTCCTGATATACCGATGCTGTATGCAGTGAACGTAGACTCGTGAAATTCTTTTGTTCCGAGGCAGATCGTCTAGGCTCACCTGAAATGCGCCTTGCGGGAGTAGCCCTAACTTGTAACTGGGAAGTAGTAGCAGACCTCCCAATCATGATACATGCTCGCAATCGCTCGGCATACAGACGGCCTTCTTATAAGCCCATACAAGCCGATCCGATTATGCTCCAAGATGACAATGGCCACCCAAGTATGCCGATTGCCGCTCAAACATCATCATTATTGTAGTTATACTGATAATACATTGTCTGCCCGTGAGAATGTTGGTGCGTATTGGCCGCCGGCATAAGGAGGCATAAGGCCATAGCAGTTTTCAGAGGGTTTGCTGATGGACATGATGGATTGTTGGCGGACTAAGATCTAAATTTCACTAGAGTCAAATGTGCAAACAATATTTATAAACTGGTTGTGTACTGCGACGACCCGGGATGTTCCAAATAACGTAACCGCTCTCTCATGTCTTCTGATGAGCAGCGATGTGATCAGGTCACTTCTCATAGATTCGGAGTAGAAAAAACGCATGGATAACTATACGATTGGGTACTACATAATGGGGCATAGATGATTAGCTATAGCAAGGCATATTTCTCGTGTCCGAACTGGCCATAAGGCCACATAAATCCTGATAATCACCCTACACCCAGCATTGACCGATAACACGCAGACCTCTCGAATCCAGCTAGGATCGCATCCGTTATGATATGAGAATTAATGAAGTATAACCGATGCACCAATCGAGACGGCTAGTCCAACCAAAAAGCTTCTTCGGCAGCGGGATCCCAGCTGAAGGCTACTTTGGTAGCGGAATCCGTCCGATAGGCTTCTTCGGCAGCGGGGCCCATGCTGAAGACTTCTTCGGTATCTGAATCCATGAAAAAGGCTGCTTCGGTGGCAGAATCCATGCTGAAGGCTTCTTCGGTGGTAGAGTCCATGCTAAAGACTTCTTCGGTGGTGGAATCCATGCTGAAGACTGCTTCGGTATCGGAATCCGTGCTGCCGTCGTCCGGCATGCCTTGTAACCATTGGTCGCAGATGTCTTTGATACCAGTGAGTATGTTGATTGCTTCATATTCGATGTTGTGCTCCTTGTAGAAGGCGTCTAGAGCTGCTTCGAAGGCACCTGGCCCGCCAGCCTTCGATAGCGCCAGACCCACATTGTATGTGACGAAATGAGGAGGAACGCGGGAAAACACCCAACTCACGGTGTCGAGGGCCCTCGGAAAATCACTTTCTGCTTCTGAGCGGGGAAGGTCGCGATGGCCGATGACGCAATATTTGTAAAGAGGGCCTTGGCACACTCTAAATGGTTCGTGCAGCGGCTGGATAGCACCGTAAGCAATATACCATATCTAGGCCCTATCCCTGTACTCACCACGCCTACATTGATGGGAACAATAGATTCTGCGGGATACTCGTCGACGATTTGAGGCTCAGGCACGAAGATAATAAGCCCTTTGTCCCACAAGGAGTGGAGATCGGCCCTTACTATGTGAGGTCTGAGCCAGGGCTACGTCGACCGATTGGAATATATACACTCACGCAAGAAGAGGTTGAAAGGTGTGTCTATGTCAAAATCTTCAAGCCCCCACCATGCTGCCAGCTGCTTACGCTACATGCATGGGCGCACCCAAGTTAGGGTCGCGCGAATGCCACCGCAGACTATTGGTGACTTACCAAATCATCGTCGGTTCTTCGCGGAATGACGTGACATCCCTGAATCGACTTGTCGTCTTGATGGGTCAACAAGCACCGTGGTCCAGTAGGAGCCAATTGGGCGACTTGCGACTTGAGGGTGTTAACGTGCGCTTCACCGTTGGACTTGCGGGCCTCCGGTTTGCGGTCTGTGTCGTATACAAGACCCATAGATGTTCAAGTGAGACCGTGGCACATAACAAGGCAATGCATAACGACATACCCTTGGACCGTTCAGGCGTCCTTTGTACGCCTGTCGGCATGTTCATAGGAAGCCTACGAACGAGATAAGTGGTTGCGTTGCCACGGATCAAGTGTGTTCACTGACATATGTTCCTGGTTCCTCCTCAATTGTACCTTTCCCGGTGGTGGCGCAGTCCACTACGCGTTCAATCTCAAGAAGTTCTCCACAACGCGGGATGCGTCGACTTTGAGGTGAATTCTTTCGTAGAACTCCTGCAGACACTTCACCCACAGCTCTTTGTTCTCCATCATCTTCATGGCGGCATTCACGATCATGAAGTGTGGATGCGCGTGGGACGGCACAAATTGGAGCTTGTGGAACCCGTTGGTGAACCCTTGGCGGATTGCACGCTTTGCCCTAGAGCGTGCACCACCTGACAGGCTAGGGTGGGGAATCACACAGTATCGGTGGATCTTCTTCTTGCCAATGACCTATACGCATTGTGGCGACGATTCGCATCAGTCGTAAATGAATAGCTTGCGGCGGCCCACCTCCAAAATGTCGTGTCTTTCACCATCCTTGTATTTCTCCACATATGCGTCCACCACATCGGGCATCGGAGCAATAAGAATGTCTCCTCGATCCCACAATATATGGAGGTCGCCACGAACTGTATGCAAGTAAGCCCTCGCGTATCGACATGCCTCCGAGAACGAAGACGCACGGAAAGCCATATTGCGGCTAGAATCTACATTGAGGCCTTCTTTTTTGATGCCCCACCACCACTCCAGAGAAGTGAGCTATGCATGCGCGTATGTAGACCGTCAGATGCGCCACCTCCGCACAGGAGCCACTTCAACTTACGATACGCGCGTCTGTGGCGCGTGGCAAAACATGGCACTGTTGCACTGACTTGTCCTTTAAGCCTGATATAATACAGGCACCTCCGTTCCGGGACGCCTTGACCGCTCGCCGTCGTGCACCGTTTGTAATGTCGGACTTGCGACTCACTCTCCGTTTTGGAGTCTTCGGAGTGTCATTGACCGGCGTGCCTTCCCTAGACGGCCTATAATCGCTTCCGTCGTCTGATATTTCCCTTTTCCGTTTCCCATACGCAGGCTTGGGTTCGGACTCGGGCTGGGAGCCACTGACGCTGCCCTCGTCGTAATCAACTGTGGCCGGGCCACAGTCAGGGCAAAGCGGTCAACGGTAGCGACGAGGAGCCGTACCTGGATCCAAGTCTTTGAGTCTATCAGATCGTCTCAATTCCAAGCTGTGAACCATGGCTAGGGGATTTTCGGAGATGAGGTGAGGGGCGAAGGTGAAGGTGAAGGAAGAGGCTGCGAGAGTGTGTGGCTCGAGCGGCTTTTGCTGAGTTCATATTATGTTGCAAAGCGCGTGACCACAGGCCACAGAGACCATTGTATTCCAATTTGGATATTGCAGCCATCGTCGACGCGGGTCAGTGACTGGCGACCTCCCGCATATTACCTAATCTGCATGGTCTGTGCGAGGTGTGTTCTGGAGTCGTGACATCAGATGCACCGTCTGAGGCGCGGAAACCGTGCCCCGCTGACCGGGGAGACACACTGTAAAGGTCACATAAAGAGGCGCGCTTGTCATTTGCTGAATCGGAACTGCACGGTCAGTCTGCGGAAGATTTGACGAAAAGGAACGAAACTCACTCAGGACATGTTACTGGCGCGAAGCATTCCTGGGTGAGACGTTTGTGTCTGTCCGCCTCAAAAATCCATGTCCTCACCGCAAAATGACGACCCGAGTGACAATGTATGGAACTGCTCAGAGAGGAGTAGATCATGACATCGACGACAAAGCTACAGTTATTGACTCGTTGAGAAAGCTGGAATTGGCACGGTACGCCGCCCTTGACTGCCGAGGGCTACAAATATCTCCCACACAGAATCATGCATATAGGAGGCTTGTACCTACATCATGTACGAACTGCAAGCCTCATAATGAAACAGATCCAAATGGATTCTGATGACGAGCATGAGAGGTCACATGCGAATGTCCTCACACTGTCAACATTTGACGTAGCGACGCGCTGTCCACTGAGTATTCGTCCCAAGGTGCTGCGTAAAAGTATATGATGAAGAAGCGGCAATTGCAGCACTTTGCGACACTCTCAGTCGAGGTGAATGTACCTGTAGAGGACATTCTGCATCATATGGACAACATAGTCTCAGAATAGAGGGACGGTGACGCAGTGTCCCGTAATGGAGAATACATACATCTCTGCAGCAGTCAAGTATGAGCATTTACGAAGAACAAACCAGACGGCATAGACAAAACGAACGCACCCGACATGCATGCCAACTGTGCGGTCCTCACAGCGCACACCGGAAGCTCGAAACGTTTTCCAGCATGTCATGCGAAGCAATCAAAGATGCTAAGTTCTGTGTCTCACAAGACTAAGCGGGCTCACAAGGCTCACAAAGACCTACTTATACGACCGCATAGAGGTTGTGTGCGGACCCGGATAAGCCCAAATGCACTGAGGACTAATTGACTGTACGACTGACTGATCGACCGGTGTCGGGGATCTCCGAAAGTCTGACTAAGCACCCGCTAAGGGCACTGGTGGCGCACGCTGTTCGCGCTACACCATCGTCACTACCTCGCTGAACTCGCGATACAGTCGACACAAAAATGAATGGTCTTTACATCCTTATTCCTGACACGTCTCATATGCTCGCTGCTGAGCATCCCCCACGCGATATAAGTACTCCCGCGCTTTCGGACGACACTGGTAGCTCCTCTTCACGCGAAAGCTCTCGACCCGCTACACCCACTTCTGGAGTCAGTCGTGCACCATCTATATCTTTTGATGACTATTCTAAGCATACACACGCTGGCGAAGTTACGGACATCAAGATTGTCGAAGCAGACGCGAACTCCCCGCTACCAGAAGACATCACCCATCCGCTGAAACGGAGACGGTTGACGGACACAAGGGCTGATGAAGTCCGCGCAGAGAGAGCGCTGCTGCCTAATGTCTGGAGCGACCCAACTAGGGCAGATGACGGCGCGCTCTTCGGTCTTGGCCATACACCCATCAGCGACTGCACGAGTGTCGGGGACGTCGAGCCCGATGCAGTGGACCCGTCATTAGAATACGTCTCCCGTCCATTGAAACGGAAGCGAAGCGCGGACACAAGCACCTATGACATTCGCGCAAAGAGGGTGCGGACGTCTGGCACTTCGAACGACGCAACCAAGGCCGAGGACCGCGCTTGTTTCGGTCTTGGGCATATACCCATCCACGACTACACGAAGATCAGGGTCGTCGAACCGGACGCGGATCCCCCGGTCGCCGCCGGTATTGACATACACGTTCCACTTGACGCTATCGCTCGCCCCCCGAAGCGAAAACGGTGTGCTAACACGACGGCCGATGAGGTCCGTGTCAAGAGAAGGCGGTTGTCTGATAGTCCGAGCGACGCGTCAAAGCTTAAAGACGGTATTCCTTTCGGACCTCACCCTAGGTGCATGATCACGGGCTGCGTGTCCGCTGAGGTGGAAGCGTGCTATATCCTGCCTCCCGACACGCCCCAACCGTTGGTGAGTAGTGTAATTACCACTTCGGCCTCGTAGCTGACAAGGCAGCTGTGTAGGGTGACCGCACAATGCCCCGTGTGCCTACTGAATCTAATGCCGTTCATTGTAGCACTTCTGAAAACATCATATTCCGTGCGTACTTCCTCATATCCCGCTCGTTTTCCCTCCTCTTACAACCCGCATGCAGTTCGACGCGACCTCCGTATAGTATGGGAGACGAACCACCTATTGATGATACCCCATCCTGATCATATAGACCACCCTGATACCCGCCCTGTATGTATGGTACGTCCTTTCAGATGGTCGCCGTGCTCACAGTCAAGTAGTTCTACACATACCACGTCATCGCAGAGGATGAGCAGCCTTCAAACTCGGGCACCCCCCAGGATCATACCATTATACCTCTAGCTACGACCGCTGATTGCTCGTATCGCTCGCTGGGGTGGCACGAGCTGAGTGCTAATCTGCATCTGATGACAATTCGAGTGGGTCGTGTATTCATCAAGCGACCGCTCCACTACGAGCATGCTTTATCTAATAACCTTCTTGTGCATATACCCACTATCGCCCTTGTCCACCCAGATGCACTCGAGCCGGTCTCCCCCCACATTGAAGGAGAATCGCCAGTCGAAGGCATCCCCCGTCTGCCGAAGCGAAAACGGAGCCCGGAGACAGATATCGATGAGGTCCCTGTCAAGAGGATGCGCACGTCCGTCACTGGATGCAACGCGTCCAACATCAAGGACGCCGTTCGTTTTGGACCCCACCCGCGGTGCATGATCACCGGCTGCGTATCTGCTGATGTAGAGGGGTGCTATATCTGGCCTCTAGACATGCCTCAGCGATTGGTGAGTGTATGGCTGTAATTTTGGATTGTGTGACTGACAACGTGAATCGGAAGTTCGACACCTTGATAACCCGCATGCGTGGCAACTACAACACTCTGCGTTGTCATGCACCTGGCAATATCATATTTCGTGCGCAACTTTCACGCTTGACCCGTCGTTTGTCGCCTCACATACTGTGCGTAGTTCGACGCGACCTCCGAGAGCTGTGGGAGACAAACCGTTTGTTGATGATACCCCATCCTGTTCATTTGAAGAGTCTTAAAAAATATTGCACCGTATGTATTAATATGCCCTCTTGGCCAATCGTTGTGCTTACGGTGACGCAGGCGTACAAGTATTGCGTCATCGCAGAGGACGAGCACCCTCCAGACTCATGTGCGACCATGGGTAACCCCATCACGCCTGCCGTCATGGCGGCCCCTTGCTCATATCGGTCGCTCGGGTGGCATAAATTCAAAGCCGACCTCCGTCTGATGGTATTTCGAGCGGGACAGAAATTGAGCAAGCGACCATTCCACTACCAGCGTATCTTGCGGCAGCTGCTGCCCCACAAGGAGATTAATCATACACACACCATAGTCTCCCGGTATTCGTCATGGACGGTCCCCCTGAATTTGGAGAGAGTACGCGGCAGGCGGTTGTGGGCCACAGGAGAGCTCACACCCTTCCCTGATGGATATTTCCGCAGCCCCAGGAAGCAATATTGCCCTCCCCTGTCGGATGATGACACTGCCCGCTTGCCTTGCCCACTTCGGCCAATTGTCTCAGGGATAAAGAGGAAGCGTTCTGGTGACGCCAGGGCGGACAGTGAGGTCTACACCACGGAAGAAAATGTTCAACAGAAAGTCAGCATTTGTCTGTGGCGTCGGTATTGCGATCAAGCTCGAGACGAGTGGACGATGGGACCGCCCGCGGAACCTGAGGACGCAGATTTGCTCGCTTATCGACAGGAGGAAGCTGGAGATATGCTGCCTGCTGCGCAACGACCTTGGTTTGCGGAATGGCATTCTTCAAAGTACGCTCTCTTGTAGATCTGCAGGTGAAAATACAACTGACGCCATCTTGTCCAAATCTGAATGTTCCAGATATGGTCCCAAGTTTTGACACCTAGCCATATACCCCATCTTACCGCGTTTTCCACGCGCTCGCCAGGTCATAAATATTCAGAATGGTCTGTTGAACAGTCGAACCTCATCGACCCGCCATCGCGACTGGACTTTCTGTCATCACGTTGATTCACAGGCGGCGATGGACTGATACTGACACCCCCGACCCGCGCGGATGAGCTAGATATGCTGCGGAACCATGCGTGGCGATTGTCGCCAAGGGCCGGGATGTACAGTTGTACTGAAGAGCATTGCGCTGCCCTGGACCCCTCAATTTCAGTCGGGCTATCGGCTGTATCTCAGAGTTTCCTTCCGGCCGCTGCGGTAACTATATGCGTGGTCCTTGCGAGACGCCAAACAGCGTCTACCAGCCGCCGGTGCGTACTATCTTACTTCCATAGAAAATTCGGTATGTTCAATGTGTTTCTCGTCTCGTTCCCTTCACTGATGTTTGACACACAGGTTCTGATCTTCCAAGTAACGATTCCCTCACAACATAGCTGAACGCGGTTTAACCGCCAGACGTCAAGATTTGCTGAACCTTTCAAATCCGGGAGTGCCTAGCACACTCGAGGAGAATGTGCCGTGCTGCTTCACAAATGCTCGCAGCATGATGACATCCTCCGAACGTGTGAGACAATATACCGGTATGTATCCCCGACAGCGCTTCGATGCCGGCCACTGACTCAAGGGCAGTCTAGACCCTACGTAGACCAGCCCTTGGGCATCGGCTCTTCGTATGGTAATCTGCTATCTGTGGAATATGGAAACTGCAAGCATGTGCCACCGATGGCGATCGTTCCCGCAAATCGCCTTCTCCGACTCTCCATTCCGCAACTACCACCAGTAGACTCTAATCTTCGGACCAAATCGTAATGTTTCCTCTCTCGTACTGATCAGGCATAGCAGCTGATACCACTTGGCAGAAGTCGTGGCCATTACAATCCAACTTTCTCTGCGCCTGTCAATCTGACGTCGGAGTAATGATACGTTCCCTCATATGCGTCAATACTTCACCTCACACGAAGTTTAGGATTTATCGCTGCAATACCCAAACCATATTTTGTGTGGTCAGCACAATCCGTTAGTTTTCCTTAGCCATGTATGATTCGACTCATCCTGTTGACCGCCTCAGATACCTCCTCGTCTTATCGTTAGCAGTTGCATCTGCTCATCAGTCGTAGGATGCCGCAAAGATCAGGTAAGAGATGTATCTGATGGGTTGCACACGCGTTTCCTGACTCAGTTCCACCGCTAGATCAGAGTATGCTATGAGAATGGAAACAGCACAACCCCGCGCGGCAGCTCAGTCGAACTGTGGCGCTGCACTTATATACCCGCTTTTAGGCGACCACCACTGAGTGCGGGGATTTCAGTCGAACCTGTAGTTCATCCTCACCGCTGGCGTGGAAACTACTCTATACGAAGGCAATGCTGTGAGTTGATTCCTTGACCACAGACTACAGACCGCTGATGCTGTTTGTAAGACTATCTCCTTCATTTTGGCGTCCTCTCAATCGTAAGTCCAGATCTACATTATAACCTCGAGGTTCGATTTATCTCGTGGTCAGACAGGTAGACCCTCTTTGGACACAGTCCAGGGATGAATGGTTCCAGACACCATCAGTGATTGGTCTGTCGACGAACGGCGCGCCCGTGTACACAAGTATTCTGGCACTGTCGCGAAGAGACATAGGACCTCCGCAAGGTCGAGGAAACCCACACGTCTCTGCATGATCAGATGATTGCATTGTACCCCATCGCTTCCTCGCTGGATCGGCTGAATGATGGCACTGCCGCGCTCTCGCTCGGCCTCGTACTCCAAATAGCTCACTCACTGAGCTCAGGAATGGCTCACGAGCAGTCCAAGTGAAACGACTTCGCGGTCCATATGCTGAGATTTCCGCGTGGACCCCACCACGGAGGATTGGCGCGATTCGCACCCAGGACCGGTAGTACACCCGCCCAAGATGCGGTCCGGCTTGCTTGAGCTCACGTTTCCTAGCCTTCTGCAAAGTCCCTCAAACAGTTTGTATTCTAATATGAGTCTTTGAGCAGAGCGGCGTCAGATTATTTTGGAGTGCGTGCAAGGTGAACCTCAAGGCGGGCGAAGTCTGGGTGGCAACCGTCGAGTGGAATTTGTATAATATAGTTGATTATGAACAAACTATGTTTGGCACCAGGTTCCTAACCTTCCCTTCCTCCGGTTGGTGGGACCTTTCGACAATAACGAGCTGCAGCACCAAGTCCTAGCCAGCCACAATCGGCATTATCTGACACACATTGCATGCTCCGATCGTATTCAAACCTAGCACTATTCGCCCCCACCTCCCTATGGCGGCTGACAGAAAACATGGGCGAGCAATGGAGCCCTGGTGCAAGCTGTCTGGGTATTATCGCGACAGGGACTGATCTGCTCCACCAGAGACTGCTCTGCTGCAAAGAAAGGGTATGGTGGATAGGATATTCTAGGCACTCGTTTATAACATGTCTCTTACTAGATCCACCGTGTCCACCACACAACACGACACTGGATTTCTCACTCAACAACAATATCTGTCTCACAAGCTTTCTAATGATAACGGACAAGCGTGTAAGTGCGTCCGCACGCCCTGCATGGGTACACACGCCTCGGGATCGGCGGGATGTTGTCGCTGCTGAAGCATGCGGTCAGGAACGAGCTTGCAAGCTGGGGCGCAATAGTACTAGCCGCAGGCCTCTGGCCCCCCTCATACATCAGGAAAGAGGTTTACTAGTGTATCAGGCTGCCTCTTAGCTAGCGCTACATAGCTGTGATAGTAGCGCCCGCATCTTTATAGCACTACATAGCCTATATAGCACTAGCTAGACTGCTGCTAGTGCTAGCCACCACTACATATTTGTACCTATGTACTATGTAGCAGTAATAGGATAGTGCCATGTTTTCATGACTATATAGTAATTTATAGTGCAATAGTTTACTAGTCTTGCTAGCTCTGATCATTCAGCTCATTTCGACCATGCCTTTGACTCTACATCGGCTTTTTGTATTTCTGCAACAGTATTACACCTAAACATGACTATATACAATGCTGAAATATTCCTGGTAGGGCCTATTAGTGGCTGATATTTTGGACCATCTAAGTGCTGGCCTAGCACTCGAAGTGTATCAGATGTACAAGTAATTGGCTTGAATAGATTAAAATGTACGTAGTATAGTACTGTGCTGCCTTTCCCAAAGTGTACACAATATAGCTGTAGCTACCTCATAGTCAAAAAGTCATGTATACTCACCCAGGGGTTGAGGTAGTATTGTTGCAACTTAGGGTCAAGCAACAGGGGAAAGTCAAACAAAGCGCTGGGGGCGTTCAACTGGATCTTACTGAAGCAATGGTGAGCAAAGCTCAAATCTAAGGCTAGGGACAAGGTAATATATTAGTTAGGTAAAGAAAAGGAATACAACTGGAGGCTTACTGACCTAGGGACAAGAGGTCGAAACTGAGGTCCCTAGGGCAGCAGAGGCGGGCTTATATACAGGAGAGAATAAGGGCAGGCTGTGCGCACTGGTCCGTGCGCAGCTGGTCCATGCACAGCTTGCTGACACGGCCATGGGGGCCAGTGAGTCAGAGAGGCTGTGTCAGCAGAGCCCGAGCTGTGCTGCGCACTGCCGCCCCATCTAATCTAATCGTACAGTAGATATGATGTGTCCGTATCAGGCAAGTAGTACAGAGGTTGCGGGTTCGAGCCCATGAAAAGGAAAAAATTAAAAAAAACGGCTAGACGCCGTACCAACTCGTGACATGGTGGCTCCACTGTCCACCATTGCAACTATATCTTTGTGCCATCTTTCTCCTTTGAGGCGCACTGGGATGTGGAAATGCTGGGACCCATGGTCCAACTCGTAAACATTCGCAGTCACCAATACATTGTACAAATTGTTATTATGAGGTCCGACATGTGTGGCATGAAGCGCGGACCGGATCAAAAAGACTCTTCTTTGAGCGCCCGATAATGCTCGAGCTTCTCGCGCATCAACTTCACCTGTGCCATCAAGTCTGCCAGCTCCGATGGTGCTGAAGCGGTACTTGTACTTGCCGAGGGTGAAGTGATGGGGGCGCTTGTCACTGCCTGGGTGGATCCTGAGGCAACCGTAGCCCGTGCGTCAGCGCGTTTTGTGTAAGCTTTGTCCTTATAGTTGTGGCACTCGAAGCGTTGGTACCCTTGCTTCCTACAGCCAAAGCAACTGCCAGGGAAGTCTCTGTCACGAGTTGGTACGGCGCCTAGCCGTTTTTTAATTTTTTCCTTTTCGCGGGCTCGAACCCGCGACCTCTGTACTACTTGCCCGATACGGACACATCATTATCTACTGTACGATCAGATTAGATAGGACGGCAGTGCACGGCACAGCTCGGGCCCCGCTGACGCAGCCGCTCTGACTCACCGGCCCCCGGGGCCGCGTCGGCATGCTGCGCACAGACCAGCTGCGCACGGACCAACGTGCACAGCCTGCCCTAAATCTTCCCATGTATATAAACCAGCCTCTGCTGCCCTAGGGACCTCAGTTTCGACCTCTTGTCCCTAGGTCAGTAAGCCCTCCTGTACTTACTTCTTTTACTTACTAACTAATACATTCTTGTCCCTAGCCTTAGGTTTGAGCCTCGCTCACCATCGCTTCGGTAAGAACTAGTCGGACGCCCCTCGCTTCCAGATATTCCCCTGTCGCTCGACCTCAAGTCGCGACATTAGGTCGAAACTCCCCAAGCAACCGGCGTTCTCTCGGAACCCCACACTCACTTTTCCTTTCCCATAGGTCGGGTGGTGCGCACCCATACGGTACACTACGATACGTAGATAGCCTACTATACATCGCCAACACTAGAGAAACGAACTCTTCAGTACCTGCGCTTCAGTGAGCGGTACTTGTCCTCACGGACGCGTAGCCTTGGTTCCTGCTGCATAATAGTCAAAAGCAGTATTGGGCCCTACGTGAACTGCGAATCTCAGTGTCATCTCGGGCGCCGTAGGTGTAAGCTAGAGTAACACGGCCTTTTGTAGTACGCGCACCTTCCCGTCCTCCCCCCCATCCAACGTGGCTGCCTGTCAAGGCCAAGTTCACGCATTCGACTCTCAGGACCTTATCGACGTCTACATCCCAGACGGTCCTGAGACTATCATCTACCGTTGCGAGCAGCAACCGTGCCCGAACCGAACCCCCCGATCGATCCCAGAAGACTATCCGCGCTACAAAGCGATCCGACGAGCGCAACACCCGCTCGGACCCCGAAGCACCCTTGCATCTCGATCTGCCTCGCGGCACTCTCGCCCTGTCTCCCCTAGCTCCCGCCTCC